GGGACCAGACGCCTGAACTTGTTAGCACACGATAATACCACCTTTGGAAATAAACCGACCTCAGCTTCATCGCTAGACTCTTGGTCATCCTCCGCCTCAGGAATGGCATCCTCTTCCAGATCATCGTCCGAAGAACTGCTCTCGACATCCTCCTCCTCGACATCCACAGGGCGTTCGGAATCCTGCATCTTGTAGTTCTGCGCAACCGCCTCGCCGAAAACTTGCGTAGCTTCGGCAAGGTCCGCCGCCAGTTTCCACTGCGGACGAGCCATGGAGTAGGTATCCTGAACGAGGAACTCAACGTCCATCGGCATCGGATCTTTGGTGTGCATATAGTACTGCTCGATTTAGTGTCCAGCTCGGATCCACACTTATTACCAACGTACCTGGAAGAAGTTGAGGAAAAAATCAAGCTTCTTCTTCGCGGACCCGCGGTCAAAGCAGTGGCCGCACGTGTCGAGCAGCGTGCAGACCAGACGAATGCGGAAGAAGTCATCAGGCAAGTCCAGCGGGTTGACCTTCCCAGCCACTGGCGTTCCTCCTTCTATGGACACGTTAATGATTCTCCTTTAGATTGACCATGGATACAACTCACCGTGACCGAAGGTGACAATGCGATACAAGGTATCGAAGATGACAGGCGAGTCGATCATCTTGTAATTGTAGAGTTCCCCCAGATACTTGACCTCCGCAACACGCTTCTGGTTGAACTTGAAGTCATTCTGCTCGAGACCCAAAGTAATCTGCTCGAGGACATTGTCTACGACCCCGATCACGAACTCCTGGTGATACCGATAGAGGGCGCTGACCAGGATCGCGAGCAAGTGGATGTTTCCATACTTGACCTTGACCGGTTTGCTGAAGACCTTCTCCAGGATATCGACCACTTCGCCCTCTTCCCAGTGGAGCTTGCGAATTGATTTCAGAATCTTGGTGTAGTTCCGCTTGTTCATATCCAGATAAACGATCCGGCGGATGTAGGCTTCCATGGGCGTACGTTCCTTCTGCTGGATGGCCGGCCGGGGTGGCGGATCAACGTAGTAAATGGCGTTCTCGATGATCATCCGCTCCTGTTGACCAAGATGTTGAACAGTCTTCTTTCGTCCCAGGGTTTCCAGGAAAGAAGCCATCCTTGGGGCTGTCTCCGGGTTGCGGAGTAAGTAACGACCGCAGTTCTCCAGAAGATAACCGATGATCTCGATGTTCATGCGCGAGAAGTCATCCAGCGAGACCTTAAAGCAATGGAAGATGATATGCTCAGGCACCACGCCGAACTTGGTCAACTCCGCCAGATACCGGACATTGCCCATGCGAACCTGCCCTAGGAACTCCTTCGACTTCCGGCGTTGGAGACTCCTGAACTCCTCATCAAGATACGTAGTCAAGCCCTGAGGAATGTCAGGCATATATTGCCCGAGCGTAGCGACCAGGCGAGAGTACAGCGGCAGAAGATCGAGACGTCCCTTAGGGACATCCGACACCGCCTTGATGAGCCTGTTTCGCGACGCTTTCGAGTTAAGGAAGCAGAAATCCAAGGCCATCTGATCGACGTGGTCCTTGGTCTGTAGGTCGGGTAATTTGGCAAGGAGTGCGTCCACCTGGGCTCCCACAGTCTTGCTTGCAATGGCTGTAGATAGATCGTCGGCATCCGCGTTCTTCTCCTCCGATGTTAGAGTCTGAGCGCCGGACTCGGATTTCTCTGCGCCTGCCTCTTCGCCATCCCCTTTCTTCTTGCCTGGCTCCTCAGAATCGGGTTTCTTCTTCCTGGCATCCTCCAGTAGGACAGCTGGCACTTTGCCCTTGAGGTCAACCAGGTTCTCGTAAAAGCGCCGCTCTTCTTCATCTTCCCAGATGCCGGCACCCTCACCCTGACCGCGCAGGTACTCCGTCGTCTTAACCAGCCCAATTCCTCCAGCCGATGCCGCATCGGAGTTTCCCTTCTCAGCTAGAGCCGGCATTTCCGCCCCGAGCGCCTCGCAAAGGACTTGAGTGTTGGCAACCAGTTTCTCCAGCGACTTGGTCTGCCTCTCGAAGTTGGCCTGACGGTCCTCGAAGATCTCGCCACTTTTCACGTATGCCTCGGCATTGCGCCGGCTCTGAGCCGTCAATGCCCTCTGATCACGAACAACGTGTGCCTTGACATCCTCCAGGTACCGGTTCAGGATATGACGGAAACGCAGCTGGAGTTTCTCAGGGATCAGCGGGGGATCGTTCTCTTCCGCCTCGCTCTCAGCACCGCCGCCATTGACCGCATCCCCCGAGGCGCCATTCGTGGTGGTCGTCGCGCCGTCCGCCTCGACCGTCTTCCGACCTTCCTCCACCAACTTGGTCCCCAGCACATCCCAACTGAAGCTCTTCACAAACAGGACCGCCAGGGGGAGATTCAAGTGATCGCGATCATGGCCCAGAAGATCCTTGAGGACTTCCATGGGAAACGGCTCCGACTCCTTCTCACCGCCGCCGTCCCTGGTCGCCGAGAGCAGCGCCTTGTTGCTCTTCACGGGCCCGTCGGTCGCCTTCCCGACCACGCCGGCATCTTTCCCCTTGGTCGCCGCAGCCCCGAGGTCATCCGGGCGGTCGATGTCGTCCAGGGTGCGCAGCATGCCCACCAGCCAGAGCTCCGTGACGACGCGCAGCAGCACCCGGTGGCGCGACAGGCGCTCCTTCTCCTCGCGCTCGCGCACCTCCTGGCTCAGGGCCTTGAGCTGCCCTTTGTCTGGGGTGCTCAGCCCGCGGCCCAGCAGCCATCCGAGCTGGCGGGTAAACTCGCCGGGGCCGAACCGCTGGTGCAGGGCGCTGGCAATCTCGACCCCCGTGGCGATCTCGCCGGGCGACTTGAGCTTGCAGAGTCCTTCGTAGCAGGCCGAGATGATCTCCGACAGGTACTTGTGGAGCGACAGGGTGCGGATGTCGGCGAGAAAGGTGGCTTGGGCGGAGGTGTTGATCCCCGTGCGGAGGCGCTTGATGAAGGCGGTGTTTTTCTTGAGGGCGGAATCGAGGGATTTGCTGACAGGGAAGGCATCTGTTGTGTTGCGGCGATGGGGTTAGTTATAGAAATTAACCTCCGGGCAGCTGGCCAAGTGTGTGGTGTGTGTTTTTGTGTTTGGGTAGGGAGAAAGTGAAAAGAAGCCGGAAGGAGGACGTGGTGCGTCATTATCGGAAAGGGAAAAGGGCATAATTTTACCAGTCTCGCCAGCCCAGGCTCGCTCGTTGAGATCGCGGAGTTCCCCTGTATGTGAAGGAGGTGGGTTAGCCAGTCGTGTCTTGGGGGAGAAAAGCTGTTCTGGTGAGGTTTACGCTTTCGGTGACGATCCATGGCGTGGCCGCCGATGCAATGTTCTCGGTTTATGGAGGGTGGGATGGATTTCAACTATCCAGAATTCCTTTCAGCGAGTGAGAAAGGAGGGCGCATAAGTGACTTGAACGCCACATTGGGGAGAATGAGAGGGAGAAAGTGACGCGCGCACTATTTTCGGGCGTCAAGGGAGAAGTGAAAGATTGCAAAGTCGAGAGTGGCTGACGAAAGTTGCAGTGAGTGACGGACCGAAGGCGGAGGAGGAGAAGGAGGGCGGAGGGGGAAGGAAAAGCGGCTTGGATGATCGTCTTTCTCTTTCTCCACTCATGGCGATAACCAAAGCGGACTATACAACAGCCAATTCCTACTACTCTCTTTGCGCATAACATTGTTGTTATTTCTTTACTATCATTATTAACTTAAGGTCAGAAAATCTGTGACGATAATAATACTGCTCTGAATTAAAGTTAACCTACCCCCGCCCGCGACATCATCTGGCAATCGTGCCCCGTATTTTTCCCCGCATCAGCAGTCAGTTCAGCACAGATTCATGGAAGCAATTAACCAGTATACCGCAGTTATAGCAGATGCAGTAGACTTTTGCCTAAACTAGCCGCTGCAATCTCCCTCCCTCATCCATGTGCATTGTGTGAACTAATCATAAAGCCCATTCATCCGCATAAACCGATTCGCTCACCAATTCCATGCTCAACCATCATCATCAGAAACATCATGATAATCATAAGAAAAATCACCAAAACCACCCGCTATCATAATCATCGGTCGGCCATTCCCTTCACCACCCAATCCAACCTCCACGAACCCGATTAGTGAACCCCCGCCGGCGCCTCCGAGAATCCGGGCCTGTCTCCCTCCTCATCCTCCAAATCCAACAACCGAGTCTGCAGCTCATGCTTCTGGTCCTCGTTGCTCCAGCTCTGCTGGCGAACCACAGGCGGTTTCCAGGGCTTTTCTGTCCTTGTGCTAGTGGGACCGGCGGCTGCACCCAGATCAGCCCCGGAAGAGGAGGCGATACCGGAGCGGTCTGCTAAATTGTCTGTTGGGAGCTGGACGAAGTCTGAGTCGGGACGGTTGGTTCGGGATTTGTTGATGGACATTTTATAATGGTCTTTCCCTTGTGTAGTTGTTCGGTGGAGATGCGGTAGGGAGATGTAAAGGGAGGTAGGTAATTGTCGAGGTGGAACTCTGTGGTCGGGTGATTTTGTTTGAAAGGTGTGTTGGAAGTGAGCCGAGTGTAGTTGAGAGGACTGGGGCAAGATTGAATGAATTTAAGAGGAGAGGAGAGAGAGAGGGTCGCGTTTTAATGCAATGATAGCACCACCCTTCGGAATGACGTCTCCTGCGTGGCGGTGGCTTTGCTTCTTTTGTGAGACGATAAGAGACAAGGCGATGGCAAGTACTTCGGCGATCAGGAAAAAAAGTTCTGGGATCATTGAGAAGGGGAGCAGAGCAAAAAGAAGAAGAGGGGGGGAAGGGACTGGCCACCCGCCGTTGGGGAGAAAATCAACGTCACTTCCCGGTCTAGAATGTTCAGAATGAGGGGAAGTAAGTAGTACAGAAAGAGGAGGTCCGGGGAGGTACGACAAGCAACTTTATGGTCCATCTGATTCCCACTACTAGAGCTTGTACTGTACATACTCTCTCCAATGTTCGTATCGCCACATTATGCAATTCATTCATTCATTCATTCAATCCTCACACAGACCTTCGAAAAGTGCCTCTGCTCATCCATATACTGATAAGCCTCCTCGACCTCCTCAAACCCAAATACCCTCTCATCGATCGCCGGCTGGATCCGATGTTCCTCGATGAACCGATTCATCTCTTCAAACTGCTCTCTCGTGCCTAGCAGAACTCCTCTTACCGTACACAAGTTCACAAGACAGTCGATCAGAGTATTTACATTCGAGTCTGGGGCACCTCCCAGCAGACCCGTCATGGCAATCACCCCCTCCGGCCGCACGGCCTTCAGCGACTGGCTCACAGTTGACAACCCACCAACGTCGACCACGAGATGCACACCCTTCCCGTCTGGCGTCAACTGTCGCGCAGACTTTCCCCACTTGGGATTGCGCCGGTAGTTGAGCACATGGTGCGCGCCGAGAGCTTGGAGGCGCTGTGCTTTGGTGTCGGAGCTGGTCGTGGCGATCACGGTGGCACCTGCTGCTAATGCGAACTATATAGCATTCAGTTTAATTCATCGAGCGGCCCAGAGAGCAGAAAAGCAATGAACGGGCTAAACGCTGGGGAGAAGACAGTACCTGCAGAGCAATAACCGATACCCCACCTGTCCCCTGTACCAACACAACATCCCCCTTCTTCGGTGCGCGCGACGACAGCCCGAACAGCGCATTCCAGGCCGTCAAGGCCGCGCACGTCAACGTACTTGCTTCCACAAACGAAAGACTGGACGGCATCTTCACCAGCGCCGTCTGATGGAACACGGCGTACGGACGCAGCGTCCCGTCTATCCTCTGGCCCAGTCCACTGCCGATGTCCGCGAAGGTGACCGGCTCGGATTCAGGCTTGTGCGGCACCATGTATGTGCAGACTCGGTCCCCGGGTTGGAAGACCTGCACCTGAGGCCCGACACTTTCGACGATGCCGGCACCGTCAGATGCAGCTACCACATTGGGGTTGATGACGAGGGAATGGGCGCCCTGAGCGGTGGACAGGAATTCAGCTATCAATTGTCCGATGGCAGAGGGGAAGAATGGACTATAGAAGATGAAGGGCAGTGCATACCTTGGCGATGGCTAAGTCTCGGTGATTGAGCGATGCTGCATGGATGCGCACCAAGACGTCATGATCGCCCAAGGAAGGAACGGATTTATCATCGATGAGTTTGAGACTTGAGAGACCTTGCTGGCCTTCAAGGATCCAGGCCCGTGAGGCGTGCATCCTGGCTTTCGAGTAGTTTCAGGAATGTGACTCGGGAATCAGTACGCCTTCAGATGAACTCGAGAGATACGACGACTCTCATAAACGGGGAAAGGACCCGCATTAAATATCTTTGCAGCCATTGGTATGGAGGTAACCAAATCAGGAGAACCCTGGATTCAAATGGAAGCTGGCGGGCGGGCTGCACATTTTCGAGTCTGCCATTGCCATGATGTGGGGACCTTGAATCATGCTGATGTGCCGGTAAGGCAACACCAAAATGGCAGCACGACTCAATGGAGTCCATGGGACGAAGTCTAGAGCCAGAATTGACCAATCCGAGGGCGGGCAGTGGAGAGTGGCCGTTGACCCGGGCGGAAGTTCGGACGTATTCCAGTTTTTTGGGCGGCTTGCAGCAGTTTGACCCACAACAGAGGTCTTTCTTTATCTCTTTACCCTAAAGTCTACGTGAGTGAGGGCAACAATGCCGTGCAATCCATCCTTCGAGGGCGCATCAAGATGGGGAACTAGAAGAGCAGCGAGCTCGAGCTCTTCATCAACCGCAACCGCGGCGACCAGCGCCGTCCAACTACGCCCAGCTGATGTCGTCACCCGCAAACCGAACGAGAGACAGTCGGGCCGCGCTTGAGGCTTTAAGCGAAGCCCTCTTTGCAGCATTTAGTGACATGTCGGTGACAATCAATGACACCTGCCGGTTCACGGAACTGGGTTGGAAGGTGATCGATACCGGCATGTACGGCAACGCCTTGAGCGACGCGCTGGGCTGTTCCTGACTGGCGAGCCATCCCACCTACGGGAGGGCCCGTGTCAGCCTGATCATCGACGAGGAACTGGGCTTTGTCGTCACGAGCGGCTTCATTCCGGGCAGGGCCTATCTGACAACGGGAATGTTTCTGCCTGTATTTCGGATACGATGACTGCGGCGCAGGAGGCTCAGGATGTATGGTACGAGGAAATGGTAGCCCAATGCTACTCTGCCTGCGCTGCCGCCTATGGAGCCTACGGGGGATACCCTTGAGGTGCTCCAGTCCTACGGCGGTCAACTCCAGGCCATGCAAATTGTTGTTTTTCTGAAAATGGTACGATGACCTGACGATTACGGCTCCTTATGCTTCCCCGGCGAGTGGATGAAAGACGACCGACGCGCAGTATCAAGACACCTGGACGCATTAGAACCAATGGACTGCGCCAACCCTTTGCTAGATCCGATGCAGAAGTCTGACAATGATTACGAAAGCGAGCACATCCTGGAGCTTCAGGTCATTCCCATGTTCTTCTGCTCAAAACTTAGGCTCGGATCAGCAGGCCACTCTTGACTTGGTTGATTGCTCGTTCTGTCTTAATACAGCCCGAGGGGTGATAACAGGCTGCATGTGGATCTTCTACTCAAGACGTTCTTGTACATTGGTGACGCATACGACCTGGATCTCGCCAAAAGCCCCGATTTCGAAGCGTGTCAGCCCTCGGTAGCAGCAGGAATAAGGCAAACCTTATATCTTCTGCAACGAGAGGTCAATGGATGAAATCAAGGGTCTTCCGAAACATCGCCTTGGTGGACGAGACAAACTGGCCAACGTTTGTGGCTGACACTACAATAAAGGATCGCAATGGAAGAACTCTAGGCAGCTATGCGGTCTGGAATTATCTCAATGACCCCGAAGTTGAGTCGTTTCTGGATCTTGCCAACAACTTTCGAGGAGTTTCGAGCATATAGATGAAAGAATGGACGACGTCCATGGTGAAACAGAAGCGTTCTCAGGCGCCTGGAAGCAATGGTGGAATGGCTATCTCGACTATCAGGTGGAGCGCAATTCAGCACCATGGTTCCGCCCCACGTTTCCGGCCAATAGTAGAGAGCGTTCTTGGACCCCCGTCTTCGTGATTCTCCTGCTTCAATCCGTTCCGTCTTCTGGTCCCTATATCAACAACAAAATGACGGTGACCATCGATAGCCTTCCTGCAGAGCTCCGAAGACAGATCTCCCTCTTGGTAAGCCGATCATGAAGACAGACAAGATTCCTGGATAAACACTGAAAAGACCTGACAGGTCCTTGATGCTTCCCGGCATGATCTGTCTGCTCTGAGTCAAACTAGTCAAGCCTGGCACAGCATCGCGGCTCCTCAGCTATATCAGGATCTACGCATCAAGTTCCACGATCTAGCAAGCTTGCAACATGACGTCTCTGAGTTTTACATCGATGGCCATGGGCGGCAGTACCTGCGTTATGCCCGCAAACTCGATCTTGTTTGTCTAGAGAAACCATCATGGATAAATACTCAAAAAGCCAAAGATCTCTGGAAGCAGAAAAACTGGTACAACGAATTTATCAGCTTCAAGCCGCGAGCCGCGGAGGACGGCTTTCTCTCCAAGAGTCTAACTGAATGTCATGACAAGGATCTCCTTTTTCTCCGGGAGACGGTTGATGAGTACCCGCAAAACGAGTGGGAACCTATCCTCGCTCTGATCGGGCGGCTCCAGCATCTTAGCGCTTTTAACTATGTGGTGGTGAACACATTCCCCACGGTTATCCTCAACGCACTCCAACAGTCCCACCCCACTTGTCGTCTGAATATCTGGACATCCCAATGCCCTTCTATCGATATTGATGGTCTAGGACGTTCCTGTAAGCTGGTGAGGAAGGAAGCTCGAAGGCCATTTGATCTCCGCATCCTACGCGCGCCGACACTCCACACGCTGAAGGTAGTTTACACGATGGGGTTGCAACCGCGAGAATGGCGATGGATACACCTCGACGAGCCCATGCCACTCATCTTCACCGCCCCCAATCTAAAGCATTTGATCATTGACGACAAACGCGAAGGCCGTGACAATCCAATCGAGATAGTGAAAGAGGAGTGGGAAGACTTCATCTCCTTCTACAGCAAGCTTGTCCCAGTTGCCCCGGCCACCCATTCCCTCGAGTCCCTAAGTTTCAGACGTGACGGTGCCGGGTTGGCTCAGGAGCAGATCCTGCTGCGCGTCTCCACCATGACCGACCTATCTCGACTACGGTCGCTAGAGATTGGGGTCTATTCGGAGCCAGAGCTGTTGGCGCAAGCAGCTGCGCGATTGACCGGACTAGAACGGCTGTACATCAAGATGGTCCCGCGGTTCAAGGGGCTCCGTCGTGGGGTCGCTCCAGATCGCGAAGAGATGATTGCCACCGTGCGGGCTTTCCGCCCGTTGAAATTCCTCCGCCTGATCAGCCTGCGGAGCTTCTCATCTCTCGATCGGATTGTCTCGCACCACGGCCGGGCACTGAAAGGGCTGAGTTTGGAAGCCTCGTACCGCCAACGTGAGCAACCTGACGATGAGGGCCACAAGTACCCCGTCAATGACGGCGAGCAGCTCCGGTACCTGGCTCGACTCTGCCCCGAGCTGGAAGAACTCCATCTCCCGCTGCTGCGCACGGGTGGTGATGCCCGCGAGTGCGATCTGTACCGGGCCATCGGCCAGTGGAGCCATCTCCGTCAGGTCGTACTCGACTTGGACTGCGATCCGCGGGTTTCTGGGGTGGCCGATGAAAGAAACGTTCTGGGTGACCCCACGTGTCTTCGGGAGATCCTCCACAACGCTGCCATCGACGAGGCGCTTGTCGCAGGCATCTTCAAGCTCATGTGCTCCGGCCAGGCTAACGAATCGCTCAAGCAGCTCCGTGTCAATCTCTTGTCGCTTGGGATCATCTTCCCCCAGCCACTGGTCAACGTTCTCCGGCAAATTAGTCAGTCGTTCCTTGTCACCCGGCCTGGGTTACCGCCAACTGCGGAACTGCAGGTCCAGGCGGTTGGGACCGTTGCGTGGCAGCTGTGGCATGAATGGATCCTCGTTGACGACCCGTCCTTGCGGACTCCGCCGCCAGTCCAACAGATACTGGAGGAGTGGTGGCCGCTTGACTCGGATCGAAATCGCAGTAAGAGTTGGGAGGAGGTACCGCTGCTGGTTAAGAGCTTTCCTTTGGAGGCTGGTATTGGGAGCGACAGTGATGCGCGAGATAATAGAGGCAGCAGCTTCGGAGATGCGAGCGGCTGAGTAGAAACTACCATCTAATCGTCATGTACAGTACCTACTCTTCTGGTGACGGAGGCTTGGATGCCTCTTATTAATGTAATATACCGCTAGACTCTGTTTCTACTAGTTCAACTTAGTAGTCTCAATATCACCATGATCAAGTCGAGCTATGAGCCTTTTTGCTCGGTCAACTGCCTTCCATTGATCCACTTTCTCTTCATCAGTTCTTGATGTCTTTCACGGCTTTATCTGCTCAGAGATGGTGTGATCCCTTCTTCATACGAGGATCAAGCCTTTTTCGTCGGCGAGCGTAGACCATAATATCTCCTCTCTTCACCAGCCCAGCCAACCACCATTGCATCCAACCAGTGCGTTTCAATCACCTCTGGTTTATTCCCACGAATCGACCTTTTCTTTGATTTATGTTTTTTTCTGGGTGAAGGAGATGATACCTGATGGAATGACCTCAGATCTGCCGGTGCTCTATACGTGGGATTTTCTCACATTCTGTCATTGCCCACTTTGGTGCATTGAATGCTTTTATGCTTTCCTTTCCTTCCTTCTCTTTGCTATTTCTTCTCAGGATCAATGGAATAAGAGGAGCTAGGTCAAGAATCCTCAAATATAGGATTGTTGAGTCAAGTCTTTATCTAGGACCGGAAATAGATATATCGTGGATCAGGGCTGTCGATGCCGCTTACCATCTAAAACACCGGGGTGAAAGACAGTACCTTACCTTACTTTCCCTGCAGAGCAAAAGCCGATACCCCGCCTGTCCCCTGTACCAACACACTACCCCCCGCCCCCGTCTTCGGTACGCGCGCGACGATAGCCCAAACTGCCAAAGGAAGGGGACGGATTTATCATCGATGAGTCTGAGACCTAAGAGGTTTATCCCAACACCTCGGGCATCCCATCCTCTCAACGACCAACATCTCTCATCATGCAATCAACCAACCCATGTGACCCAGCACAAAAGAAATCCTACACCAGCGAGGGCGTGGACCTCGATGACCCGCGCAGTTTGCTTTAAGACCCGCTTGTGCGTCAAGTAGACTAAATGAATAGACTAACAGGTACAGTACCATTATTCCCGCTTGTTGAGCATAGCATCCGCGATCCACGCTCATGTACCCACAGGGCATGACACTACACTATCGAATCAGATAGACATGAAAATACTCCGCCAGTCAAGATGCGGATACCCCGCTCTCTAAGAGCAACAGACTTGCGAGGATGGGATGGGGATATTGTGGGAGACTGTTCGCCTACATTCAACGGGCACAGTTGTCTAGGGGCAAAAATAAGAATAAAAAAAAGGGGGTTCAGAGAAGATTCGATTCCCAAGACCGAACGACTACGTCAGTGGTCGTCGAGTTAGGCAGTTCAGAATTGTTGGAATTGTGTAGTAAATTTCAGGTCTGTGGTGTACCCGTTAGGCTGCGGTGGGACAGAAAAGGGAAGACCTGTGCCAGTTAGATACCTAAGAAAGTACCTATTCAGGAAGCCTGGTCTAATTCCATCCAGCAACGCCTGTGCACATAAGAACATGTAACCATTCCAAGTAAAAGAGATAATTCAATAGGAAAAATAAATCAGATCAAGCTCAATCCACCTTAGAGAATTCCATTTTCTAGAATAAAGACCAGAAAATCAAGGTTGATGCACGTGCTATAATGTACCGTGCATGCCCTGCAGCGGCCTACTAGTGTAAATCCCCTCCAGCCAATCAAAGTGCAGCATATATGTACAATCTCAAATGCCACGTTCCTATTGGTCGGATGATAACTATACAACATCTGATAAAAATTGAATAGGAAGAACAATTGAATCAATCTCAGATCCACAATTGTACTTATTCTGCTCCTGTCAATAGACAATGATTAACATCTAAATGGTGATTAATAAGTTATTGGACCTAGATAAAATTAAGCTGAAGTTAATTGGACTTAGTAAACTACCTAGTAATCAGTCACAACGATTATACCAGTACAGAGATAATACTCCCTTTTACTGCAGTCACTATTCCACTCTCCCCCTTGTATTAGACCCTCCAATGCACATGCTACACGCCTACATTCTATCGATGCCATCCGACTCCCCATCGAACAAGATACCAGCTGAGTGGTACTAGGTCGTCCTCTCCCACCCTTCGGAACACACGTCTCCGAGTGCCATTGTCTGCTTTTAACACCTGCAAATCCAGAGCCCGACCACAACTACCTCAAGTTCCAAAGAGCTATCATACAAGGGACGAGGGCTTGGGCGTAGTTTCTCTACTTTAATACCCCAAGACCCACCAGGCCTACACAATTGCCCATAGCAATACAAAACACACCGATTCCTCATTATCAACTAAGCTTTTGTTCCATGAGAAACCTTTAATGTAACATACAAGTCATCAGAGGAGAGCATGGTGTCTGGATGCGAACAAGAAAGACGGAACCACACCAAAGAGACCGTTGCCAAAACAATGGAAACGAATCCTGACGTCTCAAAAGTCATCCATCACAAGAACCACAGCCGATTCCTAAACGGTTGAGCGGGACCATCCACACACACATCACCAAACGGAAGACGAAGGAAAAGAAAGAAAAAAACAAAAACCGCCGTCATCATACACCTTCATCAAACATAAAATAAACAGGGTATGCCCACGCCAACGCTATGCGAGTCCTTGTACAGAAACAAAAAAAAAACAGGGGGAAGGGGATCGGAGGGGAAAGGAAGAGTCAAGCATAGCAAGATATGTACCAGGAAATCAAAGAAGGAAAGTATTCTTAGATAATATATGATTCTTATTTATTTCGGCTTGCGCCAGAAGTATTGCTGGAGAGTATCAGTCAGCTGGAGACGCTATCGATAATCAATTGCAAGGGTCATTCATACCTTGTGCTGCTTGCGGCAGTTTCGGAGGCCGGGTTTCCGGAGATCATGAACAACGGCCTCCCGTCGCATATCGTCCTCATCAAAGTCCGGGATATAGTAGTATTCACTCTCCAGAGCCTTCCCCGCGGCATCCTTTCCTTCACGAGCGACTTTGCCAATGCACTTCGTGGTATCCAGAATCGCACGGATCTCTTCTCTCGTGGGTCCCTGTCTCGAGTGGCTGTCCCGTTTCCACAGGGCTGGCGGAAGGTTGTTGAGGATGGTGGAGAAGGGCGTCGAGGAGAGACGGGAGAAAGCCAGCTGGTTGACAGCGTGGTTCTGAACGCGTTCACCGCTTTCATCAAGCGGCTGTGGCTTGACCGGTGTGGCATCCTCCTGACTATCGCCATCGGCAGCGGACTCTACGGTCTTGGTTGTTTGTTTTGGGGATTTGGCGTGCTCAAGGCCCTGGGACGAGAGCTGATTGCGTGGACGAGCAGGTTGCAGTGGGGACTCATCTGCTGTGAAAGAAGCCATCCGGGGCAGGAGGTTCTCGCCGAACGGTCCAAAGGAATGAATGATAGGATCATTCTCCTCGTCGTGATCCGAAAAGTCGTCATGTCTACTCAGGTCGCTCAGATCACTTGACTGTGAACTCTGCAGGAGGTCCTCCACACTGGAAGAAGACGTCTGGGTATCATCGGCAGGCAACGACCCGGGAGATACGGGGCGGCGAACAGGCGAGCCCTCATCTTCGTACACAACCACAGCGTTCCGCGAGCGTGTCGGGGTATACAGAGGAGAGGATGGCGGCACCAGAGACTTTACGGCGGGCGAGGGTGACACCGGGGATGCCAGGCGTTGGCGTTCGACCGCAGGGCTGTCATGGATACTCCGGATTGATTGCCCCTTGCGTTGTTTAGGCGTAGTTTCCTCTTCCCAGGTCTGTTCTGAATCTGTGGAGGTATAGTCCTTCTTATCATTCCGAGGCCACTGGACGAGCACGCGAGCCTCATGGACGTCGATCATGATGTCAGCGTCCTTGATATCCGAGGTGAATGTCTTGCCCTTGCCCAAGTCGTAGGTTTTCCCCTGGCAGTGTAGCTTAATTCCGTTCCATCCCAGGCACATAATCTCCACCGTATCACGGTCAAATGGGTTAGGGGCGGGTTTATATCGGGCTTTGACATGGACCCTTGAGATCATCCGGTTGGCCGCAAGTTGGTGATGACACGAGGCACTGGATCTCCCCATCAAGACCGGCTCACCACTCTCAGGCAGCATCAACTCGGGGACGGTGGACAGAGGGGTCCGTTCCGAGGTCGATGTAAATGTACGTCGAGAAGCCGGACGCGGCAGAGCCATTCGGGGAGGGGAGGAGGACATGATATGGGTCGACGAGGTCGGGACCGGAGTGGGATAGGTGGAAACGATGCCATGGTCTTCGCGTGCTACACGCTTCTGTGGTCGGGGCAGGGACGGGGACGAGCTCAATGGCTCGAAAGCAGGCAATAGGGCCGCCGGACGCTTGATACCTGCCATAGGAGCAGCTGTACTGCTCCTTGGCGGCGAGGACTCCATGTTGGCAGACTTGTCCTTCGCGTCGTACACGTCTGGGACGAAGCTAAAGTAATTAAGATTATGGTCACTCGAGAAGCTGCAGAGGGATTGAGTTAAAGATCCCACAGATCAATTGGAGACCTATCTGATCGCGTCGAGGACAAGTAGGAGGAGCAGGAGGAGGGAGGGGGGGGGGGGGGTCTCTATGTTCTATAGGAGTGGAAGATAGCGATTGGGAGAGACGTGACGAGTTGGTTTCGTGCAGACCAGACCAGAAGGAAAGTAGTTGACTAGACGCGGAGACAGAAGCGTGTCAAGGACGAGCAAAGGAAGGGAAGGAGCACTGAGGGTTCATCTGCCCCAAGACGAAAGGGTCCAGGGAGGTTGGGTCAGGCTTCGAGGAGGAGGAGGGAGGACGGGGGGTTGAGCACAAAGCACAAAATGTTTCGACCGTAGGGGGAAAAACGAGAAACATTGAAGAAAAGGGTGAAAGGATGTGTGGTGTGTGGTGTGCGGTGGAATGTCTGCCCCGGAACGGAGCGTCTCGTCCTTCCAGCGCGGAAATGCACGCTTACAGTCCGAGACGCGTTCGATAGGCGCCGGGCGAGAGTCTCAGAGCTCCACCCCCGAGCCTCGCGCAGCAGCAGCAGCAGCCTCGAACGAATTGCATTGACAGCGCATGGTTGGTATTTATAAATGGGGGAAGAACAGGGAGAAAGAGTGGCCAGGCCCAGAAATGACAATGGCCTGCATTTAGTTTGTCTGTCACTCTCTCTCTCTTTAGATTCAGAACACTCTGAGTTTTGTTGTTGATTTGTTTCAAGGCAAGGGATGGGCCTGAGTTGGGAGCCTCGACACCCCAGGCAGTCAAGGCGCGTCGCTCACTCGAACCAGATAACGCGTGGCACGTGATAGTGTGTCACGTGAACGCGTGGCGCCTTGCCTCGTCGGTGGCACGCTAGTCTGCCTCCGGACTAGTCATGCCAAGTCCCGGGGTGGCTGTCTGTCAGTCACTGAATTATTGATGACCTCAACAGTCATTGAACATAGTTAAGCACTGCACCCTTAAGTCCAAGCTGGAGCATACCTGATCCAATCCAACCTTGACGTCTTGCACAACTCCCTGACTTGTACTAAAACCTGCTTGCGCCTCCGCTGATCACCCTCCAGCCTCCGGTCCCAACTTTAGGAAAAGTGAAGATGATGTGAGGCATGATGGTGCTTCCATCTCTTCACATTTCAATGACGAAAATAAAAAAAATGACTGCCGACGTATCTTTGCCCCAACCATATGAACTTTTCCCAGCCCCCCTCTTCCCTCTTACCAACCATCATCCAACCTTCCACAAGCACCTGAAAACGACATGGTCTCTCCTTCGCCCTTAGATTCCAGCCCAATGCTCAATGGCATTGAAGTACCCCGTTCACCCCAGCTCTGTATCCCGAGCTCACCACCCAGCCCGAGGAGCAGATGCACATGCAAAGTACACTCACTCACTCACTCACCGCATGCGCCTACTAGCCCAACACCACCTAGTCGTGCTTGTTACTCGATAGTACGCAACCTGGAAACTCCCACCATGGCCAGAGTTGGCCATTCAAACGATTGCTCTCTCTTTGGAGCGAATGCACAATTCGCCCCTTCAACCAGCAAATCCCAAAGAAAAAAAAAAAAAAAAAAAAAAAAAACACCCACCCAACCTGATAAGATACAGCACAAAACACACGCAAAGAAAAGACCCCGATAGAAGTACTCGTACGAAAAACCCACACCGACAGACCACACAGTGGCACACATACCCAGCCTCCCCAAGATCGGGGAGGGGATCCACTCATGCAATGCACATTCCAGAACATTTTAAGACTAGATCCAGTCGACCGTGCATGACACAGGTGGAGATGCCGCCGGGGGAATGTGATGTACACATAGGCTTAGACGTTTATCTGTCCAATCTCCATCGGCCACTGAAGACACCAAGAAAAAAACCTTCAAGCCTTTTTCAACCATTGATTGATCTTGTCTTCTTGCCATGGCGTCGGATTTATCTTTTGTTGAATCGGCCGAAGATCCACCGAGCAAGGTTTTTTAATAGAGTTTCGAATTTCTAGAACTTGGTGGTCGGCGTCAAGGTCCGTCGTGGTAGGTGGATGCTGCTGCTGCTGGATGGGGGCCCAGAATGGAGTGGGCACTGCAGCAATACATGCCGATATCCGGTCCCCCAAGCCCCGAGGAGATATCCACATAGTCTTCAAGCAATCGGTAGGGAATGCAGTGAACAGTAGCCGAAGTGGCAAGAGTAGACCAGTCGAGCCGTCTTGCTCACTGGTAAATCTTGTTCAATGTTCAAAGGCAATTTCTAAAGGAAAAGAACGGGAATAACACTTGCATAGCTTTGAAAATCATCAAAGTGAATTAGTGGGTCATTTCGATCTGAACAACATGAAAAAGAAGTGGCACTACTGTACAGGATATCGCTAAATTACATCCCATCCTCCACAGAAAGATGAGAAGAAACTCCGCGGTGATCAAATGGGAAAATCAGTGTTAACTTCAGTGTCGAGAAAAGTAAAAAAGCTAACCACAATCGCCCCCCAAACAAAGGAAGGGTGACGTTACAAATGTGACAGGTGTTGCAAGCTTTTCCACGTCACATAAGTATGAAATACTAAGATACACGAAGAAAGCAAGCACACTGAAAGGTGAATCATGATCAAGGGCGGAACAGAGGCATGAAAAAAAAGGTCTTCTATTTGCAATTGTGCCTTTGTCGGGATACGGAAAGGCCGTGGGAAGCCGGAGCCGGCATTTGACGACAGAGGCTACCACGGAGAATTATCTACTTTAGTAGAAGACATAGGTGGCGGAGCCCGAGACGACCTCGACCTGCGGGTAAAATTAACAATCAGGCCAGGGACTTCCAAGGGGAACGGAACAAAGCAAGGGCTGGGGAACACTCACAGTGCAGCCGGAGTCGTTGGAGCCGGACTCGGAATAGAAAACACCATCCTCATACTTGCAAGAACCGCTCAGGTTGTCACCCTTGATCTTGACATTGTAGTCAAGCTTCTCGGTAGTGGTGGGGCTGTTCTGGAAGATGGACAGCCACTTGCCGTCATTGACACCAACACCAAGGTTGATAGGGGCCCAGTTGCCGATGGCCGCAGTGCCGTTACCCCACTGGCAGCCCTCCTCGGTGGAAACACCCTTGGGGTTAACGTAGTACTGAGCAGAGGTAATCTTGCCCTCCCACTTGTAGTAGGTCTCGCCGTCAGGGCAAGTCAGGGGCTGGAGCGTGTTGTCGCCAAGGTGAAGAGGGATGGTCTCGGACTCGGTACCTATTGATTTGTAAGTAAGCAGCTGTCCAGGTACTGTGGGCTGGTGCAAGACACTTACCAGGATAATCAGTACGGCAAACAGCAACACTCTCGCCGAGCGTGTTCTGGACGTGGACACCGCCAGTACCCTCAATGCAAAGCTTCTTGGACAAGGAAGTGTTGGTAAGGTAGAGCTTGCCGTTCTTGCACTGGATACCACCAACGGACTGTCCGGTAGATCCCTGGGTGCTGGGCCACTGGGACTTCTGATAACCCGCGGGGCAGGCGTAAGAGCACATGGCGCCGCTGGTGCAGCTATCACCGGAGACACCAGTGGTGATCTCGGTCACGACGCTGCCGGAGATCGTGACGTACTGGATACCGGACCAGCCGCCAAGTCCGAGGTAGTCGAGGGCGACAGCACCGTAGTCGGAGGGGAAGGTGTCGCAGTCCAATTCTCCATCAGGGAAGTCCGCATCCAAGCCGGTGGCAGTGGAAGAGCTAGAACTGCTGGCAGAGCTGGAAGAAGCGGAGCTGGAAGCAGCGACGGTGGAAGAGTAAGCGCTGCTGCTGGAGCTCCAAGAGCTGCTGGAGGAAGTGGCCTTAGCGACAGCGACTTCAACGAACTCGGCAACGGAGCTGAGAGCAGGAGCCGCGGTGGTGGAAGTGGAAGTCGAGGCAGCGGTAGTCGAAGAGCTGCTAGCGCCGTTGCAAACATCAGGAACGTCCTGACCAGAGGCCCAGGTCAAGGTCTTGTCGGCGATACCCTTGCAGACTTCCTCGAGAGTGATAGTCTTGCCGTCGAGAACATAAGTGACCACAGTAGGACCAGCAACGGTGACAACCTCGGACTCAGGGTTGCGCTTATGATGGTGGCGGTGCTGGTGGTGGTGCTGAGCAGCCACCAAGGAGGCCGTGGCCAAGCTAACAGCAACGGCGTTCAACTTCATTGTTGTAGTTTTGTGTGTTGCACAAGTGCACAGCGGGGTATCGTGTTAGAAAATCGATGAACTCTGTATATACCAATAAAGAATATCACATTAGTATGTTCGTCAAACGATCATCGATGGTCACGTCCAGTCAATTTCCTGTGCCAGGCATGGGGATCGCCTTGATCACCGCCTTTCACCAGGCATATTAGGGATCATGAAGACCCGCGATGCGACTCATTAAGTGGAGTGTCATGCGGCTTCAGCCCACGTCGCGCGAGCACTCACTCATGAACATGCGGGTCATGGGGGAGGGAGTGTAGTATAACAATGAACAGTGGTAACCTACCGCAACGTCACGGCAAACCAGTCGCGCGCTCTGGACAGAAAGTAACAAATCTGTACACGAATCGAAGGTGCAGCGATTGAATATGAGAGGGTCAAGGAGTGGAAAGTGAGAAGAAAAGGAGGTTCCCGAAAAGAGCGTGCGAGAGAGAAGCTAGTCCCTCTGGTCGGACAGGAAGTTCTCGCGTGGGTAACAGGCGAAAGCCGGAGGGGAAAATGAAACGCTCAGGGAAGGCGAAGAAATTGAGGAGGGTCGCGAAGAGGGAGGAAGAGGAGAGAAAAGGGAACCGGAAGGGGAGATGAAGGGCAGGTGAAAGTACGGTAGAGAGAGTAGGTAAGCGGTTAGATCGATCCAGTTGGACCAGGGGGTGAGAATGGAAAAAGGAAAGGAGGGGGACAACAAGACACTAAAGCGTGCGCGCAGGCCTTTTTTTTTCCTTCCAGGGGTTAAACTAAATGCAAAAGAGTGTAGTGGTGTGTGGCACTTTGGCCGTGGAGAAGAGAGGAGAGAAAGTGTGGACAGACCAAAAGAAAGGCAATAATATTACACTTGTCGGCCATCGTTGGTGATAATAATAATGGGGGGATAAAAAAGAAAAATAATATTAATACTAGGGGGCCCACATGGTTAGTGTCCGGTCATGATTCAGTACTCGGATATTACATTTCCAGTATTTGGACTGTATTCAATTTTGATTGTGATCTCTGGCTATCATATTACTTAGTATGATCATAGGTACAGTACCTATAATTCATCTTTATACAAAAAGTCGTTTAGATAAGGTGGACAGAGATCTCAAGAATGTATAAGGCACATTCCGGTATGTGCCTTCCCCCTGATGACAGGAGACCGGAAACCCCCCAAGATCCCACAAGAATTTGACATTCTACACCTTGAGTTGCCTTCAGACAACAAATAGGGGGCGGTAAATAGAAAACTCTCCTCTCACCCAAGCCAAGTCCGCCAGGATCAGCTCGCTCAAAGAAAGACCACCCACAAGGCAACGTGAAGCCAGGAAGTGGGGATTTGGGGAGAGGGGCCAGGTTCCATACTAGAATAACACTCACAGCCCAGCCAATGTGTTTCTCTTCTGTTTCTCTTTCCTTTGAGAAGAGAGCCAAGACTCGGAGTGACTGTCTGGAACAAATCCAACAGTGTTGAGTAACCGAACTTGGGGAGGATTCGCAGGCCGGGCATTAAATCCTTGCCTATTTTTCTTCCACCGCCAGCATGTTTGGAGCTTTCCTGTTCCTGACACTCTTTTGCTTGGCGGTTACCGAAATTAATTAAACCTCCCAGCCAATTGAGGGTGAGATTCGGCCCTCAGCCGGTGGAACCAGACTTTGTCCCCATTCAGGCACACCAATCACCGGCTGAGGCGCTGCCGAACCATTGCCACAAATCGGCCTACCATGGCAATGTCTCATGTCCGATCTTAATGTTGGCCTGCATTAGTGGGCGCAGTCGGCCTGGCGGCAGGAAAACTGAAAGGGAAGATCAAGAAAGTGTTATTCAACAAGTCAGACATCCAGGACAGCAACAACAAAATCAACATCAACACAGTTGCACTGCCTTATGTGTTGTTCTTAGGTTGTTGTTCATTGTACTGTACCAGCCAGGGTCCATATCATCAAATACTTCTCATAGCTGGCAGGCACAAAGCGCTTCGGGTAGTGATGTAACCCCTCTCCAGTATTCTGGATCTTCAACTGTTTCAGCCTTCGGCAAACCCCAACCTTCAGTATTTGTTCTGTAACGCATTACCCATGACCACCTTCGTACTCTCAACTCTTTCAGAGCCAAGCAAGTTTAAACCACCTACTTGATGGATCTGCACAGTGCGCGAGTCTGGCCGAAAAGGGGCCCTCTGATATTTTTAACCCTTTCGCAAGCCGACCCTTAAGCCCTTCTGCTCGGCTCGGTATTATAGCCTCCAGCCTATCTGCGGAACCCCTGCAGCCGTTGTTAAACACCCTGCAAGTGAGATGATCAGGATCCCTGGCGACCGATCCGAGGCACTTTACATGTCATACGTTAAGATCGTCAACAACACCAAGTGGCTGAAAATAAGTATAATTCCCCATCTATAGTAGCTAACAAGTATACTTCACGGCATTGCTCTAAGACATTGTTGATGTCCTCTATGATGATGAGTAGGTATATTCGGGGGCAGCTTCATGCGACTCGGTAAGGGAGACAGATTGCTCTCTCTTCATACTTATGAGATGATTGCAAGTCTGTTGGCGTAGGCAGTGTCTCGGTCGCAGTTTCGGGTGCTTGCCTGGTTATACTGTCGTATTCGAATGCAGGTCCATTGCTACTCTAAACAAATATAGCTTGACGCTACGACCTGTCATTTGGGCGCCTGGTCTGCGCCTCAGGTCTGGCACGACGATGATAAGCGACGATGTCAGATCTCCCTTGATGCATATGTAGCCTGGGAGGCTGCTGGCCTACATTTGCTAGGTCATGGGAGATTCATCGGCTGCTCTGGAGACAATTCTGACGCTAGAACTACATTCCATGCGCCTTTACAGTCTACCGTGATCCATAGACGTGCAGTTGCCGGGCGCACAATTATAGCAAGCCATTTCCTATACTCCTCATCTAGACACGCATTCCTTGTCATGAGATTCTAGATTCTGTAACATCCTCTGATGCGCTTAGAGCAGTAGGTGGCCATCTGAGCCAAACCCGACCGGTGATGACGAATGTTGGTCCACTAGGCAATAACCTAATTTGCAGACGTTGATCATCATAATAAGCTTACAAGGAAAGAGCGCCAGTGAGTGTGACATGTTTATCTCGTCTGGCTGTTGTGATCTTTTTCGCTGTTATGTCAACTGATATCGGATCGAGATGCTTATGACAAGTGCGGGGTACCCCGGTAATACAAACACTGTTATCCTTGTTCAGGCTTCTGACTACAGAAAGACGGACAACGACATCAGACCCATGCTTATTTTGATCTCTGTTACAGACTCGACTACTTGTGCATGTACCAAGCATGTTTTCAACAGTGACCAGATCACTCGGCTTAAGTGCTTTATCTCGTCCACGCAATAGAAGCTTATCAGAAGATATATCTCGGCGGCAAGCTCTTTTGCTCGATGAGGGCGGGTCTTTCACACCAGCGCACCAAAGATACAAATACTGTATGAGTCTCTATCCTGAGCCAATGAGGAGTCACTCCTTAAGCCATACCAGCTGTACCAATGCTGCACATTACTGCTATCTGCAAACATTTTACAGATGGCTCATCACTGCACAGTACCTGCATAACAAGGCAGATTTCATATCCAGGAAAATGCGCAAGCTCCCGAGCCAGCAAAGCACGACGCAATTCGCCTAACAAGCCTGGCCTCCTGTTTGAGTTTAACAATACGACCAAGGCCGCCTCTTTTTTAGCCCCTTTGCCCCCAAAGCCGTCCTTACAACACAACAACTCCCCAGCTACCACGCATTAGGGGTCCGAGCTGACGAGATCGCTGGGGAGTTGCACGATATTTAGCTGGACCCTGAACACGTTCATCAGACACAACCAACATAGCATAACTGTTACAATTCGCCGTATGTTAAAGGAGGTTGACTTTTGATACAATCTTATTCCCCTTCCGTCGACAACATCGTCCCTGTGTCCTACAGATTCCTGCCAGGAAGGAGACTCTCGCATCGCGCCTTAGCCTAAAGCTTGGCAACCAGAGGCTACATCAAGGATGACTCATTAGGGGCTATACATGGAGTATAATGTGCCGGTTACCACGGAGTTCTGTCTCCCCAGGGGCACTCGCTGATAGCAACCTACGGGCTTGCGTGGCTTCACCGGGAATTTGACGTGGGTTGTCTGATGCCAAGCAGTCTGCAGAGGTTGACCGCGTGGTTGCTTATTCCCCATATTCTCCTCGGCCTGCCCGTTCTCCGCTCAATTTACGGAGGGTTGGAGCCGATAAAGTCAATAGTTTGGGTGGAGAGAGGGTGTTGGCAGTTGAGTTCGTGTTAAATGACGAACAGCCTACCGAATTGTCTTTGGCCAAAGAGCAGGGCCAGAAGGCTACTAAGGTATAGGGGGAGAGATAAAAGCCCCGAGGTGAGTGGAGATGGGGTGGGGGGGGAGGGGGAAAGACCGAAAGAAAAGCATCCAACCGAGACTTGGTTAGCTTGATTTTCCACCGGCGGGGACCAATCTCCCAGATACAGCAATCGTACCTTACTTCAAACCAACGCACTAACCGGGCTGCAGGGAGCGCTAAAACAAACCTAAGTTGAAGGATGGGGTCACACTACGCCTAACCGGGTATATTGTGAGGGGCACAGGCGTGGGAGTTATTTCCACGCATGCTCGCTCTCTCGTGCCATATCTGAGCTAGTTACTACTAGACTAGAGGCCTGTTGAACTCATTGCTGACTCAATAATTTAGCCCCATAACTAACTAGTCGCCGTTGCCCTCTTGTCCAAGGCAGACAGACTATTAGACCTCGGAAAGTAAGCTAATCCCCACGACCAACTCAGCTATTGACGTGGACTTGACCATCAGTGTGTGGTACAGGAAATGATTCTCCAAGCTCTCAGCCTATTGAAGTATTCGAAGAGAGCACTAGCATTGAAGCATTGAAGTTTAAGCTCAAACTCACTTATCATTCGAATCAGGTTGCTTTGAGGATGGATGTAAACAGACGGTCATAGTTGTTGGAGCGGCACCCGAGACCCGTAGGGAAAATCTTAATCCGCGGTAGCATCACGCATTATTGTTTCAGGCACCGATGACATCGGTTTAGTCCTATCATCGTCTATCTGTGCCTGAATCACCGACCCCTCTCCTATCTACCTCACGACCTTCTCTCTGTTGTTCCACCAACTGTCTCATGTGCCGGCGACAAGTCGACTGCTCTGTTTTAACGCAATTTGCATTGGCCCCATCCGGAGAATTGGGCGGGCGACCAACCGGACGAACGATGAGCACTGTTAAGCAACGCTATCCCATTGTTACCCGTAGCCTGCCAGTGCGTAGCCAATCTAGTTGTAGTCTCCGTAGTTAGTAATCGGATCAAGTACGGAGTAGAAGACGGGAAATGGACATTCGATCCCCTAACCACTAGAATATTAACTTAGAGGTTACTATCAGCTACACCAACCGAACCAATGGCCAGACATATTCGAAAAGAGGGTCGGTCGGTCATGTGGCTTGTGCTCGGTTCTGGTCCATTGCCAAGCGGAATGTTATGCCTCCTTTTTCTTTCTTTTTTTCTTCTTCTTGCGTGTACAAGAACTCTCTGCAGGTTGCAGAGATACTCCGAGACCAGTCCCTGTTTCCTCTCGCTGCAATAATCCACATGGTCAATGCGCATGGGTTGACTTACCTATCACTATACTGACTATTTGCTCATGATATTCGATTGCCCAAGACTGTCTGGACATATTCGTCGTTTATTAAACCAATATCCAGCATATGGCATCATTCGTCCCGGTTGTCTTTTCCCTCACCGCTAACTGACCTGCCTTTACAGTTGTCTCTTTCTCTGACCGGGCATCCTTCGTTACGGTCGTGTGCGATGCAAGTTCGCTGGCTCTGACCAACTCAATTTCTGGTGATACTGAAACCAGTCGGGTTTCTATTCGAGACCTTCTTGAGAAACCTTTTCCAAGATTTTAATTACCGAAGCATCATTTTGGCTCTGGTTAGTCTTTCAGTCCCTGAGACTCAGTAGTCCCACAGCTATTTGCTTGTCTTCTGCGCAGTTTCTAATGAACAAGAGTGATTATCCATCCCTGGCTGGTGCGCGGGTGGAGGACGCGCATATCCGGAGACCCTTGACAATACTCCTAGGATGAAACATGCAAGGGACTGGCCGCATATTGTGAAGAGTAGCCCGTGAAGCATCACGTTTCCATCACCCAGGGCCTGCGTGGTCTTCGGGGATTGGGACTCCTCGTCACCTCGTGGCCTTGAACAAGGCAAGTGGGCATGGGGAAGCATTGGCTTGGTGTCGAAAAACCCAATAGCTTAGAGCCACGCCCCTGCGTAAGCCGTCAACTCGATCCCATATAGATAATCGTAAATGACTGGACCGGGCCGCCAAGCTCATCTTACAGACCGTCTCTTCATCATTCCACTGTGTCACGGACGGGTGGGGGGCAAAGTATCCGGAGATAGCCAGCACTCGCGTTGTTGCACTTCTCACATGTGACTCACTTGCTTTTTGACGAGATTCCTGACATGCCATTGCAATCGCGGCCTGTAGTTTCAGACGAGAAAAGACAAACCTCTGCTCATGTGATTTCCACGAGCATATACGAAATCACATGACCCAGGGAGCAACGATGCCTGACTAAGCGTGCTCGCCCACCGCCAAGACCGGCAATAAAGTGGCTACCGCCTTCCCATGAATTTTTTTTATCATCAGATTATCGCGGAAGTCGAGCCCTATCAGATTCTTGCAACATTTTCATATCATCACCGCAAAAATGGGGTCTTCCACAGCTTTGACGACTAAGGCGACCTCCGGCACTCCCTACCAGCTCGATAAGAGCCAGGTACGTAACACAGCTCATGCGCTGTCGAGACACCTCACATACAGCGGAGAGAACCTTCAACAATTCGCTAACGATGAGCATTTGTAACAGGTCTCGCGAGCATCCGAAGCACTCCTGCGCCACATTAAGACGACGCAGGCGGAGAAAGAAAAGAATGCGACCAAGAAGACGCTGATTGGCGACAACGACGAGGACTCCGATGGTGAGCAGACGGTCAAGAACGAGGCCGTGTGGCTCGTCCTCACGACCAAGAAGCACGTGGTCGACAAGAACCGCCTGAAGCCCGGCAAGATCCCGATCCCCCACTCGCTCAACACCAAGTCCTCGCTCAGCGTCTGCCTGATCACCGCGGACCCGCAGCGCGCGGCCAAGAACATCGTCGCCGACCCGTCCTTCCCCGCGCACCTGACCAACAGCATCGACAAGGTCATCGGATACAACAAGCTGAAGGCCCGCTACGACAGCTTCGAGAAATGCCGCCAGCTGCTCGCGGAGCACGACGTCTTCCTGGCCGACGACCGCATCATCATGCGCCTGGTCCAGACCCTCGGCAAGACCTTCTACAAGTCAAGCAAGCGACCCATCCCCGTCCGCATCGCCGCGATCGAGAAGGTCGACGGCAAGCGGGTCAAGAAGGACGCCAAGGCGAAGAAGAGCAAGGACGAAGGCAGCGCCTTCGCCGCCCCCGAGATCGTCGCCCGGGAGATTGAGCGCGCGCTGCACTGCGCCCCCGTGCAGCTCGCCCCGGCGACCACGGCCGCCATCCGCGTCGGTGCGTCCAACTTCACCGCCGAGCAGCTCGCCGAGAACATCGACGCGGTCGTCACGGGCCTGACGGAGAAGTACGTGACGAAGGGATGGCGGAACCTCAAGGCGATCCACATCAAGGGCGCCAACACCATGGCCATGCCCATCTGGCTGGCCAGCGAGCTGTGGCTTGAGGACGATGACGTGGTCGAGGAGGATACTGAGGAGGCGACCAAGGCCGTTGCCGGCGGCAAGAAGCGCAAGCAGATCAGCGCGGGCGATGAGGAGAAGCAGCAGCAGATCGAGGCTCCCAAGAAGACCAAGAAGGCCAAGTCCGCTGAGGACGACGAGGATGCCGTGACGCTGGCGGCGAGGAAAGAGAAGCTCCAGAAGCAGAAGGCTAAGGCGCTGGAAGATGGCGCGGCGCCTACGAAAGCCGAGGCTGGCGCTGGCAAGAAGAAGAGAAAGTCGACCTCATAAAATCGTCCTATGCTTCGAACTCTTACTCAATCAAGTCTATACCTCCGGTGTTGTTTTGATTTCCACGGATTTGTATCTGAATAAGCAATGGGTTGTTCTTGTCTACCGGCGCTGTTTTTTTCTGTTTCGCGTTGTCTTCAATCTTCCTCCATCTCTAGATTTGGAGTTTTAAGTTTTTTTTTTTTCTATCATATCAGGGCGTGTACCTCAATACCCCTTGGACGAATAAAAAGCAAAAGTTCTGTACATCTTACGGAGTAAACTGAATTACGACATATGATTGACATTGTACCGAGGATATTCTGCCTGGCACAGCCAAATACTGCCAGCCAAAACTGGAGTAACCGAACCAGCCGTCCGTCGGGTGATTTTGGCCGCCGGCGGGATCGGCGATTGTGACTGACTGGCCGAGCGGGCGGTCAAGCCATTCAATCCGACGATAACCTTCAATTTCACCTTAAAGACTTCCCATCCACTCCCCACCTTTCCTTCCCCTCCCCTCTTCCTCTCTCCTCTCCAAGCTCTCCCCTCTCCAACCTCCCCACCCACTCAATCAATTCCGTCCTCCTCAAGATGTTTCCTCTCGCAAGAAACTCGGTGCTCCGCGCCGCCCGCGCCCAGATCCTCCCCTCCACGCGCACCACCACCGCCATTTCCTCCGCCGCTCTCGCCCGCCTGCTCTCCACCCTCGCCGTGCTCGAACAGCGTGACGGCAAGATCCAGCCCTCCTCCCTGTCCGCCATCGCCGCGGCTCAGAAGCTCGGAGGCCCCATCACTGCCTTCGTGGCCGGGGCCAATGTGAAGGCGACCTCCGCGGCCGAGGCAGCCCAGATCAAGGGTCTGGACAAGGTCGTTGCGGTGGAGAATGAGGCCTACGAGAAGGTATGCCATCCGCCAGCTCCAGCTCCAGCTCAACTTCCGCTATGGAATCTACTTCCAATCCCGCAATTCAAGGATGGCGCCGATACTTTTACCTGATCACATGCTAATTTAATCCTGTCAAAAATAGGGCCTTCCCGAGAACTACGCCCCTCTGCTCGTCGAGAACATCCAAAAAGGCGAATACACGCACGTGGTCGCCGGCCACTCGGCCTTCGGCAAGAGTCTCCTGCCCCGCGTGGCAGCTCTGTTGGATGTGCAGCAGGTTTCCGACATCACTGGCATTGAGAGCGAGGATAGTACGTCTTCCCTTGCTTAGTTTTGTGTTCTGCAACTTTCCCCTCATCCTATCTCCGGTGTCGGAGTCACAATTTGAAGAAAAAGCTCTCACCACCACCACAAACCCCGAAGCACCTCACCTCGTCCTCCCACAAAATTCAACGTCCAAGAACTAATCATCCCCCCAAAATAGCCTTCGTCCGCCCCATCTACGCCGGCAACGCCATCCTAACCGTGCAATCGACCGACCCGATCAAGATTCTCACCGTGCGCGGCACCTCGTTCCAGGGCGTTGAGACGAGCGGCGGCGCCGCCGCCATTGAGGCCGGCAGCGACCCCAAGGCCCCCTTGCAGACGGAGTGGGTGTCGGAGGAGCTGGCCAAGTCCGAGCGGCCGGATCTGGCGACGGCGCAGCGCGTCGTCTCCGGCGGCCGCGGCCTGAAGTCCAAGGAGGAATTCGACCGCGTCATTGTGCCCCTGGCCGACACCCTGGGCGCCGCCATCGGCGCCTCGCGCGCCGCCGTCGACAGCGGCTTCGCCGACAACAGCCTGCAGGTCGGCCAGACGGGCAAGAACGTCGCCCCGCAGCTGTACCTGTGCGCGGGTATCTCGGGCGCCATCCAGCACCTGGCTGGCATGAAGGACAGCAAGGTCATCGCCGCCATCAACAAGGACGCCGACGCGCCGATCTTCCAGGTCGCCGACGTGGGGTTGGTCGGGGATCTGTTTGAGAAGGTGCCCGAGTTGACGGAGAAGCTGAAGAATCAGGCTTAAGGTTCTTGAATTTGTCGTTTTGTTTTCTTATTGCATGGTGTCCTTTTTGTGATGGTTTGAATAATTTTCTGTTTGTTTTTATCCCCCCACCCATGAGATATATTCGGGGTTGGCATTTGTTTATGAATCCTTTTCTTTATTGGTTTTCTGATGAGAAGTTTTAGATGAGAAGGGTGGATCGGAGGAAGTATATACCAATAGGAGCAGCAGACTTTCATCTAAACGTATTCTGTGATTCTCAATAGATTGACACGAAGGCAGAACAATAGTTCAATACCTTCGCACCTAAGTATAAACTCATTCAATGAAAGCCCCCGGCCCAGACCCCTTACCGTACCAATAACCCCTACAAACTAAACGCCAGCCCTAACCTAGCAATACCATATAAACGAACCACAAACCTCATTCAATCATCACCTCTCCCCCCAAAACCAGAAAGCGAATCTACAAATCACCCAACAACTCCGCCAAAGAGATCGGCTTACGCACCGCGTTCGAAAACCCATCATGGTACGTCACCCACACCCTTCTCCCGCTCTTGGACATTTCCGTCTGTGCCGCCGCATTCTTCTGATGAGCGTCGTCATTCTCAGCCCCCTGCGCCGCCGACGGCGGCTCCTGGATGATCCGTCCAAAGAAATCGCGTTTCACTGCGACGCCGTCTCCTGCTGCGCCGGGTTTTTTGGTTGTGTCGGGGTTGGGTTTCTGGGGACCATTGCTGGCACTGGATTTGGGGTTGGTGAGTTTGAGGCCGCCATCGGTGGATTTCTTCAGCGTGGTTTCTTTGCGGTATTCCTGGTCGAGGACTTGGCGGACGGCGTAGCGGACGGGGGCGGGGGCGGAGGCGGTGGTGGTGGATGTGTTGGTTTTGGTCTGGGAGAAGGTGATGAGGGTGTCTAGAGGTCTGTTTTTTTGCAGGTTAGTTGGGTTATTAACCGAAGTGGAGGGGATCGTTGGGGCGTCCGGGGGGAGGAAGGGTCAACGTACGGTTCCATTCGATAGGCCCATCCACTGTGCGCGCCGCCCGCGCCCTCGACGCGGACCTTCTCGAACCGCACGCCGAGACCGGACATGACGCGCACGGCGGCCTGAACGAGCGCGCGCTCGCTCTCTTTGCGCACGCTGGCCACGCTCCGCTGCTCGCCGCTGCCGCGGACGACGACTGGTTTTACATCCGGCGAGAGCATCTTGATGAGGTTGGGGACGAGGTCGAGCACTAACGACTCCGTGGACCGGAAGAGTCGACTCAACGGTGCCGAGAAGGAGGACTGGAACTCCGTCAGCAGGGCGCGGTTCTGCTTCTGGGCCTCGTAAGCGGCGAAGTCGGCGCGGGGCCCGGAGAATGGGTGCTCTTCCTCTGCGGCGTCTTTGTCGGCGTCCGTGAGTATTGTGCTTGTTGGTGGTGCTTTGGCTTTGCCGGAGGTCGAGGCGAAGAGGTGGTGGAAGGCGAGGACGGGCTGGCTGAGATAGGCGCTCAGTTCCCAGTCCTGGTGGGAGAAGATCTTGGAGGAGATGGTGTCGTGGAAGTGCAGCCATTCGTAGGCCGTGTTGGGTTTGGAGAGGAAGGTGTCGTCCTGATAGGTCTGTAAGGGGTACGAGGAGAAGCACTCGGACACGCAGCGGTCGTGCTCGCCGCTGGCGTCGACCATCTCGCGCAGGCGGTTGATAGCATGGCGCTTGCGCAGGTCTGCCACGCCGACGGGGACTCGGGCCGAGTCGTCGTAGGGGTCCCGGAAGGAATCAGCGCCCACGGGGGCGTCGGCGAACCCAGCGCCTTCGGTGAAGACGCGGTCCACGAGGTCTCGGACACCACCGCGATTCAGGCCCTTGAAGAACGTTCCCCCACCGGTCTTGTCGCTGAGGACTTTCTGCTCCAGCCAGCTGCGCGTCAGCCTCAGCGTGGATGGACACTCGCTGCGGAGCTTGTGCGCCACCCACTCGGCTGCAACAAGCACACTGCGAATGTCGCCTTCGGCCGTTCCGCTGCTTTTGACGCCCATCTGCTTCCTCCGCGCAATGCCCCAGGATGCCTCACAGAGACGCCTCACGCCATCATTATCTGCTGGGATGCCTTCAATGGAGAAGACGCGCTTCATCCGCGCAACGACATTCTCGATTGGCGCTTGACGCACATGGATGATTTCAGCGATAGCAGCAGTCCGCAGGGGCCGGAGACTGGGGTGATAGACATCATTGCAGACCAGAATGAGAGGCCGCAGAAAGCGGAAGTTGTCGCCCTTCTTCTTCTTACCAGGGGTCGACGTCTTCTCCGCCTTCCGTGCCGAGTTCTTCTGATCCAGCATCACCAGATCAATCAAGGCCTTCATGAAGCCACCTTCACCGCTGCCCCCAGATCCGCTCACGACCCCGTCCACTTCATCTACAACCACGCACACCGGCCGTCCCGCCTTGCGCACCTTGTCCTCCCCGACCTCCACATTCATTCCTTTGACGTTCTCCGTTCCGAGGGAGTCCCGGATTCGACCCCTGACGACATCTCGACTCCGGTCGTCACTAGCGTTGATCTCAAGGACCTCGTAGCCCGCCTGTCGAGCGCAGACATGCGCAAGGGTGGTCTTCCCCAGTCCCGGGGGGCCGCACAGAAGCAAGACCTTGCGGTGAGCCGGCCCCTCGTCCTCGTTGTCCTTCAGCATGGGTTTCTTCGCCTTCGACCGGCCTAGGTTCGGGAAGACAATCGGCTCCCACCCTTTCAGCCACCGCAAGACGTGTCGATGGGTGCGCTCATCGCCGATCAGTTCCGTGAACCTGCGTGCGCGGTACTTCTCCGTCCACATCGCCCTGGCGTATTTACTGGCCTTGCTGTTGTGGCCAGCGTCAAGGGCGGGCTCGATGGACGGTTGGATCGTATGGGAGGGGCGTGGTCTCGGCACGTTCGAAGCACAATCTTCGTCCTCCTTCGCAGCTTCGTCCAAGAGTCGATGAATCTCAATACCATAATAAGCTTTCTGGGCTCGACCCGGGGCCGGAGTCGAACGACCGGCCACGAGTCTTTCGTACGAGACCCTACTCGCCGGCTTCTTCAGAGCAACATGATGCGTCTTGCCAGAGCAGGTCTTGATCTGGATCGACCTCGTCGGTCTGCGCGAGGGTAGCGATATGGTCGTGGGCACCGAGCTACTCGGCTCCTGCAGCAGCGGCGGGGGGATCTGCGACGGCCTCGGAATGGCAGGCAGGTCGACGAGTGGCTGCTCAATGAGTTGCTCCTGCATCATAAACTGACTCTTGAATTGCGCATCATGCAGCGCCTCTAACTCATCCTCGTCGTTGTTCTCATCGTCGTCATCATCCAGAAACCCACCCATGACCTTCGGCTTCTTAAGCTCCGCAGCCGTGACCGACTGCGTCGGCTGCTCCGGACGCTTCGACAATGACGCCGACCCAGGAAGATTAACCCACTCGTCCACCCCACCTCCACCAGCATCCATCTGCATATCCCGCAAGGCCTCCATCCCATCCTCATCCTCATCCTCATCATCCTCATCGTCCAAAAACCCACCCATCATCCTCGGCCTCTTAACAACCTCCGCAGCAGCAGCAGCAGCAGAGTTCCCCCCTTCCTCAATCTTCCGCTTATGCGTCTCCGACACACCTGCCTCCCCCGCACCACCACCAGCAGGAGCAGCCGCAGCCGCAGGCGACGAAATAAACGGCATCCTCAAAACACCCGGCGGCGACGACGGCAACCAAGCCAGCTCACGAACCGGCGAATCGAGTCGATGCTTTCTATGCTTTTTCGTGGGGGTATAGTCTGTTTATCCGCGCAAACTCGTTTCCTCTCAGAAAAAAGAATTAATCCCGGCTGTTTTTGCTTTCTTCCCCTTGATAGGTATCGAATGCCCCGTCCTGCCCCAGATACTCCAAAGAAATGACAGGGGGGAAAATGTACCAGGTCTTAGATCTTCGTCACTGCGGAACACATCCGAGAGATTCCACGCGCGATGCTGGATCACGGTCCGGTTGCGCGCGCGCTCCTGTCGCTGTAGGTCTAGGGCCTCGAGGTCGTCGGAGAAGGATTGCGACTCCGATTGGGGGTTTGCGTTTGCTAGGAGGTGTTGGTCGGGTTGGTCGAAGTCGAGGAGGGCTGGGTCGGTATCGAGGTGGATGGTTGGGTCGAAGGAGGGGGGGATTGAGGGGGACGAAGAAGTTGTCGGCATCTAAGTTTTTGGTGGGATTGTGTAGAAAATAGGAAAAAAGATGCGTGTCAGAGAGACTGCGGTGGTGGGACTTGAGATGCCGCTATACTGTCTCCATCCGATTCAATGAGGGGCGTGGGTGTCGTCAAAGTGGTTTGGGTTCTAATGGGGTATAATCTGTCTACAGTTGATACTGCAGGACGCGTGGGGGGAGGACGCGACGGGAACGCGCTAGTCCACTTCGGGGATGATGGAGTTGATGCCAGCAGTGCCCCGTCGGAGTGTAGTGCGGTACCATTACCGGCTTGCGGACTGAAGTGTAGGTGTAGTTTCATTTTGAGATCGAATTCTAGTTGAGAATGATGGACAACTCTAGTGCTGCGGTGATCAAACAGAAGGAGAATAGAGGATCAAGTATCCAGAGGTACCAAAGCCTCGAAGTTGGGTGTGACAACCTCTAGCCGCACCCTTCTATCAACAATACGCACGAGTATACAATAGAACACAGAGAGCACCAATTTTGCCAGATCACATAATCACAAATCAGTAATCTATCTCTATTCCATGTCGTCTCTCTCTTCCGGACTTGCTAAATAACCATAACACAAGAAAACATACAAGTACAGTGATTTTAGATACAGGTACTCAACAGTAAATAGGAGATATAGGGAGAGAAGGAGATGGTCCGTGATGCGGGTTCATAAAGACCAATGACCAAACAAATTGCAACGTCCATTCCCAACAGCAATCACGAATACACGGATTGGCTTGAGTGGCTGGCTGACAAGGCCGACGCACGCAAGAAGAGAACGAGAAACAACGAGGCGAGGGTGGGGGTATAAGATAGAGAAACACATTCATATACTGATACACACGGCGCGATCCCGCTTACCGCATACACCTCCTCCGTGGTTTCGGTTCAATACACACCCAGCCTTTGTCACTCCTGCAACTTCAGTTCGTGATCTCGTATGATAACAGACTCGTTGACACAGTTGCTTAGTTCTTGGTCTGCTCGGGGGCCTCGTTCTTGGCCTCCGTGTCGTGCCACGACTTGGGAATCAGCTCGTTGCTTTCGGGGAGCTCACTCTTCTCCGCAAGCTGCGACTTGGTCTCAGCGTTGACCTCGTGTGCGCGGGTGTGCTTCTCATCGGGGGTGGAGGAAGCATCAATCTGAGCAGCGCTCACGGGCTGCTCATCGCCAGGAGCGGCGGGGGCAGCTTGACCCTCAGCGGGGGCCTCGTCGTCTTCCAGCTCGGCACCGTAGACCTCTGGATATTGCCTGAAGCAGTTTTGCATAGCCCTAAGGGGGGTTGCTGTTAGCGGCGCTCTAGGACTCGACAGCCGGGGAGTTTACGTACTGGAACTTGTCAATGCAGTCAATGCCCTTAGGCTCCTCGGTGGAGAAAACAAAGCAGCTGAAAGCGGCCTTGAAGTCCTCTCCGCAAGGTCCGTGGGCCATGCCGCCGAGGCAAGGGCAGTCCCAGTTGATCTCGCCAGTCTCCTCATTGAAAGCAGCTTCGTGGCCGGCTTGTTCCTCAAGTTCCGCAGGGTCGATCTGAGTGGGTTCGGAAGGTGGCTGAGGCGCAGCAGGAGTGATACTGGGGGTGGGCGTGGGAGTGGCAGTGGCAGTGGGAGCCTTCTGCTCACGGATCTTAGGCTTCACGGAGTCGAGGGTCGGGAGCGATTCTTCGGCGACAGCATCAGACTGCGGTTGAGAGCGGAAGGAGACTAGATGCAGGTTGTCAGTCAATCCATTCGCTTTTTGGTGTCATTTGGTCTTTCTCCAAGGTGACGGCATAGCTCTGATCCCGGAACGATGACCAAGCTTCGGGAGGAAAATGTCAGAGCAGCGGACAATACGTACATTTCGGATCTTGCGCGAAAACAGGGCTGGTGTTGTAGTAGTAGATTGCACCAGCAGCCAAACCCAGACGCACAATGCCTCCCTTCCAACTTCTCGACTTCTTGTCAACGGGAGAAGTGCTTATCAATCGTCTGCTGGCCGGGCCACGGACTGGGACAGCCGGCGCGCGGAGGACGACTCGAGCTGCGGAGCGGAACATGACGGGAATTAGGGGGAGAAATATCAATTGAGGAGTGGAGTAGAGGGTGGTATCAAAAGAAGGGGAGAGGCATCAATGCCCGACGAAAGCGACGCTGAATGAGGTGGAAATAGACAGTCAATGGATTGGAAATCCAGTGCGAACTGCGGAGAAGAATGGAGGGAAGGTTGGCAATACCGACACCTCAGGCACTAGGCTTACCGCTTTCAGAGAGGGGCTAGTCAGGTTCGCACAGCCAATCATATTGCATCATACTTACGCTGTACTTCAACGACGCGTGTGATAGGTATAGTAGTGTAGATGGCAGTCCTTAAAGTAAACTGGAAGGATGTACGTCTGGGTCTTTCACTTACAGTACTCAATCATATATTCAAAGGGGAGTACTAAATGATCAGCATTTCGTCGTCAGTATATGCCTATATAACAATAAATCCGCCAGATGAGGGATGTCCAAGGCCACTAGAGCATCCTCTGCAGATCCAATCATATGTTGCTCGAATCGATCCTCACATAACTCTGAGGTACAAACGTGCGGCTGATATCCATACCTAGAATGTGATGCTCACAGACAGCCTACTAGGTAAGTTGAAAGGCTGGACGACTTCGATCTATAGGGCGGAACAGCCTCATGATTGGCTATTGCCGCACCAGAGGCGCTAAACCTAGAATGGTCACTTATCGCGATGTCTCCACCAGGCACGAGGATGGCTATGGCTATGCTGTGAGCCTTCACGCGAGCAGAAAATGAATTCGAAGCGATGAAAGGAGGGGGAAAAAGTCTAATTGAAGATGGTTTTAGTATATATGACCGGGCTGAGCACGCCACCGTTGTATCTTTGCCTTGTCTTCTCCTAGTTTCCTGCTCTATACTCCCATCCATTCTTTATACTTCGCTGTGTTTACTGTGACCTAGTTGACTTTCAACATGGCTGGCAATAATTCCAATGTCGCCATACTATCTCCGGAGAAGCGATACGTCGCCATAGTCGAGGTTGTCCTATTCTCGATCATCCAGCTGGTCCAATTCCTCATGAGGTACAATCAGGAATGGCGCTACTGGCACCATAGGAAACAGAAACGCCCTGCACGATGCTTCCTGTACTCATGGTGGGGGCTGTTAGGCATATTATCCCAGAGTATGTTCACCACAGTGTACTAATAGCGTGCACTGACCTCCGTCAACCTAGTCCGGATCGCCGACTCGGCCATGGTTATCTCCAATCGCAATCCAAACAAGTCGATGCTCATCGCAGAATCCGTTCTGCAAAGTATTGGGCTCTCGCCTCTCTTGTTTGAAGTGAGCCTCGTGCTTTTGCGAAGGTAAGACGAAAGAGAAGGACCAACCTTTGAAGTTAGACACGACTGACATCAAATCTCGATCTACAGTGGACAAGCAGGTCGCACCGGCCCCGGAAACTCTCGCTATCCCAAACATGTCCGCTTCCTCCTCCACTTCTTTCGCTTCCCGGTCATAATCTCCATTGTTCTGGTAGTGGTTGGCGAATGCATCGGAATCCCTGGCTGTATGTATGCTGGAGGAGCCGTGTTTGCTGCCACTTTCTGTTTTGTGTGTGGTCTGGTGAGCTGGCTGGCGGTGACATATCGTTCCGTCCTCTCACCAGCCGGACACAGCTGTGTGTTGATAGTGCTGGGTGCTCTTCCTTTTCTGGTAGTCCGCGTGATTTACTTCCTGCTAGCGGAGTTTGGTCCACGGAAATTCAGCCCCATCGACGGCAGTGCGGGTGTTATGGTGGGCATGGGTCTGGTGACGGAGGTCTTCATTGTCATTATCTTGCTGCTAGCTCGTGCCGTAGCGGAGCCCCTGTGGCCTGTTAAGGGGGGCCCAGCTGACCCGGAGGCCTAAGCGTATGGATTTGGCAGCTGTTTCTCGGGTCAGCCATTGGTAGATAATCAGAAACTATGTATCGTTGAGGTATTATGTTGTGATCATCCAAAGTTCTGTGGACGCACGGCCGCGTACACTTTCGAGAGCCTTTCCAAACGACCCTCGATCCAAGCCCTCGTAGCAGGATCCGCAACTTCATAGGCCACCCTCAAGGGAAAACCCATGCGATATGGTCCTAGCAGACCTCGAGCATTGTACTCAACCGACTTGCAGATCTGGTCTCGGAAATAGACAACGGTGGCGGTGTGATCACCAGGATAACCGCAGACCCTCAGTATCTCGTGTATGATTATCATGTAAGAGTAATACCCGCAGAAAATAGACGCGGCGCTCTCATCTGAGTACTCGAGCACAGTAGGATAATACATATCCCCTGACGCAGATCGAGTCTCACCAGGCATCGGCGTGACTGCAGACACATTGGCGAGCCATTTGGATAATTTACTCTGCATGACCAAGGCCTGGAAGAGCAAATCACCCGCTTTGGCGACAGTATCCGGCTTAGTGAAATCTGCGTCTTTGAGGTCGTAAAGTTGATGCACAAGACCGGGCGCAGAGGTGAAGTACGCGAAGAACTGTTCGACCAGGTTCGCAAGATCGGCACCCAGGCCGGAATTGGGGTGCTGCTTCATCACAATGTGCCATTCTTCCAAGGCTAGGAAGCAACGCTGTCCGGAGAAGAGAGAGTACATGACTATCAGACCCCGAGCAGCTTTGAGCAGCACATGATCGAACTCGGTCGTGCAGCGAGCTGCTCCTCGTAGCTCCACCAATTGGCTCAATCCTTTAGCGTGTTTCATCCAGGCATCTGCGTCGTGGGCATTGGTGAACAACTTATGTCCATTAGATTCGTTTGTGATGAAAAGACATGGCACGCGACTCACCTCGTACAGACAAAGAAGCATTACAGCACAGAACACCTCGGGCGAGTAACATTCCCGGGGGTTGCCCAACGAGGCCCGCAGTCGATGCAAAGACTCAATGTACAGATGTCTCGCATAAAGCGCCGCTTGCGAATCACTTGTCAGGATACCTATCTGATGCGCTGTAAAGGATTTAATCGTCAAGTCCAAGGTCCTACTGCGTCCGTACACTGCAGGCAGAAACCCGAACCAGCGAGAAGTAACATGCGCTGAATTCGCAGCAAATGGCTTGGAAATCTCCTGGATCAAGACGCAAAGGCACTGACTCAAGTTCATATCAGCCGAAGCAATGGATGAGAGATTGTACAGCGGATTTGTACATTGCCACAGAGGCTGGGATTGGACTACAGCGAGTGAATCGGGGGAAGAGCCATCCTGATTAGAGCCTGACTTTCGATGACGTTGAGTGCGATATGGCTTCCCAGCAATAAATTTGAAGCGAGGAGCATAGCCAGGGCACGGCTCTCCATAGGTTTCGCATTTCGCACATCCAGGTTGTCGTTGATCGCACTGCAACAGTCAGTGGATATGGTTTAGTTCTGAAGTAAGATGAACCAACCTTGACTCTACGTTGCACGCAGAGTGCACAGCCCTTGCTGCGGGCTACCATAGTCGGAGCTGAGCCTCACCTGCGATGCTCATTATGAGCAGATCGTGAGAAACTGAAGGCCAAGTCTACTGATATAGTAGATCGAAGCTTAGGGGAATACGAGAAGCGGGGAGCCAATGGCAGCCGAGGGCTGTTGTAGTAAATTTAGTCAGCCTGTCAGCCTCTGCTGGCTCCAGCCACACCCCGCGAATCGGCGCGGCCATGTGGCTGTGGCTGAAGAGGGAGGAGGGAGGGGTTTAACTTATCAGTTGAGATCATTCCAGATCAGACCATCGATCGACAAGAAGTGTACTACATACAATACCTTTTTAGTATACCGACTGAAGATGCTCTAGTGACTGCGTACCCTATACTCTGAGTCTGCATCTCCACCATCAACAATAACGATGCAAACACAGAACCAAATATTAGGACACGAGCAAGCAAAAAAGCACGGGGACAATCCACCTCCGTCTCCAAAAATCGCATTTGATAACGCCGGTCCATATCACACCCCGAACAACCTTCCCAGGACAATCTCACACCAGAAAGAACACAAAGATACCATGGACCTGCCCTACCGACTCAAAACCCCCATGACGGTGACAGAGTGGGATCCCACGCAATTCTTTCGCGAGGGATACCCTCCCTCGCCGTATGCCCTGCTGATCCTCAACCATCCAATCAACGAAAAGGCCTACGATGTTCTACAGCGACATGGTGAGTTACCTAGGTATCTAGTAGTCACTGGTTGTCCCTTGAAGCTACACATGTCCAATCACCTACACCCAAACCCCTGCAGCCCAAGCATCAAAGCTAAGAGACCCCTGGCTAATAACGAACTGCAGCATGTATCACCGTCTGCGCCGACGGCGGCGCCAACCGATTTTACGAGATGATGAAGGCCCGCGGGAGGGAGTTTACAGATGTGAGTACCGTACATCATCAGTACGTCCATCAGTACATCCATACCCTCCACCCCTCCCTACTGTAAACAAAACCAAGAAATATCCCACCATCATCCCCTATTCTCCATCTCTCCCCACAACTCTCCCCCCCCCCCTCACCTCTCCGTAAAACTAACAGAAACCCCACAGTTCCCCAGCGCCATAATCGGCGACCTCGACTCCATCCACCCGGAGATCCGCGCGCACTACGAGACCCTGGGCGTCCCCGTCATCCAACACATCGACGACTATAGCACGGACTTCCACAAGAGTTTGCAGTACATCCAAAGGAACACGGCGACTATTCTCGGTGCTGCGGCGGCAGCACCAACCCCATCATCATCCACACCAGCAGCAAATCCAGAACCCACCACAGAACCCACCTCCACCACTAACCCCCAATCTCCACCCCAAACCCGAACTCAACTCGAAATCCTCATCCTAGGCGGCCTAGGCGGCCGCGTCGACCAGGCCTTCTCCCAAATCCACCACCTCTTCTACATGACGCAGGAGCTCCGAGCCACAAGCACCACCTCCTCCAGCGGCTCTAGCATTGATGAATCCCACCCCAAAGGGGGGAACCTCTACCTCATCTCCGAAGAAAGCATAACCTTCATCCTCCGCCCCGGCCGGAATATCGTGCAAACGCCGCGGGTGAATCGCCCCGCCCTGACACCTACACCCAGCCATGACACCGACAATCAGGACAAGCAAGGGATCGCCGAGGTGCAGAGCACCACCACCACCACCCCGGAAGCAACGCATCTCCTCGAGGAAAACGTCGGGATCATCCCGCTCCTGGGGCCGGCGCGGATCACCACCGCCGGGTTCCAGTGGGATGTGCGGGACTGGAGGACGGAGATTGGGGGCCAGCTGAGCACCAGCAACCATATTCGGGCGGATGTGGTGGAGGTCGAAGCGAAGATGCCGGTGCTGTTGACTTTGGAGCTGGCGGAGCGGTTTAAGAAGAAATGAGTATCCACCCATCGCACTTATTATCATAGAGCTTTGAAGGAATAGATGAGCAAGATTTCTTGGTTGCAGGTATGGCTATTCCCTAGGTATGTACTAACTCACGACTCGAATCGACTGTTCAGAGCTCTTGTTTGATTGCTACGTCACATTTAGCAGATAGAGATATATATCACATCCAAAAAGAAAAGCAAAAACAGTAATCCCCGAAAACCAAGAAGCGCCTTCTGACTAGCAGTAAATCGCAACCCAAAGTGAGAGGGAGGTCCCCTAGACTTCATAGAACATACAGCAGCAACAACAACAACAACAACAACAACAACAACAACAACACCCTGCTGAGTACGCCAGACAGCAACCCGAAACACAAAACCAAATCGAAAGACAGAGTACGCCCCTAGACAATCGTGCATGGCATTCACAAAAGCAAGCCAAGACACACCAAAGCAAATTCAAACCAGATCCACGATTTGATCCTTCAGTCCCGCCAGTTTCTCTCTCTAAGATAGATGATATCTTTTCTTCTTCTTTCTGGACCTGCCATTGCACGGAAATCTCACCCACGCCCGGAATCGACTGTTTTCGCTGCCAGAAAAGCCTAAAGGATTATGGGATGCTTCCACAGTACCTGAGCACACAAGTCGAATTCATTACCAGGACACCAACCCCAGAAATGCCAAGACTTTGTCATTCGGCGCGCGCCGAATGACCAAGCTTATATAACTGGTAAACCTAGTAGCTATCACACCGGGTACGTAGACAGGATATATCTACTTCCGCAGGATAGCTTCATATAGGGTCGTAAGCACACCAATCGCAGAACCGGTGATCACTCCGGGCCAGCGACCCGGAATAGCATTGTTGACGTCCTCGACGGCGATATCATTGAAGAAGCCCCAGTAAGAGAACTTGCCGGTGTAAACCAGATACGCGATGAGCGCCTTGGCAATGTGGAAGCTCAGAGGATCGAAGCTGGCGAGCTGCGCGGCCGCTGCCGCCCGTTGACGCCGAGTGTTGGCCGCCGGACCACCGCTCTGAGCCGCCTGCAAGCTTATGTTGAAGAAATACGCGACGGTCAAGGGAATGACGAGACTAGTGAAGAGCCACCCAAGAAAAGCAGTCCAGAAGGAGCTCTCGACCAAGACGAAGGCGTCAGGAGCCGAGATATCGAAAGCCGGTGAATGGATCGCTTCTACAGCCGGGATGCGGGTCAACAGTCTCAGAGGAAAAAGTAACCGCAAGACACCAAAGCTTTCAATCCCATACAATAAGACAGCGATGGCCTTGACGCTGCTTAGGTTGGCGCGCAGCGAATCTGACTGCTCCTGCACTCCCAGCGCGTTCCAAATGTCCTTGAGGCTTTTGCCCCATGCCGCCGTTTGGCGATCGATCACATCGGTCACCACAGCGGGTGACGGCGGGAGCGCCGCCGCCAGTGGTGACAATGGGGGTTCAACACTCACCAGCGTTTGGCCGGGAGTTTGGGGAACATCGGAGTCATCCCTGTCGTGAGGATCGCAAATCAGCCCGGGTCCGCGATGACGTAAACATCGAGTATCGCACGCGCAAACGAGATCCATGTAAAGCCGAAGTCGCAGGTTTCGGACGAATACGACAAGCAAAGCAAGGGGCAACTTACGTTTGCACAGACTCCGCCTTGGATCTGGAGCTCCTCTTGCGCGTTGACTTGGGGGCTTCGTCTGCCGACGGAGTGACTTCCACCTTGGGTGCTCTCTTAGTCGGCGATGTCTTGACAGGCGAATTCTTGACAGGTGAGAAAATGCGCGGAGATCCTGACAGACGCCTGTAGTAATCTCCTAGGCGCGCATCATCGATGAAGATGGATTGGTGAGCTTGAAGGTGCGAGTCAAGCGCCGCGGCGAGCTCGGGCTTGGTCAGATCCTCATAGCTATAGATGGTCAGGTCCCCGAGCCAACTGGCCGGGCGGAAGCGAAGAGGAGATTCGCGAAGCGAAACGGAAGCTTACTTCTGAAGGTCAGTGATATGAGCCCATTCCGTGAGGGTGGGCTTGCGCTGCTTCTGCAGAAAAGGCAATCCGGCGGACATGATGACGCGCGCAAGTTGCGGTGGATCATGCGACAATTGATACGGAGCAGGGGAGTGGTTGTTCTAGGACGAGGTTGATATCTCTAAGAAGTAGAAGTCGCGTGGGAATGAGGAATGTTATCCAAGCAGGTTCGACGACGCGATGCGTTGGAAGATGGAAGAAAAAAGAGGGATGTAGAGTGGTGGAGGGGAAGAAGAGGAACGAAGAACAAGGAGCCTGGAGTGTGAAAGTAAACAGACAACGGGGGAGGGGGGGGGGTGGTCTGGAGCCAATCTGGTGGGGCTGACCGCATTCGGGTCTGGGGAGGCTTTGTTTACAGTTGACGGAGTACAGTTTACAAGTAATAATGATGGGGGGATCGCCCACGCTTTCCACGCTTTCCCATTCTTCCCCTCATCTCCCTCTTTCCCCCCTATGTAAACAAATTACCTGAATTATAACTCATAAGTATACAACCATCAACAATCGAAGTGAAATTATCGAACCATGTCTATTCTCTAGTAATCTATGTAGTTAGTTCGTTCTTGATCTTTTTATACACACAACATGACGGAGACAGTAAATCCCATGTCCTCTCATGCAATCAATCATGCCATCAGCAATCAAAAGGGACAAACACAAGAGGGCGGCGACCGTAGGAAAATGGAGGGAGATGCTCTATGATAATAAAACAACAAGATAAGAAAAGGGGTGGTAAAAGAACACACAAGAAAAAGAAGAAAAAGAAAAAAAAAACGGTCATGCCACACCCCTACCGGAACGCCCTCCCCAATAAAACCCGTCTAGGTTGCATCATCATGCTCCGGTTTTCTTCCATCCTTCTATCTACAATGGACATCAACATGCCCAACCCTCATCCCGCATCTAGAGGGGGTTGAGCTCGCCTTTGTTCTCCCAGTCCTCGAATTTTTTTAGGAGATATTGATACATCACCAACATCGTTCCACTTTGAATGCTGGTCCACACACCACGAGGTCCAACACCGCGGAACCAGCCTGCCAGCCCTTCCGTTTGGTAGATCATCTTCAAGCCAGTGAAGAACGATGACGTATCCAAACGAGGAGCTCCAGGCGGGTTCACCGACGTGGAAGCTCCCGAGGTGGAGATTGGGCGTGCATGCGTGCGCAGGCTCGACGTCGTCTGCGAAGCCGCGTGGTGGCGCGGTCCCTCTTTGGTCGATGGGTGCTCCGCCGTCGAGTGCGAGGAGGAGCCCGGAGGGCGACTCGAGGGCGTGGTCTCGGGGTTCTGCTGGGTCTGGATACGTGTCTTGACCACGTCCATCGGGCATGTCAACACACCCGCCATCCCACCCGCAGTAACAGCCGTCAGGATCTCCAGGCCTAGCCCAATTTCTCGAGAGCCCATCCAGTCTTTGGCTATCCGTTGCTCTTGCTCGTAAAAAGCGAACTGGAGGGCGGAAAAGGGAAGATCGCGGTAGATCGTCGCCCGGTATCCGTAGTAGAGCGCGGAAAATCCTTCCTGGCGAATGATGGTGCGCAGCGCATCCCTGGTCGAGCGGTAATTATATCCCGAGTTGAAATGGGGGTTGTTGTAGCGTCCTTGGAGCTGTAGACGAGTCTTCAAGACCTCCGAGGGAACATAGACGATAGAGGCGGCCAAGTCCGCGAAGAAGCCTATAAGCCCATTTCCGATTAGCACCGAAATGCGACCGCAAATGACGAAGCCGCCAAACTACACGTACCTCCAGAAAGATACGCCACATTCGCATTGATTCCCGCATCTAGCATGAGACGTTTTGTGTACTCGTAGGTTCCAAAGAAGATAACGGTGCCGGGGAAGGAGCCGAAAAGCGCAGGAGTCACTCCGCCATACAGGCCGCGGAAAAGGCCTTCTTGTCGGTAGATAGTCGCATAGGACGAAGTCATGGAGGTGTACTTGGGAGGAAAATGCGGATCGCCCTGTTGCCGCGTCTTGACGGTGTCTAACGAGTGCATGAGCATGTCACCGCAGGTGCCACCAATACCTCCAGCGAACATTGCCTGTAGGTCGAATTGGAGGATTAGCCCAACATCCGTGAATGGAGATAGGATGTGCGCCATGAAGTGTGCGCGCGGTATCACAGTAAAGATGGCGAAGACAAGCTACATACATGTAGGTACGGTGGACGAGGCTCCTCTTCCTCGTCATGGTGAGACTGTGCATTCTGTACATGATATTCCTTGTTTGCGCTTATCGGCGTCATCTGACGGAGATCGGTCGGGCCATTTTGAGAAAGGGATTTCGGCGCGGGGGAGTCTGACGAAGGTGTCTCTGTCGTCGCAAAGAAGCCCAAGACACGCGAAGTTAAGCTCATTGCAAGAAGACCGCAACCCACCGGATCGTGGTGCGGGCCAGACCACGGGGGTTGGGATGCGGCGACGGTGGATTAACAAGAGCACGCCACCTCGAACCACGAGGGGACGGCGGATTAGGAGGAAAATATATAGGAGCGAAGATACGATAGAATGCGAGATGATCAACCCTGGGAAAGGGGGACTAATAAGCAGGGGACATCACAGCTTGAAAGTGACGAAAGCCCGACTGCCCGAAACCCCAAAATTTCGTCGGCCTATCGTCGGTTTGTAGTTTTCTCCGCTGTCCGGAGGCCGTGTCACCGCCTCAGGCAACAAACAATCCGGTTATCAATCGCGTTCTTAGTTGACAAATAGACTGTAATTAGGCATTTATCTTTAGATCGCGATCAAGTAGATACATTCCTACAGTAAGTAGTACCTTACTATGTGGCTGGCACTCTTCCTGTCACTGTAAAAGTTGGGCCAATCACAACCATAGAGCTTCTGGGTAAACAATCTCCGCGCTGCTCTTAGTAGTCAAAGAATTGTTCGGAAAAGAGGCAAAGCTAATCGCATCAATCGCATCACTGTCGCATTGCGGACAAAACAAAGTATATAAGGAATAAGACGCGTTCCACTCAAGCAAAAGCACTAGACATTGCGCATAAAACCTCACTCGCTCGCTGTCTTGCGACAAGGTCCAAAGCCATCCGTGCTGCTGCCCATAAAGAGGCTACACATCCTTCCTTTTCTCCACCATTCGATCCCTCCAATACCATCCACAATCTCCAAATCTCAAAAGCGGTCATCAACCCCGGAACGCAGTCAAAGAAAATGGTCATTGGCTCATTCAATCCTCATCAGACGCAATAGTCGACAATCGGAGCAGACAGTCCCTCTCAGGCGCAGATTGGCCGCAGGGTTCAATTTTATCACATCTATCCAGCTTCCGCGAGTCGTCTCTATTTAGAGCGGATGGGCAATTTATTGGGGCTTCTTGGCGGTCGCTCCGCTCAAGCGGCCGAGATCAGTGGCCTCGTAGGCCTGGCGCACAACAGCCTTGAAAGACTCCCATCCCTGACGAACGGCGGGTGGGGTGCTCTGGTGGGAAACCGAGGCGTCGACTCTGGCAGTGAAGTGGCGGACGGAGCTCTGGACAAAAGAGCTCTGGGAGTATCTCGCACGGAAGAAAGCCAAGTAGATAGCGAAAAGAACAATGCTGCCCTTCGAGAAAGTGAGAACGGCGACGGCCAGGCGGAATAACAACGCCATCTCGAGGTGCGCCACAAGATCCATGCTGGCATCGTAGTACTGTTTCACGAAGCGGCCAATAGTCTCCGCCAAAGGAGATTGTCTAACGGCAGGCCTGGGCGAGCCGGAAGAGGAGGGAGATCCCGGAGCGCCAGCGGCCTGAGGGCCCTGGAGGGTGGGGATCAGGTGAGCACGAGTGTAGGTCGCAACGTGGAAGACAGAATAAACGCTGAAGGGAAGCAGAGCGAGCGACACCTGGCGCGAATAGAGCCACACCAGCGCAGTGCCTGTGGACGTTGTCAGCTTTTGAATCACTCATCTCCTCGTGTCGAATTCGCCCCCCTTTCAATTTCAAATCTCAAGGGGTGGAAGTAGACTCACCAAGGTACTGGACATTTTCATCACCAGCAAGCTTGATCGCAATATTAGGGAGACCGCCCTGGAGGCGGCCGCGAGCGATATGGCCCTTGTACACAACAATTCCGTATGTCGCAGCAGCCGACAAGAATGCCAGGCGGTAGGAGACTTGGGCCGAGTTGGAGTAATAGTTGAATGTGATGTAAGACACGAAATAGCGTAGGACAGAGAGTAACAATGTCACATGTCTATCATCTGATCAGTCATTGCAATTCAAACAGTCAAGCTGGCAAGACAGCCAGGCACTGCGAAGCGGAATTGTCTCATCCACTTCAATTGCAGCTGATATTATGCTGTAAGGGTCGCGCAGGCGGAAAATAACGTACCCAACAAACCAGGCGAATCTGGATGCGAAGGACCTTGTTAGCACTGTGACGCAATCCAAATCGAGTTGTGGAGGAAGCAAACAAACACTTACTGCAACGTCTGAGCAAGAGCCTTGAGCCTCTCGGGCAAAGGCAGATTTGAAGGGGGTGGAGGAGCCATGGGGGATGAATGGATTATGTGTGGTGGTTATTGAGTAACGGCGATGGGCTTATGGACAACTCGATGGGATCGAGTAGCTATGGGACTAGATGAAGAAAGGAACTTGGGGAGGGAGAAGGAAACGAGACAGATAAGAAGAATTAAGCGGTAAAAGGCTATTTGGGGAGGGGGGCTATGAATAGATCTCCACTAAATCGCTGACGAGGGAGGCTGGCTGGGCTAGGCGGGGGTATTTAGTAGTGGAAGGGTAAGGGAAGTAAGTGGAAATGGATGTGGAAGTGGAAGAGGAAGTGGAAGAGGCGGGTTTGTGTGTGTGTGTGTGTGGTGAGCTCAAACTAGGCAAGACTGAATGCCACTGTCCAGTTCAGTCCAGTTCAGCTCAGTCCGACCCAGTCCATGCGCAGCGGCCGAGGAAGACGAACTGGCGGCTCGACGGAGCTTCCCTTCCCGTGACGTCGCGCCGCCCGCAATGATGCAACAAACAACCACCGCGGAAAGCTTGGTCGACATCATGATTTGCCTCCGCCCCCCCCAGAAAAAACAATGCGAACTTGGTTTAATTGGTTTTACTGGTTGGGTTATTTTCCTTCCTGTGTTCCCTCGAACTTGTACGAACTCTTGGTTCTTGCTTCTTTATTTGCTGCTCATAATGTTCAAAGTATTATAGTATTCTCTCCCCGATTCTTGCATCTCATCTTCGTCTCCAGGCAGCTAGCTACGCCACAATTAGAACCTCGGTAATACTTCCGTTCGCTTTTCGGTAAAACTTCAGATTGACAACTAACACAACAAGCAAACAACATGGAGGAATAAAAAGGAAAAACGTCCAGAAAAGATGGTCGGGGGTAGGCGATGTCACTAAAATGTGTAGAAGAGGCAAAAGTGTACCGAAGATAAATAGAAGTAATAGTACCAGGCCACGAAAAAGGGTGGGGAATAGGAAATAGGCGGGAACAAGGTATAGCGTAGGCAAAAGTACATAACAAGAAGCGAAGAGTGGACATGAAGCAGTGAATTCCGACCCTGAAGTGATCCTGCAGGCCGTCTCCCCGTGCATCGTCTTGCCCATCCAGGGCCAGACCACTGACCATCCAAATAGAGCACTGAGTCGGATATAGCCCTTGTATTCCTGTCTCCTAGTCAAGCCCCCAATTCGGAATTAATGGGTTGAAGAGAGTGAAGAAAAAAATGAGATATTCTTTTTCTTTGGTCCTCCCAATCAATGTAGAGTCATCACTGAAAGCAGATACGAGAAAAGTAAAGGTTCGAGAGAGTGTGGGGGTGGAGAGAACGAATAAACACAAGAGAAAAAGAAGGCAGGCGGCTAAAAAGAGCGTGCGGCCAATCGACAGTCGTGGAGAAGTATGCGTCAAACCACCAAAGCGCCCTCCGACGACCATGCGTACCCTGGGTGGCCCATTGGCAGAGCCCCTGGATAGGAGCATCGAAGCACCGGTCATGCGTGCGTTCGTTTAACGAAGAGAGAATCCCTTCCTCTTTCCCTTCTCTTCGATGGGTCGCCCTGTTTCCAGACGACCCTTCTTTTCTTCTAGTTCCAGACGTTGACGCTCCAATTGGTCTTTCATCTCGCGGTGTCGTGCGTACAGTTCGTCTTCGCTCTGTTTCAACTTGCTCTCCTTCTCTGCCACCTTCTGCTGGAAGACCATCTTCATTTCCGCTTCCATCTTGGCGAGCTTCTGCTCGTGAAGAGCACGCTCCTCCTCCTGCTTGACAGCCGGATTGACCTCCTTGAACACGCTCGGGTCCTGGGCGACACCCATCTGGGTGAGCTTGTCGGAACGGTAGTTCTCGTACAAGCTGTTGTTCGTGTGCTCCTTGAGCTCTTCCATGTGGGTACGGATCAACATCTGACGGAGCTTGACAAAGTCGCAGTGCTCCTCGTTGTCGACCTCAATGACACCCCAAGGGTAGCTACGTCCACGGACCTTGCGGCCATCGGCGGCAGTGACCTCGGCGTTGGCGCCAACCACGGCGAAGGGAACCTTGGACATGATCTCCTGGTTCTCGGCGATGGTCTCCTCATCGTCGAGCTCATAGCGGGGACCTTCGAAGATCTGGATGGAGTGGTGCTGGATATCGGCAAGGATCTGAATGGCCAGGTTAGCTATCATTTGACAGGGAGGAGGCGTATAGATTATCGTACTCTTTGCTTGAAGGCGGCAATTTCCTCGTCCGTCAGGGTATCGGCCTTGGCGATCACAGGGATCAGGTTGACCTTGGTGTGCAACCGGCGCATGACCTCAATATCAAGAGGCTTCAGCGAGTGACCGGTGGGCTGAATGAAGTAGACACAAGCGTGGATACGGTTATCAATAATGTTGGTACGGTTGACCTTGTTCTCGGCCTCAAGGTAGGCATCATATCTCTGTTCAATGTTCTCGACAATTGGGCGCCACGAGTCGTCGTTGTTCACAAAATCACCGAATCCAGGGGTGTCAACGACCGTCAGGCGCAGGCGCACGCCGTTCTCCTCGATATCGGCGCTGATGGACTGAATTGAGACCGTCTTAGGGATAATGTCGTGGCTAGGTCCGGTGCGTTCCTTAGGGGGGTAGAGGGAGGTGTTGAAGAGGGTGTTCACTAAAGTCGACTTTCCGAGCCCAGATTCACCTGCAATGCGTGTCAACTGACGCCCATCCCTTAGACCGGAATCGAGACCTACCGACAACCATCACGTTGAAGTTGAAACCCTTGCGAACACTCTTGCGGTGCCACTGATTCGGCAGGTTGGCGAAACCAACATAGCCGGTCAGCTTCCGGCGAACGACATTCTTCATATCCGTAGCCGCCTGAGCAGCAGCCTTGGGGTCTTTGGAGCTGACGGTCTGAGCGGCCCCGGAGCCCATGGGGTTGCTGCGTTCAACGAAAGGCGAGCTGGGCTTGCTGCTGGGGGGGGATGCAGAGACCGGGGTGCCATTGGCAGCAGGTGCAGGAGGGGGTGTGGCTACATTATGCGGAACAGAGTTAGCAGTCGTCGCTTCAGATTCTTGACTGTCACTTTCTGAAGACAGGCGTCCCAGAACCGGCGAGAACGAGTGACGTTTAGGCTTCGGTGAATTCTTCTGAGGTGAGGGTGCTAGAGTTTCGGAGTCCCCTTGCGAGCGACCATCCGCACTCCGGTTCCTGACAGGAGGCATTGTTCTTTCACAGGGCGCGAGGATTTCGAGGTAGGCACAGGGCAAGGGTTGGATTGGAAGATCGAATGGAAACGAGAGCACGGAACTGCAGGGTGGTGGGAAAAGGTGTCATAGATGACAGGCTTACCCATTGTGGAAGTTTAAAGGTGTAGGATTTTGAAGCGAGCGTAGAGGGAGGTAGCGAGCGTCGAAGAGGAAGTTTCCCCTGAAGAGGTTGCGCCTTCTTGGTTAGCGATAGAGTCCTTGCAGGATGCAATCAAGGGGAAGGAGCCGGAGGTAATAATGGAAGCCAGCGAGATGGGAAGGACAATGCCACTTTCCAAGTCTGGGTGAGGAACAGCAGGAAAAGGGAAGGCGAGTCCAAGGGAAGGCGATGGCAATCCTACCTGGGGTACTGAATCAATGTGGAAAAGGGTTGAGGTTCAGTCAATCACGGGGGGGGAAGGGTGTGGGAGGAGTAAAAGGGATGGGACCGAAACCAAGGGGAGGTTTGGGAAGCACGACTTGAAAGCAAGCAAGCAAGCAAGCAAGCAATGCGCCAACAAAATTATGGCTGCGATGGAAATTCTAAAAACAAAAACTAGGAGGAAGGCGAAGGAAAAAGAAAAGTGTAGATAGAAAGAGGGAAGAGAATAGCGTAGTACTTACTGGAGAGACAGGGGAAGAAGAGGAGGACGGAGGTGGAGGACAGAGTAGGAGGAGCGAGAGCGATTGGGTCTTGCGGAGTTGATGGATTGGGGGGGGTGGGAGGGATTGTTTAGTCTCGGGTCGTTGGAGCCAGACTGTTTGGTGGCCCTGCCCGAGTACAGTACAGTAAGTAAATGAGTGGAAAAGAAAGGGGGGAACTTCATTGCCTCTCTTTGTTTCTACTACATACTACTACATACTACAACACCTACTATGGGCCTTAGTCTAATCAAAGTACTGCCTTTACCTACCTTATGGTCCGACTAAGACCACTCGGCCACTAATACTCTTTCTTCATTGATTTCGACCACTTCGCCTGTCCACTTTGCACTCTAATCAGGTCTGGCTGACTTAGGCTTCAACTGCCGATCAACAGTTCAAGTTTATTTCCTGGGGTTATCTTGCCTTATCAGAGCACAATTGGGGCTCACAATGAGGAGCACAGTGTCTACTTCTTCTTAACCTCAACCCGTTCAACCGTCCCCCCTGGCAAATCGTTCACCAACCATCACAGGCAGGGCTTCTTGTTCACTTACTATCTACCAGCCCTCATCATCTCCACGAGACCTGTCAAATCAACACAGTGCTCTTCCTTACGATGGAAGCATGGCTAGCATAACCGAACCTCGGGCAATTTGCAGAGAGAAGCCATTTTCACCCCAGGGTATACTAAAACACACCTACCAAGGGACGAATCGTGGGAAAACCTGGAATCATTCCAACAAGCCGCGATAAATTGTTCCAAATGTAGACGAGTGGATTGGAGCTGTAATAAGAAAGAGGAGAACTCCTCCTGAACTGACCCGTGCCATACTATATGCACTGTGCATCACCCGAGATAGGTCTACGCCAGCCATTGATTGAGTGGGAACCTCCTTCTTGCGTCAAGTTTGTTTGTTCCCTCTTGAACCTGTACGGTTGTGGTGTGATGGGTAAGATATATCATGCGGTGCTGATCGTCGAAGATTATCTGCCCATGGCCTACTTTCCAACCACCATCCGCTGGCAATCCATATAGTTTCAGCACGACAGAGACACTGCAGCTATTTCCTTTGAGGAGGAGAGGCTGGACACAACTTATGCCACACCCACACACCATACAGATTCATCTGGACTGGGCACACATGTTTCCGGGTTCTCATCTGACGCGTAACCGCGTTACCACTCAGTACAATCATCCAGGGGGGCTTGACTGGAAAGAAAAGCAGCTGCCGTGGAACGGAAAAACCCGATCCACCGCCCACCGAGAGCCAAGCGTGGTTTATTCGCCAATCATCACTGACCGCTAACGGTCCGGGGACAAGCGTCAAGTCACACCATGGACGGGCTGCAACTGGAATATACCCGGTAAAGTTCGTTCCCATTTTGAACAAATAAACTATTCGGGCATCGGTTGAGGGGAGTGACGATCGGTATATAAATAATAGATACTATCTATACTGGAATCCCCCTCAAATTCCTAAGATTGAGAATGATGCGCATTACCCACAACCAAAAAAGTATTCATTGACAGTGTCCCATCAGACCCCGATTCCAAACAGAAATACAAACATTACCCACCTCGAATCCCCTAGTGGCGATGATCTATATATGGAAATATGCATGATGCATCTGCGATAAACCTGCATGGTCCTCCGTAGTCTAGAAAAAGGGAAAAAAAATTCAGTTTCTAGGAAAACCAACTGCACGCCACCGTGGTCCATTACACAGCAAGGGGAAGCTAGGTAAGCTATCGGAAGTAAAGTCTCACCTCCAGGCTTTTCCTCCCGCCCCCCCTCTTCGGCACTATTGTACGACGACACACCTTCACCACAAACGGATGAGCATTTGTTACCCATACTTAAATGCCTGCCAAGTTGAGATGGTGAATTCGGACTTATTCTCTTCGATCAACCGCAAAAGAACAATGGATTGTCCGACTTGGGGGAAAGCAATCACTCTAGTTATAGGAGGTTGTTCCATCGTAGGACTAAACTGACCGTCCATACTAACCCATCTATCCATACTGAGCTTTCCACCTATCACCAGAAGCTCGGTGCGCGGACCTGACGGTGCAGTGGCTTGATGAGGTTCTCACTGAGAGATTTTCCAGGATGCGGTTGGATGAGGAGGATTGGTTAGGCCGCTTATCTCGCGATCGCGACTGAGACACTCGGCTGGGTTTGTGCGAATAGTATCGCTCACACCTTGGGTGTTGTGTGGAAGGCAAGCGGCTTGAACCAGAGCAATCTGGAAGGCTTTCCAGGACGGTACATTACTCCCGTTTGAGATACCATCGGTTGGAACTCGACAGGGCTCGAGGAATGTCGCCTAAGCAGCAGTTTGTATCCGCACTCAATCGTATTCTCCTAATTGAGAACATGAAAGCCGACCTGCTAGTATATGGACTATCCAAGCGATATATACACGCGCTATATGCATCTGCAACCGATCAGGATCATCAATAGCGCTGCCTATGGCAAAGTTAGTTCATAGCGATATGACATATCGGATTTCTGGAATCATCTTGGCATTACCACGAATGTTCTCTCTGGAGGCAGTTGGTGCAGAAGGTCAAACTAAACCATGGTTATGTCCATTCCACGACATATCTCCGTGCGTACAATGTTGACATCGGTAAAGCAGGGTTTCCATGTTGTTATAGTCGTCTACGTTGCATTACAACGAGAGAAGGGGGAAGTAGCACAAGGCTGAACGTTATTGATATCTTGTATTCATTATGCGCGGAGAAGTGCCCAGTCGCTGACGGCGCGTGGCCGTCACGACGAGGCGGTCTGATGATTTGCTTTTATTTGCCGACCTTCGACTTCTTCTTCGGCCGTTCGCCTTCTGACATCTCAACATCCTCATCATCATCCCCACCGTCGGATGCATCATCCATCTGCGCATCGCTGTCGCTGCCGCTGCTCTCGTGCGCAGAATCATATTCTTCCGCGACATCGGAGTCCGACTCGGCCTCGAAATCCTCATCGGGGGACTCATCGTCTTCGTCGGCCGAGCCACGGTCAGCGCCACCAGCATCATCATCGCTGGAGCCCATGTCTTCGTTGTCAAGAGCCGCAGCAATAAGAGCGGAGGTCTGAAGAACCAAGTCAGTCCATACCCAAGCAGGGAAGTTGGAATGCCACAAGGGATACGTACGTCATCGGACATCTCGTTCTTAAGGCGGATGTTCTTGGCCTTGAAAAACTCCTCAAGTGGTTGTTGCTCCTCACTGGAAAGCATTAGCTACCGTTCGATCAATAGGGGTTTGAATGGAAGCCCTACCGGTTGATGTTGCTGAATTGGTGCTCGCCCAGGCCAGCCTTCAGGCTGACTGTGATATCGAACGTTCTACTGGCTGAGATTGCACCGCCAACACGAGACATAGTGACCACGGCAACATTCTCGAGTTGAATGTACGTGGCGGGCTTGGGAACGAAGATCAAGCTCTTATCCAAGAAGTACAAAAGGCCTTCGTTGGCCTTGATCGAGCACTTGACTCCGCTGTGACCGTGGTGACTGTGTGATGTGTCAGTGGCCGCAATGGTACAACTTCAGCCGAATAGTCAACAAACCTGACGAAATCCTTCGATGGCATGATGACCTTCTTGCCCGAGAGCCCGCGGAAGATCTTGGTGACCACCTGGTGGATTGGCTCCTCGTAACGAGGTTCCAACTTGTCCTTGTAGCGTGTCTCCATGAGCTCACTAGAGATAATGTTAGGCAGTCGTCACAGGCATCTGGTGCTGATAAACCCACTCTGTCATATTGAGCTCCAAGCTGATCTCTTCATCAAGCTTCAACTGCATAACCAAGAAAGGGTAGCGAGTCTGACCCTGCCGTAGCGGAGGCTCCAGGCCCAGGACGATCAATGTGTGGGTATCATCGTTCTTCGGAAGCAAGAAAAACTTCTTGATAGATGCGTACTGAATCTTGTAGTCGTATGTCTTACCACGCAACCGGAAGGAGGACTCGTACATGTCGATATCGAAACGACCTCTGCAAGCTCTATTAATCCCAGACTCATGCGATTCCTTGCAGGCGACACATACCTGGGCGTCAAGTGTAGCACATCCAAGAAAGTGGCAAAAGTGTCACCCGCCACGTCTCCAATCTCAGCCTTCTCCATCAGTGTCTCGTAGAACAGGTTCGCTGCATTCTGCTCCTCGCCCTCCTCTTGCTCGCCATCCGCATTCTCATCGTCCGCGTTCTCCTCCTTGATGCCCTTTTCCGTCTTCACTGCCGTTCCGGGAATGTAGAACCGCATCTCGACCAGCTCGTCCGGACCCGCGGCGGCTTTCCGACCGCGACTCTTTGTGCTGCCGCTGGGCTGCGCAGGCGCATTGCCATCGCCTCCGAGGGCGAACTCCACGGCGACCTCGTTCTTTCCCGCCAAATTCGTGTTCGAGATCTCGGAGTAAGGGATCTCGAAGGCCGGTCGGTTCTGCACGTTGAAGGAGAGCTCTGCTTTCGTGAATTCCGCCTTGCCCCAGTTCCAGCCGCGGAGAGCGTGCTCTCTGTTATCCAAGTTGATGCCGTACCAGATCTTAAACGCTTTGCTCACACGTTCGAAGTCCTAAGCGTAGCGGAAATTCGGAAGATTAGCATGTGAACGTGCAGTGAGGTTACAAGGAGCAGATTTAAACAAATCCCAGATCTCAGACCATACCTCTTGATCGAATCCATCCAGTTGGATGACTCCGGAGGAGCGCGACAGGATTTTCAGCTCATATCCCTTCGCCGCACGGCTCCACTGGGCCGCGCCGATGTTGCTGCTGTCGAGCGTGAAAGTTTCACCTCCTCCGGAGGGCTTCCATCCCAGACCGGATTCTGCGAGCTTGCACTTGCCGTGCTGTTTGGAGAGGTCGAGGTAGATGTTATCAAAGCTCTCCCTAGTGGCGGACGTTAATGAACTGGACGAGAAGAGCGAGCGAGCGGAGAGGGTCTCACATGGTGGAGGAGCCTTAGGTGATTGGCAATAAAGGGTGCGGACGAGATCCTACGATAAAATTGAGAAAGCTAACGAAAACTTCAGGGTATGTGAGGTTCGTAAGGGTGTAGACTTCTGACTCAGTGACTGACGGTTGAAGGTGTTCCGATAAAGAGCTCCGATATCCTTTTTTCACGTCGCGTTGCGCGCCGCCGTGGTTCGTCCGTCTTACTACGCCAGGGGATCTTGGCGCTGGTGGCAAGCATATATGCCTTAGGCATCAACGTGCTCGGTATCAGTGAGTCTGCGCCGTACATCCACGTAGCACAAGGCACAGCACTAGGACTAGATCAGAATGCGAGAATTGGCAAATACTGGTTAGCGTAAATGAATAGGAGTATTTTGGTAGATGGTATCTGTTTCTGGGTTATAGGAGCCAAGGAAATGATTGCGAGGTATGTGTTAGTACATGCGTATTGGATATGAAAGAGATAGTTGCAAAAGCAATCCTCCATGTGCTTACCATTTGTATGCATTTACGATGAATTCGCTATACAGCAGTTGTCGCATTATGGATTAGTGGTTGGACGTTTAGCTCCTCTATCCTGGTCGGCGTGAATATATCTCCAACCGCAAGATCTATACGCTCTGGTCTTCGGAATATGGTGATTATCCTACAAGCACATGCTTAGGTGCCTTACAACAAACCAATCCAGATGTGTTTATTGAGCCTATAAATCAAACCATGTGTTGCGATCCCGGCCACTTCTAAAGCTCACCAAGACTGAAATCTGTCCCACCATAGCCTGCAAATTTGTGTAAGGTAGCAGACGATCTGCCGCTCAGTCTATAATGCAGTAGCTGCGAGACGATGAGTCACTACGACCAGAAACAAGTACAACAAGAGTGAAAGAGACATGCAACTCTTCAAGCATGAGAGGCGGCTTCCAAATGCTGGGTCAGTCTGAAAGGAAACCTTGGTGCTTAGGACAGTGTCACAACAGTACAAGTCAAGAAATGAGATCTATTTCTTGGCGATAGGCGTTAGTTGTGCGGTCAGATTCGAGCAAAAAGTCAAGTGCAATTTCTCTACGAAAATACGGCGCAGCCACTGGTTCTAGACTCTTACGATGCGCCGCGAATATAATATACACCGAGACACGGTAGCATGGCTAGATTATGTCCTGCTTAGCGCAGAACTGCATGTAAGTCTCATCGACTCGCCGTCGAAATTAGCCAACCACGAAAGTTGGGTCGCATTGCTCTCTAAGGAGTACGATGAACGTGCAGGGCTAGCTAGCCAGTTTATCCTAGGTCGAAGTCTTGAGCGCAAGGTTCAAACCATATTTGAAGCACGGGGCTGGATGGCGGGATCTCGAAAGCTTTATTGTAACGAGTTCAATCTTAAAGGCTGGAGCTGATATTATCAGTGGTTGTCTGACTGGAATTACTTGACGCATGTTGCACTCTGTAACAGCCATGAGGAAGATCGAAATAAAGATGATGTGGCTGTAGATGTATCCTGTATGCTGTACGTTGATGTATGCTGCTGCATCGCTTTGTAGCCGTCAATGCTGGTGCATACTTCACCGCCAGTGAGAACTACCAGTAGATAAGAGATGTCTGAAAGCCTTGCAGGCTGGGTATAGTTGCTTTATTCTCTGGACGTATCCGAGAATGTCGACCTGTTGGCCCCTTGGGTTGTAAGCTGTTGGAATTATTAGCGAAGATCCCCTATTAATAGGTCATGACATACAAACATCAATATTTGTCCAGCCCGTAAGGTGTGTCCTTGAATTGCGCCTGGCAGATTTGTAGGTTTATTGCCCACTCCTTAATTCTGCGAGCCATTGAAGGTGGTCTTGGGGCGACGCTGGGAAAGAGCTGTGATGATTGTTCTGTAGATACGGCGAGACATCACTGAGTTAGTCTCCCCCCACCATGAGTGGACACACCAAACCAAACATAGCAATTAATCGCATAAGCAGTGGCTCATCTTTGAAGTGGCTGGCGAGTCAGCACCTCGCGGATCAACCGACTTACCGGCCGCCCCTCCCCAAATTACAGAGTGGAACCCGGACCGGGCGAGAAGATCAATAATAGTACTAGCTTAATGGTACCTGAAAACCATCGAAGAACAAACAACCAAAAAGCCCCAACCGGGCCTGCCCACACTCTCAACTCACTAAACTCACTGCCTGCTTGCCTGCCAGCCAGCCTGCCAGCTTGCCATGTCACTCTTTCGGTCCATCCAACTTTTATCACTCATTCGTTAATTCATTTAGACCTGACCACTCATAGTCCGATTCGGCCTCTTGGCTATAGAACACATTCGTTATTCAACTCCCCTTTAAACTAAGTATCATTCTTTCCATGCTGCTCTGCTGAGAGTCTTTCACTCCTTTTTCTGGCTCCCGCGTGTGTTTGTGCCGCACCCGAACAAGTCGGCCCTCTTCTCACCCAAGCTGTTTCCACCCATTCAATTCTTTTGACTCGTCTTGGAGCACGTTGATCCCTCCAGACGACTCCATTCTTCTCCCTACCATTCTCTCCTTCCAAGAGAGTCACCTTCACAACTTGCCTGTCGTCGCGAACCCGAACAATGAGGGGATCCTCACTGTTTGGGCCTGCGACGGCTGGCTTCGCAGCAGGCCTCCGCCTTTCGCCATTACTCCTTTCTAGTCTCGCGTCGGCCTTGACTTTTCAGTCCGTTTCTGAACCGGAGTTGGATCTTTCGCCATTGGGTCATATTGCGCTTACCGGAGACTTCGATGCACTGGCCTATTACCAATATACCGCGCAGACTAACACATCGACCGGAGACAATGATGCGCAAGCACTCTTGACCCCTCTTCCAAACGGGATTCTTACGACCCTGTCGACCTCAAATGCAGACATTCGCGCAATGTGCCCATTTACGCAGGAGGATGGAACGTTTTCGGGCATCTTCGTGGGAGGCAACTTTACCAGCCTCGGCGGGGTCAAATCGGAGGGTGTCGCGCTATATCATCCGTCTACGAATCAAGTCACTTCGTTATCGGGTCTTTCGGGATCAGTCTCTGCCTTGCTGTGCGATCAAGAAACCAATAGCGTTTACGTCGGAGGAAATTTCACCTATTACAACACCTCAAACGCCGTGGCCTGGGTTGGCACCTCTGGCTGGTCCAATTTGACTTTTGGTGGTTTCAATGGCCCGGTTTCGTCGATCTTGAAGGATAGCGACGGTAATATTGTCTTTGGTGGCTTCTTTGATGGCATCGGCAACTCTACGTCGAGCAAGAAGGGTGAACAGGTCATCAATCTTCAGAATGCCACAATCACTTCCGATGCAAATTCTACAGCCAGTGGCTTTGTCGACCCCCGCAATATCGTTTGTCAGTCGAGTGGTGAGGATGGCGCAGGAAAGACATGGTTACTGGATGACTACTCACCTGGCTACTGGCGCGCCGATATGCAATTTGAATATACGCCTACCAAGCTCAGACTGTACAACACACACTACGAGGGACGGGGCACAAAAACGTTCCTATTCAGACGCCTGCCCGACAACGGAATCATGAACTTGACGTACACGGATCCGGATACGGGAAACGCTGCCTACTGCGACCAGAGTTGCTCGCTTTCCAGCAATGCGACTGAGAAATATCGTGAATTCACGTTTGTTAACCACGCCGCAATGAGTGGTTTCGAGATTGAGATCCTGGATTGGTATGGCAAGGGCGCCGGCTTGAATGGTATCGAACTTCTCGAAGACAGTGAGTGCAGATCTACCAAGGGAGCTATGGATTATTTACTGACAGTGAAAGACATCTTTGCCTACGCGATTAACGCTTTCAACGAGCCAACGTGCGCGAACTCCAGCTATCCATCAAAGTCAACACGTACCGGGTCTTGGTCTGCGACAGCTTCGGGTCAAAGCTCTTCGGCGTACTTGACTGCCGAAGTTACAAATTCGAACGCAACTGAAGCTTCGGTTGTCTTTGAGCCCGACGTCAAGCATTCAGGCAATTACTCGATCAAATTATATACGCCTGGGTGCGATCAGGACGATACTTGCAGTTCTCGCGGTATTGTCAATGTGACGGTCACTGCCTCAAGCGATTCTTCGGAGCCTGTTCAAACTCTCGTCTATCAGACGAATGAGTACGAAAAATACGATACGATTTACACTGGTCATGTGGATGCAAGCGATAGCTCGTTTCGTCCGCGTGTCAAGCTCACCCCAGTAGCAAACCAAGGCGACATCACTGTGGTGGCATCTCGAGTTCAGTTTGTCGCAATCTCCGTGTCGGGCATTTCGGATGACCAGCTGAACGGCTTGTACGAGTACGACCCGACCACAAAGAAGGGCACAAACGTTTCCGTGTCGGCCATCGATCAAGCAGGTCTTGCTCTGGACTCAGAAGCATCAATCACCAGTTTAGCTAGCCATGGCAGTACTATCTACGTCGGAGGCAACTTTTCGAGTTCCAGCATCAACAATATCATGTACATCGCACAAGACGGAAACGCCACGGCAATGCCCAAAAGTGGGTTGAATTCCGGAGTCAACGCCTTAACGACACTGGACAATGTCCTCTACGTCGGTGGTAATTTCACCGATACATCCGACGGTGGAAATGAAGGCCTGAGCTATGTGGCAGCGTACTCATTTGGCACTAAAGCATGGTCTGCTCTCGGAGGGGGCGTCAATGGTCGAGTGACCAGCGTCGTTGCTCTTTCGCTGAACATTTCTGCGGACCTCAACGAAACTGTTGTAGGTGTCAGCGGCGAGTTCGATCAGTTACTTAGCTTCGAACAAACGTCGTCCACAAATGTGTCAGGCTTTGCTGTCTGGGTGCCGTCGCGCAAGAATTGGTTACCAAACTTGAATGTCAGTCAGTTGGAGTTTGCTGGACAGCTGTCCGCTTACGCCAAGGTTGACAACACCACAATTCTTGCGGGTAGCCTCTCCACTGGTGGCCTTGCTGCTGCTGGTGCTGCTGCCCTTCTCTATGACGATGATCTCGGTCTTGAAGCACTGCTGACTGATCGCAACACAACCGGCGAAACATTCACCGGGATCTTTGATACAAGCTCTAGTCGGAATCGCACTATCCTAGGAGGTCACTTCTCCACAAACGCTACTAATGGATCGGTGATCGAGAACTTCGCCATTATCGACGGCCGCGATGGCAGTATCAGCGGGCTCGGAGCAGGTGTCGACAGCAACTCTACCTTCCTAACCTTTATGATTTCCGACGAAGTCCTCTACGCAGGTGGTAATATCACTGGAAAAGTAGGCAGTTCAACATTGAATGGGTTTGTCTTGTACAATCTCAACAATGACACGTTTGTCAAGAATCAGCCACCACGACTCACGGGTCATGGTGTGTCAGTCAACGCGATTGCTGCACGGCCGAGCGCGAAGGAAGTATACTTCGGAGGACAGTTCCAGACTGCGGGGGCGCTTCCTTGTCCTGGTGTTTGTTTCTGGGACACCTCTGATCAGCAATGGAATCGACCGGGGGCCAGCTTGGATGGAACGGTTTTGGCCCTTGAATGGCTTAGCAACAAGCAGCTACTGGCGGTTGGCAACTTGAGTGTCAACGGGAATCAGACTGCGATCGCAACATATAAACCCAAGGGTCAAACCTGGACTGCCTTTTCAGGCGCTTCTTCGTCGGAACTTCCAGGCACCGTCACAGCATTCACTCCTGCCAACAGCGCGGTGTCCAAGTTCTGGCTCGGTGGCACCTACAACAACGGATCTAGTTTCTTGGCCGCCTACGATGGGTCCAGCTTCCAGTTTGTCCGCAACGCCTTCGACAAGGGGACTATCATCCGTGGTCTTGAGATCCTTCCGCTTTCGAAGAACCATGATGCTGTTAGCACTCTCAATGATGATCAGACTCTCCTCGTCACCGGCCATCTGGTGATCCCGGATTTCGGCAATGCCTCGGCTGCCTTGTTCAATGGGACTACAGCGACGCCTTTTATCCTGTCCACCAAGTCCAACGGCGAAGCAGGCAGCATGTCCCAAGTGTTCTTTGAGAATAAGAACCCGTACACCAGTGGAGGTGCGTATCAGAACCGGTTTATAACTTATCAATAAGCTAACAACCGAAGCAGGCAAACACCTCTCCAACGGCATCGTTGTGCTCATCTCCTTCTGCCTGGCACTCGGCTGCGTCTTTCTGATTGTTATCTGCGGAGTCATCTTCAATAAGATCCAGCGCCGTCGCCAGGGCTACATGCGGGCTCCCCAGGCCGTGGGGACCGATCGACCATCCAACATGCGGAGACTCCCTCCAGAGTATCTGTTCAACTCGATCAAGCAGCCCAACCCAGCCGCCCCAACAATATGAGCTGACGCCTTTCCGTCGTATACACTTTTCCCTGCACGATGTACCTTGTTTTCGCTTCCATGCCTACATAAACAGAACGACGCAACAAGAGCCACGAAGAAACCAGCGCAAGCCAATTTCTCAAGTTTGTTGCTCCGAAATCCGTGATCCCTGATTTTGAAACCTAGCCTTCAGCACGGCGTTCTTGGGACCCTAAAGATGAAAAAAGAACTTCACTACAGCACCATATACCCCAGTCTGATTGTACTCATTCTGATTCTTCCAGCTAACTCGTTAATGATTGTTTGATTCCTGCTGTCAATTGCTGCCGCCCATCTAATCCTTCCTTGATCGGAAGATGCCTGTCTATCCGCCTCACATCATTTCATGCTACTCATGCTCTGCACAAAGCGCATTATCATTGACAATCGCCATCATCACCGTTGAATTCTTGTTACATGCGGTTATGGGTGGGAGGGTTTGACTACGTTGAATACGATGGCTTCCTCCCTCCACACGTACCGCGAACCGAACCACGCCCTCGCCCTTGTTTATGTGTAATCATCTCTTCTTCCATTTTCTGTCTCTATTGACCATATCTCTCATTTTTTGTACTTTACTCTCCACGCTTGGCAGGGTGTGAATCTGGGATCTATCCAAATTCGCTCCACTCAACGCCTCAGCATGGCCAATTTTGTACATACCCTTGACAATTTTCTTATTATTTCATCCGCGCGAGTCCGCGGTTGCAATGAATAATTTCCACAATTCCGGCTTCTCTTAAGAATTTACCCCGCAGATCCTTGGATCTAAAGTTTGTCTACTATTATTATCTTTAACTAGGGCCAGCCGAAGAAAAAGGAAAAAAATATCTTGCGCTGTAAAGGTAGCCCCCAGTGTACTGTAGTGGCAAAAAGAAGATACAGGGTGAGGTCATTTGGTATTTGGTATTCGGGGATTGGGTGGTCTTGAATCCTGCGCACGGGGCGGATGGGGATGCTGCCGCAGGTGTTGCGTGGCTAAGCTACTCACCTACCCTATATAGTAAAGTGGGCAGTGACGGGGGCCCAGAGAAATAGAGGACCATACGATTCGTTTCGACATACCCATATACTTTCAGATCCTTGAAGCGACGTCAGTGGTGGTGATGAGGACTTCCCCCCCCCCCCAAAAAGAGAGAAGTCTAGGTACCTACTCCGTAGTACTCCGTTGTGTGGAGTAAATTGGAAAGTGGACGTGATCATGTTATGTTTCGTCGAGTCTACAGTACATAGATGGAGTTGTCTTAGTCACCGGGACAAAAGGTCACGCGGGGAGAAAATTGGGTTCCCCGCAACGCTGGTTTCTGTTGGAAGTTTGGAACTACGTACAGAACTACACAACTGCCACTGGCAAAAGTCTCGGGCGTGTCGGTTCTCCCCGCTTGCTTGCCTTGAGGATTGACTGATCGCTAACTAAGTTAACTTAACAGACACTCCGACTCTCTGCTCTTTCTCCCGACGGGACCTTCTGTTCCCTCGCCTTTTCCTTTTGCTTGTACCCTCTCTCCACCCGAGATTAGACGGATGGAAAAGTCCAGACCTACCGAATGAAGGAGGAACGGAACTGAACTGATCTGACCTGACCGTCTCTTTCTTTTGCCTCGTGGCTTTGACTATCGAACTGTGTCTTTTCTCTGCGTGTGTGTGTGTACATCCCTTGACCACCACACATCTTCTCCCCCTGCCTGCCTGCTGCTGCTTACCTCCGTCTCGCGCCGCCTGCCCTTTCCCTTCCCCTTCATTTTCTCTCTCCCTCTCCTCCTTTTCTCCTCCCCCCCTCCACTCCCCTCCTCTTCTTTCTCCCCCAGATATACATTCGGTCCCCTCCGCGGTCCTTCGGACCTAGACTGTTCTAGCTCGCTTCGGTGCTAGTCCCACTCGCACCCTGTATCCAATTTCCTGCACTTTCCCACCACAGTCGCGATCTTCTTCCAATCTTCTCTTCCTCGGCCCACCTTGTTTTTCTCGGATGCTGCAGCTCAATAACCGTCTTCGCTTCCATTCGGCATGCGATCCCGCACAGGCTGGTATGTAATTCATTTTCACCACTCTGCACGTTGCACCCTCAAAACACCATTTGTACTACCCTTCACTACTATATTATATATTTTATTCCTTTATCGGCTGGATTCAGGATTGTTGGACTAACTGCGACGGGTCTTTTTTTTCTCCATAGCTTAACGTGTCGCACTCGGAAACTTAAATGTAAGCTCACATCACGCCAAGGCGATTCCATCTTCTGGCGCAAACACTAAGAGCTTTCCGATCATCAGGCGACGAGCAGAAACCGGAGTGCTCGCAATGTCGCAAAGGTGCGAGGGAGTGTCGCCCTAGCGAAGGGATCGTTTTCCGCCACCAGCAGAATGCCTCCATGAACAAAAGCGCCGAAGAAAACCCCAATGGTCGAGGTAGCCTAAAAGGCTTCTATTCATACAAAAACACTTTTGACGAGGACAGTGTCTGGCTGGATATCCCGAAGCATGGTAAGAGAACCATGCGGATTAGAGAGGGACCGCCGGGCGCCTGACAACAACTTGTCTGATGGTTATTGCTTTCTAGTCATTTTCGTCGATAATTCCGATCCTTATGCTGAAGACCTCGAAGCGGCCCTAGGCGAGTCTGAAGCCGCTATCCTTGCAGCGAACTCTCAGAATCGCGCCTGGTCGCAGCGCACGCCGTCCGCCGATGCCGAAAACAACGGCCTGGAAGCTCTCTCCACTGTGGCAGCCCATGACCGCCTGTCGTATAATCCGCTGAGCGTCGAGCAACAGTCTCTCCTAGCCGTTGATGCTGCCTCTCCTTATACCACCCTATCGGCTACAGCATCGTCTGGTCCGTCGCCCAGTCAGTTGCGCAGTGTGCTAGCCCCCCAGCTGTCGCCTCCTCTTTCAATCACCTCCAATCATACCAACAGTAATAATAATATCAACTTCCTTCTCAATCCATCGCAAGCTCGTTCGCCGCCTGTGGATTCCAACATGCATCATGCCCTGGAGCGTAGGAGCTCTTCATTGACCGCCAGATCGGCAGTGTCACGAGGCTCAAATACGGAACACAAGTCACATATGCCTGCCGAGACAGACAGGGAGGTCGCACTCCTGTTGCGACATTTCTCAGAGGTACCAGGACTCTGGTAGGTGTCCAATCACTCTCGCTACACCGAAAAGAAGAACATACTGATAATGGACAGGATGGACCTTTTCGATGTTGGAACTTACTTTGCCTCCTATATCCCTGTGAGGGCGCTCCGAAACCCTCTTCTGAAATATGCTGCATGCGCATATGCAGCGAAGCAGCTCGGGCGAGTCAAGGTAGAACAGGTGCCGACAAGTGGAACTTATCTCAAGCGAAGCGCGAGCCACGTAGACTGGTCTTGGAGAGGTGCGAAGTATTATGAGAAAGCTATCCAGCTCCTCATGAAGGAGCTTCAACCGGATAAAGGTCCCCCGCCTTTGAGTACCCCAGAGGCTTTCGGCCAATGGCAGGCTGCTGAATTATGCGAGGAGAGTGATAATCCTCGCAAACGCCGGCGACGGTATTCTGAGAGTCGGTTCTCGAAGGGCGTGCATTCGGACGAGATTCTCGCCGCGACGGCCATCTTATCTGTATATGAATTGCTCGATGCTACTGGTCCGGCGTGGAACCGTCATCTGAGTGGCGTAAAATCCTTGTTAGATGTGGCTGAGGTGGGGATGATGCCGGTCGAACAACGCCCTGAATCTGTGTTACAACACAGCAAAAAGCCTGGTCTGTCGACGGCGCGGAGAGCAACATTCTGGAATTTTGCCCGACAAGATTATCTGGCTGCTTGTAAGTGAAACCCTCAAGTAGCTTCAGGTTCTAACTTGCAAACCGCTAATCTCTGACCTGCATATAGTCATCAATGAGAGCCAGACGAGGCTCAATACCGATGACTTGGTTCTGTGGACGGAAGCAGGTCTGCAGATCGACAGTCAGGGGTTTGTCCGATCAAGCAACACAAACGCCTCCGGATATTTCGACGGAGACGACGTGATCAAAGAAGACATGATTTGCAATGGCCTGGTTTGGATCTTGTCTAAGATCGTCAATTTCATAAGTGCCGGTGACAAGGTGCAAGTGAACCATCCCAGCTCATTGAACACCGGACCTCTAGGCTTGTCGCAACAGGCTCTGTTGGAGCGGTGGATACGACTTGAGGCCGAGCTCGATGCGTGGTACAACGGGCTACCAGATATTTTCCAGCCTTGTGCTAGGACTGAGCCATTAGCCAAAGACGGTGAAAAGGCGGACACTGGAGCATTGTCTGAAATCTGGTACAGCATTCCCATGTGCTCGTCAGCTATGCAGCATTACCATATGGCACGGATTCTGCTCCTGGTAAACAAGCCACACGCGTCAACTAGCCGCCGAAGCACCATCACGGATAGACTCAACTCATATCGATCCATTGAAAATGACATTCGTTTTCACAGCCGGGAAATTGTGGGCATTGCCATGGCCTGCCCGACTGGCTCAGTCCGCATCAATTCACTCCAGCCGTTGTTCGTTAGCGGTCAGTGTCTCATTGATGCTGCTGAAAGACGCGCAGTCCTGCACCTGTTGCAGGGAATAGAAACCGAGCTTGGCTGGGCAACCGACTATCGTGTGAATCAACTGCTCCGAGAATGGGGCTGGCAGGACAATGAGGAAGCGGCTATGCTATCCTAGACGCTCTCGAGGTCAAGCCTCTGGCGTCTTACGAGGCCCATTCGCCCCGGGTCATGTATATATGTCCACTATCGCCTGAAGCTCCTGTGAAAGGGGTCAAGAGGCATTGCATCACTTTCTTGACGATTCACTTGTTCAGTACTTCTTGCATAATTGTTTAGCTGTGTTTTCGAGCGACCTTGTTTTTCTCGAAGTGATACCAGCGTGTTTCGGTTGTTGATGATATCATAGCATTTGCATACACACGTCGCATTCATGATAGATGGTCACGAAAGGAGTCAGGAGGAATCCTGTTGTTAATGAAGCATTTAGTTGTTACTTGTCAAATTTAACTGTGAATAATGGAAGGATCCACAAGAGTCTTGCTTCAGCCCCTGAGGTCAGTGAGAATTTTGTAGGTGTAGCAAGAGGTCGAAAGACAACTCAGTCCTCGAGGAATATCTTCGGTAAGAAACCCGAGGGGAAAAGGGTAAGTTGTAGCAAACTTTAGCGAGGAACAACACTCTTAAAAAGACAACGAGAAGAGAAGAGAGGAAAAGCAGTCCATCTTCAATATTCAGAACCTGCATTGGAGCTGCCTAACCGACTGACGGGGTGATGAAATAAAGGGAGTTGAAGATCAGAGGAGGAGGAGGGGAGGAGGGGAAAGAAAAGAGGAGGGGATTTTCATCAGGGCTGGTTCTTCCCCAGTTTTTCCTCATAGTTACTCCTCCTGGACCTCTCGGCTGAGTTGCCTGCCACTTCCGAATCGGGAAAGCCTACACACACCCGGACGGATTGGAACATGCACGTGCCTTTGCGGCCCGGGGGAGTTTGCCCAGTTGATACTTTCGGTGGGATTCCATTGAGGCTTGTTCGCGCCCTGGCCCTTGGCCCTTGGCCTTTGGCTGGCGGGAGGGTCTCCCTCGGGTTCTCTTAGCTTGTTCTGAGAGTGGTGACTTGGTAGATGTTGGTGTAGTGCAGGTTCTCTGGGTCATCTTTTTTTGGGGGGGGGGGGGGAATTGTGGTAATGAGCGGTTGGATGGATACCGGTATTGCTGCATATATTCGACTGTTGTGGTCCTAGTTTCTCGTCCATATTGTTTTGACTTTCCTTATTTTGTTTTTTCTTTGTGCTATGATAATCATGATGAAAGACGGACGGATGATCGTCGACGGTCCCAATGGCAACAATGGCAACTTACTAAGTTTCTTCCCTGAGTTCAGTTTCCGCTCACTAAAGATGGACAGGAAGTGCGGAAGGTTAGGCGACCAATCCGCGTCGGCGTTCGGGCCGGGTACTGACTCTTAGTGCTAACTGTACTTACTCGTACTGCACTCTGGTAACTAGGCCATAGATAGTCAGCTTGGGGTCTTGGCTTTTTTGAAAACCCCTGGCTTTTTGTTTGTGCCTTGTCCGCGGCTGGGTATAGTACTCGGTACTGTGGTTATGAATAGGTACAGCTACAGTTACTCCGGGGAGAGCGTTCGGTTTGCTTGCCTTCCCTTCTTTCTTTACGAAGCCAGCTCTATATACATTCTAAAACCTGCTTTTTGCTTTGTTGATCGCGTTGTACGCTTATATCTACTCAAGGCTTAGAGACAAAAGATCACTTTTTTCTTCTGTTACATATTACAGATTGTGAAGGAGCCGGGGTGCGAACTGAGAAGCATGTGCAACACTGTCCCGCTCAGACCCCCACCCCACTGACCTTGAATCCACCGGGGACCTGGGTCTGGAAGACGCCGTGGGGGTCATACTTCTTGGCCACCTGGGCGATGAATTGGACGTTCTCCTCGCCGTACCCGCTCAGCGGGCTCTGGGACTGGTCCGCGTAGTTGAGGTAGATGTACTCGTTGGCCGCACCGATCGACTGGGCGTAGGCGTCGAGGTCGGTCAGCGCGGTGCGGCCCAGGCGCGTGAAGAGCGCGTCGTCTCTTGCGTCGTCCCAGGAGTAGTCGTAGAGGACCTCTGCTCGATTCTTATCAGCTATGCAGGTCTTTTGGTGGGGTTGGACTTGGGAGATTCGGCGAGGGGTTGCTTACGGACGAGGTTCTCATCGAACCGCTCCAGGCCAAGCACGTTGCCGCCCTGGGCCGCAGTGTGCTCCCAGAACAGCTTCGGCTAGGGCTGGACGATGGTGTCCATGGACCAGGACTCGCTTTGGGCCTCGGCCTTGGCTTTCTCGATGTTCTCGTTGTGTAGCGCGATGGCCTTGCGGAGGACTTCGGCGTCGTTGCGGTAGGTGCCGGTTGTGAAGATGTCGCTGGATTCTGTCAGAGACACGTTCTCTTTTGACTGGGAAAGGGGGGGAAGCTTACCGATATCCCTCCGCCTGGACCAGTTCTTGGGTGAGGTTGTAGATGGTGGCGAATCGCATCGTGTCGGTCGTGTTCTTGATGGCAACAAACTCGTCGAATGCAGCCGGATACGCGACGGGCTTCGTGTATTCCAGCGCATTGGCGATGATGTTCTGTCCCGTCGCGGAGCTGTACTCCCACATGCCGATCCACGACGCGTAGGGGTCGTTGTGAATGTTGTCCACGAAGTTCACGGCGGCGGAGATCTGCTGCTCGGTCGTGGAGTTGTCGTACACCACCAAGCCGCCCCACAGTCCATCGTGGGGAAGGGTCTTGAGGTCGTAGTTGGTGACGATGCCGAAGTTGATCGACCCGCCCTTCAGGGCCTTGTACAGGTCAGAGTTGCTCGTTCGGTTGGCATTGACGACTGAGCCGTTCGCGAGGACCACCTCGAAGTTCTCGACGTTGTCGCATGCAAAGCCCACGCGCGCCGTGTAGAAGGTGTTTCCACCTTTGGTGTGGGAATTAGATGGGGCTTGCTCGATGGGTGTGGGTGGGTAGCTTGCAGGCACATACCTCCGATTAGGAATCCACCGACGCCCACGGGTCCGCCACGGCCACCGGGCACGGTCACTCCGTTAGGGTCAAGGGCCTTGTATACTGCCTGCCACCGCGAGCCGGGCAGGATTGATGCGACGCCCTTGCCTGCATGGTATGTCGTGCTGTTCATCATCGAGAGGTCAATGGTGACACCCTGCTCGATGTCTGCTGCACCGGCCCACGTAGTGTGGCCGCCACTGCGCACTGCAAACTTGCATTGTGATTCACCTGCCTGCACCAGAGTCGAGACGGCAAGCGAAACATCATCTGCAGTGTGTGGCTGAACAATACACGAGGGGTGTAGCTGAGCATTCACAGCGAAATAAGATGTCACGGACTCATTGTAGGCCACACTGTTGGGGAAGGTAACGTGGTCCCGGAGGGAGGTGGCTTGAAGTGCGGAACACTGGGAAAACCGAGCATTAGCCGTACTTGCGCTTTGATGTATCAATAGCTATACAACTTACGCAGGCGGTGGTATTTGACCCAGAGGCTTCGGGCAAGAAGCCGAGGAGGGGTGCTAATGCGGTAGAGGCCTTCATTGTGAATCTCGATTGACAGACGCTTGACGATTCTCGCTATCGCTCTCTAAGCGGCTCACTGCCTCTTATAGTTGAACACAAGCCTGCCGGCTATTGTTCGGCTGCAAAAGCAAGCGGCTTTCATGGTCATTTGAGGAGCTACTCCGAGCAAGCACCTATTCTGTATGAGGTCGAATGGTACGATGCTAGCACTAGCACGACGAGGTATGCGCTAAGGCTTGCTTGCAATTTCATTGTGCGGAGCACGAAGGTAAGGTACTCTGTAGGCCAGGAGCACTCCCCATCAGTGCTTGTATTAACATGCCGATCGATGTAAGCCGCCAATACTAGGTAGATGGATGGAGCAGGAATGGTGCACGACAGACTGAGCAGGCGGCAGAGTCGGTGGAGCCTTTTGGATAAAATGCGGGATTTCCTGCCCAAGCGAGAGATCATTAATTTGTGAGAGCTTAAGTTGAAAGACCGAACATCCCGGTCTGGTTGTCAGGCCTGATGGGATACTGTGCCAGAGATTCTGATCTCGCATTTCGAGACAATGGATGGCTGGCTTGTGGTCTCTCAATCCGCGGGCCGCCTGTCCGTAAGCCCCCAAGTGGGACTCCCGGAGTGGCTCTAGTGGGCACTGGCTCCTCGGATGGAGTACCGCAATAAGCTTGTGAATTGGTTTCCAATGTGGAGTCTGAGGCGGGGACAACGCAAGCAACAAGGAATGGGCCAGGAGAGCGGAGGACTAATGTGTCCGGTCATAACTGGGGAGGAAGCACACGGAGGTATTGTCCAGCCCGGCCACAGTGATTGATGTCAAGCTGCTTAGGATGATGCCAGCCCGATGATGCGAAGACAGTGTCTTGAAGGCTGTCTCATTGTTAGATGACAGGGGGATTTGCTTAAAGACATGACATTAGCTTTGGCTTCTCACAATGTGCGGAATCGGGAATGATACTCCAAAGAGAAATTGGGGGTTTAGTCTCGAGGATCTTTCTCAGGACAATAGAGGACACAAATGAATGTGTAGAAGCGACTGAGTAAGAGAAACGAGCGAGGCATCTCCTAAATTTCCTAAATGTCGAGATCCCTGTCTGGTGCCATGGACTAAAAGAGACTATGGCCGCTAAGCGGGATCGTCCATCAACGGCGGCTCGTGCTGTCTCCAGATCCGCTCCACCCCCGTCTATTCTGGCGCCACATGATCCTAGCATCAAGGTGGAGCTTGTCTCGATCTAAGGCTCCTCCCCCTGTGTCTGCTGTCCTAGACGAGCTACGGTCATTAGTCGGTCGCTCAGAAATACCCAGAAAAGAGACAGGGAAGAGACGACTCGATTCGTACCCGCTTCAAAGCCCGATCAGATCACTGGCCAACTAATTCCTTAGATCTGCATTCGCAATGAGAGGAACGACTAGTCGCAGGTTCAAGGATCCGAAGCACCGCGTTTCTTTTTTCCGGGTCTCCAGACTCGTATCATTCATCCAGGCTGTGCCACCATGACAGACTGGAAGCGTGCTCGGGTTTGAGACAATCTTCATCGTCCTACAGTGCCCGCAATTTGGAGAACAGCATGACACCGAGTAGTGAATAATAGCTGGGATCTGTCCAACATACGCAGTATGGCCAATGTCACAGCGGCTGAGCCTCCGCCAGGACAGACGTACGACTTCGACTACTCCAATCCTCACTTATACAGGGCCAATGTGGCAATTATCGCCATCGGTCTGACACTGAGTACAAGCTGTCTCGCTGTGCGAGTGTTTATCAAGGCACATTTGCTGCACAAGTTCGGATGGGACGACGGTATGTCATGGTGGTGAGCCGAGTGGGTTGAATGGAGACTGACTATAAACAGGATCGATCATTCTGGCCTGGGTAGGCAAACGCATAATAATGCAAAGCAATGCCTTCTGCTAATCTGGTATCGAATACAGTAGTTCGCCTTAGGAACTCAGGCATGCTCACTTTGTACGTCTACCATCGTACCAACCCAGTGTCCATCCCTCTCTAATCAACAATCTCTTTCCACAGACGGCTACCATCACGGAGGCATGGGCCTTCACATCTGGAATCTTTCCCCAGCAATATATGAATCATACATCAAGGTCACTATTCACCCCGCCATGTACCGCCGCAGCTATCTCATACCACCACGCAGGTCGTCCTCACAGCAGCCATCATCTACGTCCCAGCGCTTGCCCTCGCCAAGATCAGCCTAATCATTCTTTACTACCGCATCCTATGTCAAGAACGTTATCAGCAATGGGCATTATCCACCCTCGCTTTCATCGTGAGCAGTTACAGCATAGCCCTGATCTTCGCATTCATTTTCGGCTGTCACCCCATCCAGAAGGCATGGAGTCCAGCACTCACGGGCTACTGCATCGATCAATACGCACTTTACGTTGCCACCGCAGTGTTGAATATCATCACAGACGTTGCATTGATTCTTTTTCCAGTCCCTACAGTCATAGGTTTGAACATGCCAGCGATACAGAAGATAGGATTGCTCTTCATGTTCATGGTTGGTTGCGCGTGAGTCATTTTATTCTGATGCCATTTCCTAGATTTTGCGAGAAGACAATTTGACCCAATTGGCAGAACCTTGGTGACCGGAATCATTCGTTTGGTAACCCTTATCCCTTTCCTAAACTCTAGCGATCCGACCTATAGCATTGGCTGGCCGGATTTGTGGATGTAAGCTCAATCCCACCCCCAGTGTCATGACCAAAGTGAAATCACATCTAAACCCCCGGCAACATGTAGTAATATCGAAGCCAACTTCATCATCATCTGCCCCTGCTTACCATTCATCCGTCACCTCCTCCGTCGCTATGCACCCCGCCTGATCGGCGAGCATAGCAGTCTCGCGCGTCGCTACATGCAGAACTACACCTACAATTATACTCGGGAAAGCACGCGGGCACGACGGAAAGAAGGACTCACACAGTTGCAGGACGAGATCGAACTCGCCGAGAACGGCCACGTGCGGATTGTGAAAGAGATCCAGTGGGAGGTCACGACGGAGGTGACGACCGCTGTTCACGGGTATGAATCCGAGGGGGAGATGAACCGGCATAGTGCCCTCTTCAGGGGAGACTAGTGGGAAGCTCGCTTTGTATATACGACCCTAAAGAGGAGATCAAGAATCTTGTCGAACTTCTGCTCACAGCTAGAAAAGAAAAATCAAGGGCTCAAAAGAACAAGAGAATGAAACCAGCAAAAACCAGCATAACTGTCCCCAAGCAATGCTCAAGCGAGGGAGCAATCACCAACCCAGCCCTAGACAGCCCGGTACATCTTCGACAATTTGTCCAACCGGCTTCTCGCTTGCCGCAGCTCTTTTGCGCAGACCCGGTGATGGCCCTTGGTCTTCCGGAACGTCTTTTCGGCAGCCATGAAAGTCGCCTTCGCCGCCTCGGCCGCGATTTGGCACGACTTGAGCCGGTCTTTCTCTTCCTCGATCTCGATGGACAGCTCGGCGCGGCGCAGCTGGCCTGGGGTGAGGTTGTGCGGTTCTTTCTCCTCGTCATCGTCATCGCCGTCAACGTCGTCGTCCTCATTCTCATTTTCTGTCTTCTTTCCCTGGTGTTGCTGCCGCGGCTGCTGCTGCTCCTGGAACAGATCGTCCGGCACGTTGTAGCCACGGTCTAGAAGCTCTTCGCGCATCTAAGTTTTTTTTTTTTGTTCATTAGTGTGGGCCTCGAAACGGGACTACGGCCCGGATTTGACATGATGAGCGACTGGAATCATCGGGGTTCTCCCTGTAGAGCCAAAGTGGAGATTGATCTTACCTTGAGGCGCTCGTCGGCTCTGATTAACTCCGTAGCCATAGCCGGGTGCGTGGGCATAGCCGGGTTCAGGTCCTGGTGGAAATTGATATATGAGCATTCTGCAAAGAAACTCACTGCTGGCTGACTGTTTTCCTCGTACCTTGGTCTTCTCTTTCGAAGGACTGGCTGCGGACAGGGGCTGAGTCAAGGGTGGAGGTGTAACAGGTACCGATACGACAGGGCGAGGATCCTTTGGCTGAGGGGCAATAGCCTGAGGCGCAGCGGACCGAGGAACTGCAGACTGAGACGGAGCGAGGGGGGCATAGGAGCTCTAATGGCTGTGGCTATTTTCCGTTTTCATTTCTCTGGGCACTATGCGGAAAGAAGGAGGAGGTTGGCGTTTGCGTTGAGGAGCCGAGTTCCACCCAGATGGTTTCTGTACTCCGGTTGGTAGAGGCCCAAGCCCGGAGCTGGAGGGCTTGGGGGGTTTCTTCTGCTGGATGTGTTAGCTTGTGTTGGTCTTGGTCAAGGCTGGGATGATGGATTTGGCTGATCGAGGGTTGAGGTTGCTGTTGGGGTATCCGACTGGGTGAAAAAAATGTGGCGTGCTTACGCTGTCTGGAGACGCGGGAATCGAGTTTTAGTTCATTTTCCTACTTGTTGCAGCAAGAGGGAGACTTACTGGAGTTTGTCATGACGTTTGGAATGTTGATGATGCAGCGAGGTCTGGGTTGGAGAGGTGGTGATGGAAAGGATCGCGATGGGGGTGAGAGACTCGAGATGTGGAAGATAAGATCTGGCCGGATTCATGGCTGTAAGCAGTTTTGTCCTTCACAAGGAGTCGCTTGATGAACATTCGTGTTATTCACCTTCTAGGCAGTAGTATGTTCATACTCTGGTCTTTCTTTATCCCAGCCTCAGTGAACAACACGTGCCTGATTATGTTTTACGATGAAATGTCTCAATTCACTGCCGTGCGGATACTACTACCGCTCACTTACAATAGTAGGATCTCAGGTTCGGTGAAGTCAATAGATTCTCGAAGCTCATTGGGAATTTGGGCACAACTTAATGCCAGCCAACTTGAGAATATACACCCATCTTCCAGCCAGAAAGTATATAAGATATAAACGCAGGACCTCTTCATCCCAGAGATGTACGTTACCCAATTACTCAGTACAGTACACTTAGACAGCAACATATTAAATTTCTAGATGAATCTTATAGTGTAAAGCCACAGATCCAGTCAAGATGCAAAGCATCCAGACCATCCAACAACACCAGCAATAGAGGAACCCGGGCCAACACCCCTGATAAATGCCATAAACCCTAGGTGAACACCGACTAGAGCTTGGGAAGTCCAGGGCCCGTTTTCTGCCGCGCCTCTATTTCACGACAAATGTGCGCCAGGAGATTGTTGAGGCTGTCTCTTTCCTCAAGATCGGTCCTGCTGCGATGTCCCCGTGCCCAGTCAGCTTCAAGATCGGACAGCATGGCCTCGACGACTGCCTTGAGTTCGATGAGCCTGCGTGCCTCATCAATATCCAGCACTGCTGATCTAGCTATACTTCCTAAATGGAGCACTTACTGAAGTATCATGAAGGGGTTACGGCGGGGTGGCATCTTGAGGTAGAGGGCTGAGGGTACTGGATTCCGTGGCTGCGGTTCTGAAGTTCTTGGTCTAGGTTTATAAGTTAGGTTAGGCTGTATGTGAAGTCTTGAAGTCAAATCTGGATGAGGTTCGCCCTGTAGTCATGGCATAGGATCAAGTGACAGGTTGAGGTAGGTTGTACTCACTAGTAGAAGTAGTTAGTTTTGTGTCTGGCACACAATAGGGAAAAGAAGATACTTACCTATGAAGGTGACGATGAAAAAGACGATGATAGTTGTGACGGTGATCACTATTAGCATCATGATAGGGAGATATATGGGGAATCAAGTGGAAGAGGAGGAAGAGGAAGAAGAAGAGAAAGAGGCAGATGTTGGCTGGGCTGACTTCAGCTACATCTGATGCTAACTGGCTCGCATTCACTGGCTGCCTTTTACCCATTTCGAAATACATGGCTACTGCTTCGAGATCTACTTCAAAGAAGAGCTGATTGTTTGTACTCAAAGTTTGCCCTTCCTCAGCCCTTCCTCAATCACCAATGTGTCTTCATCTCCATCACTGCATCGTATCGGAGTTTCAATTTATGTATACATGCTTTCTCCCCACTCCATACCGACATCTTCAATATCCACTCAAGACTATCTAGCTTACAGCTAGCATGTTGAACCTTGACAATGCAGAGGTGCGTCTCTGAGTGCTTCTGCCCAAGCTGCCAGAGGCGGCATAGTCCACCATCTAGAATGAAACCCAGCCTTGAGCATCGAGCACGACCCTGATAGAAGGCTCGTCTATTCGACTTAACATGACCCTGCAGTGTGCATAACTGCAACCACTCTCGACGTACATGTCCAAACCTCCCTTTGAACAGAAGTTGAGGAAAATCTTAGCCTCGTCAGCAATATACACTCCCCTGCCACGTCTGTTGATCAGCTACCTCAACCCACTAGCAGTGAACCCTCTTCATCCGGACAACAGTATATTATGGGGAATTGCATAATACAAGGGCAAGCTGTGCTAATTCAAACAGGGCAACCGCAACCCATCCTCCTACCTTCCATCATCTTCTCACAATCTACTGCCTACAGCCGATCATCTACTCTCCCGACCACCACCATAAGATGTACTACAACAGAAACCACCAACATTGGAACACCCCATCCAACCCCAAATCCAACCGAACCCAACACCATCATTATGTCCGTCCCCAACTACAGCAATCACTACGCCCAACCTCAAACCAATTACTACAGCCAGCAACCCAGCGCCTACGACTCGCAAACCCATGCAGAATATCATTCCCCGGGACAGCGCCAACCTGACCAGCAGTACCAGCAACAGCCCGCAGTAAGTAGACAAGACCCAATAACACACACCAAAAAAAGCAGCTCAGTATGCTGAACACCCGATCTAGCACACCTACACCCCACAACCCAGCCCCCATTACCCCAATAACAACTCCCCATACATCCACCGAGCAAATGTCCCTCTCACCATGACCGGAGGTCAAGTAACCGCCTACTCCGAGCCCAACACACCCAACACACCCTACACAGAGTATCAAGACAACAATGCACCGTATACCCATCCCTCGCAACCCCAAATGCTCCAAGGCGAAAGCGCTTCGTATTTCGCTCCGCAGGGGGGTCCACCTCCACCTCCTTCACCACCAGCCCCTACAAACCCACCAGCTGCAGACCCATCCCTAACGACCGAGAAAGGACTGGGAAGCACTATCACCGGTGCAGCCGCGGGTGGCATTCTGGGCCGCAAGTTCGGGGGTGGGTTTCTCGGCACGGCGGGGGGTGCATTGGCCGGGGCGGCGGGGATGAAGTTCGCGAGTAAGATGTAAGGTTTATCTCTGTCACTCTCTGAAGATCTGGGGATCGGCCTCAGGGCGTACGCTGACACTTCTATGCAGACGCAAAAGGATGAAGACGAAGAAGCACCGTCGCGGTGGGCGGCATCGAAGCTGCTCGGACTCGAGTTCGTCGAGCTCGTCGAGCTCGAGTTCGAGTTCGAGTTCTAGCTCATCGAGTGGCGGTGATTAATTAACCGAAAAATGGTATAGAGGTATCGAGGTGGCTCGTGGGTGGAAGGAGATTGGGTTTTGGGGAGCGGGTAAGTTCTTGAGGCCTGGTCGAGGTATTTCTTTTTAGTGGGTGAATTGGTCCATCGAGCGTTGAGTGTAGGTTACTTCTTTCTTTCAACAGTATCCTTACGAGACGGTTCTCATAGGTTATGATTCATCCATGTCGACGCGTTATTGATAATTTTCAATAGCTGTCTCACAACCCTATGACCATTGATATGTCACAAGGCCAAGCAACAATTGCAGCGTAAGTAGAGTAACCTGTAACCAAGCAGCTCTGTCTCTAGCACCTCGACTGTCATTGCAACGCATACCATGGATCAACACGAAGTGTACAGCCAAGTGCTCAGCCAAACCCCCCCACATTAACAGAACTACTACATCAACAGCAACAGCGACTCAGCCAAATACACTTTTCCTTCTTCTTCATAAACTGAATTAATCATATATATCTATCTCATCGTCACTCAACTATACTTCTCACAGATCGACCCTTTCGATCCACACCAAGCCAAGATTCCGCAACTAGCTCCGCACTCTATGACGACGCCTTCCAGATCATATTGATTTGTTTCCTGCGGACCTACACAAGAGAGAGAGAGAAAAAAAGGTTAGCTTAAATATCCTGGGGCAAAGGAAAAAAAAGAGAAAGAACATACCATAGGCGCCAGTATCATTACACCGGCACTCAAGGCCAGGATGGTGAGAACCAACTGCAGCTTGGAGAATCCCTTGCCTAGCACGTCGAACGCCTGACTCGGCGTCGCGCGGGTGGCGAAGATATCCCCGCCGAAGGCGAAGATCAGGCTCGTACTTTCGAGCAGCGTCGGGCTGGACAGCACCTTCTTGATGCCGGCGACGTTGCGCGAGTGGGTCAGGTACCACCGCCCTTCGAACTCGAGGAAGGGGTTGTACTTAAACAGGCCCTCTTCGGCTTCGGTGGAAGTGGGGTCGCGGTCGACGGGGCGGCGGGGATCGAGGACGGGGCGCGGGATGCCAATGATCGCGTTCGAGTGGGGCAGGGTGCAGAGGAGGTTGCGGGTGGTGATACCCTGGCGGGTTTGAGTCACAGTCATGTACGAGATGGGCTCGGGAATGACGAATGATTGGGAGATGATGTGCGGAGAGGGGAGGGAGGCAAGGCTGGAGTAGTTGGCGGCGGCGTCGAGGGGCCCGCGGTCGTTGGGTGCTGGCGACTCGTAGAGTTCCGAGATCACGAGCTGGTAGCCCTTGGAGGTGGAGGGGGAGATGACGTCCGCGTAGAACGAGTACGAGAACCAGTTCTCGGAGATGGTGGAGGCAATCGGTTGCGTGGTGTCAACACCCTTCTGGACGGAAGTGTGCAGGACGCGACCAGAGACGGCATCGAGGAGGTAGAAAGTCGCCCTGTTCTCGCCAACGGTGGTGATGAGGGCGAGGTTGGGGTTCAGGTACTTGTAGAGAACAGAGCGGTCACCCAGAACCTTACCGATCGACGCCACAGGGTCGTGAGCGGGGCGTGCAGTAGCATACACGATCTTCTCTCCATGGGGAGGGAGGAACTGCCAGACGGGGGTCTTGTTGTCCCTAGCGGCCCATCCCAACACTCGGCCGTCGTTACTCTGGGTGACAAAGAACCCAGGAAGATCGAGGGATTCCAACGGGGTACCATCCTCACGAATGCCGATAGTGACTGGAGCGGAGCCATCGTCAATGACGGCAACGGCGCGGACCTTGGTATTGGTGCCTGAGGTACGAGCGAGGATCGCGCCAGACGTGACATCCAGAGTGACAGAGCTACCATCATCGGCGTAGATAGTGGCGGATCCTGGTTGAGCCACGATCGCCTTCACATCCCACGAGTCCTTCTCAGCAGCCTTGACAGCCCAAGACACGGCACCATGGTTCCCGGCATCCAACGCATAGACCCGACCGTTCTTCGCGGCAACGATGACAGGCTTAGAGATCCCAAAGCTGTCAAGGTTAGAGACCTCGTCAGTGAGAATGCTGGTCACAATGCGCTTCGGGAGGTCCTTGAGCCACTCAGGGAGATGCTGGAGGTCTCTAGCATGGCGCTTGACGCGGTGGATGTAAGCCTTGTAGACGCTCTCATGGCCTTCGACTTCGAGCTGATGAACTAAGTCTTCGGAGCCGTCCGTCTCAACCCACGAAGCGGCCAAGGCGCCCGTCAAGGCCTCGTACCTCGTCCACTCGACCTGACCGCCGCGGATCAACTGCCAGTCCCCGGAGACGAGAGCAGCTGCGGACCGAACAGCAACCGAGTCACCCTTGGTCACAACTTCCGAGACGGCGTGCACCGCCTCTTCCAGCGGAGGCGACTGGTGAGGCCATCTTCCCAGGATTCCATGCGAGACAGAAGAAACGACGGTAGTCTCCGACTGCGTGATGCGGGTGAAGTAGACGTTGGCGTCCTTGTTGCTCGTGGAGAAGACAGACCATCCCTGCAACCGGGGCAGCTCATACGCCCTGGACATGGCGGAAGTCTTCAGGTCAACGTGGTATACCTCCGCCCAGGTGGTCGAGTCCGTCTCGTAGTGCACCAGGTAATGGGGCAGCGATTCCAGCTTCTTCGGGGTGTGGACGGTGATCGAGCGGATACTCTCGCCGCTTGTGTTCTCAATATCAAAGGACTGCACCTGCTTAGTGCCAATGATGTTGACCTTCAGCGTCTTGTGCGCGGCGTCAGACCACACGATCACAGGCGCGGCCGTGTTCGCGCCGACGAAGACAACGGACTGGGGACCGGACACCTCGTTCTCCGAGCTCAGGATTTGCTGCTGGGTATGAAGGCCAGTCAGGGGATCCAGCGAAACTACGCGAATCCGATAGCCCTTCCGCGCCGATGCTTGCAGGGCGATGTAGAAAACTTCCGTGGACGAGGACGACAGCTGCAACGGGATGTCTCCACTATCATGAGAGCTCTAGCAGTCAGCAACAGCAACCACCCAGCATTTTTAGAGGAGAGGGGACGCAGGGTTTGAGATCGAACCTTTCATCCTTGTATTCCCACTTGACCTGGCCTGTATTACCATCGAGTCTGCGAACGACACCGGCCTTTCCACTGAATAGCGCCACAGTGTCTTTAGCTGACGGCGTGGCACTGGCATCTTCAAGCTCCAGAAGCTCGAGATCCGCGATCTTCTCATCCGCAAACCACTTTTCCCAAATCAATTTTCCATCGAGAGCAGTCCATGAGGAGACATAGCCCCCCAGCGCACCGACCACAGCGTTCGTTCCTTCGGAGGCTCGTAGGAGACCGGAAACGCCGCCCTCGTCGGCGGGGAGGGCGGGTTGCGAGAGGTTCTGTCTCCAAACCAGAGATCCATCTCTGGGATTCACGGCGCCGAGAAGAGAGTCCTCAGAGAGGGTATAGAGGAGGGAAGCATTGGACGAGGCGGAGGGTTTGAGGAAGAAGGTCGATTGGGAGGTGGGAAGGCCGAGAAGCGCGTGATGGTAATCGATATGGCCGACCTCATCGACATAGATGGCCGAGCTGGGGGGAACGCACGAGGCGAGCAAGAGAAGCGTCGCCTGTAGCCACATGGTTATGACCGTGACTCTCGGGCGGTCATTGAGGGGTTACAGGCGGCTGGGTGTTGTTGTTATACAGTAATAAATAGCAGGTGGGTGACGCTATCCGGGGAGGATGAGCTGCGGGCGGTGATGGCCGACTGACCTTTGCGGCTAGTCTAGCCCTCGCTCTTGCGGTCCCCATGCATTGCCGGCTACGGCCCATTGGAAATATGACCCCTACTGAGTGGGTTTGGGCATTCACAATTCTATCTCTTATCCTTTAAGCCTTGTAATCTTCCTCGGGATCAGTAATTATCTGGCAAATATCCCGAAGTGAAGCCTAAGAACAGCAACCGCAACGCTGGACCCGAGATAACCCCAGATGAGAATAAATGTCTAAATTAGTGCTCAAAGCATCTCGAATAAAAATGTTAAAATGAAATATTAGTTTTGCGAATATATATCAGGCATAGACCCCAGCCGCTAGAGTATGGGAATTGATGGAGAAATAGAGAAGTGCCAGGTGTAGACTGAGCAATCGACCTGAGTCAAGTCAGACCAAGCCCTGATCAATCGTTTGGTGAACTCAGATTGTACTGATCGTCTCTTCAAATAAGCCCATCGTGTGGAATGCAGTGCAGAAATCTTCTATGTAATTATCCAAGTCGATCCGAATGACGCCTCATATGGTTTGTTGATTAGTGTCTTGATGAATGTCTTGATGAGAGATGAAGCGAAGAAAATTGGCTAAGAAAGAAGGATATTATAGTCGGAACGAGAGGAATAGGTCAAATGGGATAAACTCAAACGGCAACGGTGTTCGTGGCCGTCTCAGCTTCTGACTTGAGGGCGGCCGCGTCTTCTTGCACGGCAGCCACCTTCTCGTCTTCAGTGGCTGCGACAGAAGTCTCTTGCGCGGCAGCCTTTTCAACCGGGGTAGCAGCGGGCCCGCCTTGCTGAGCGAGGGCACCCGCAGGGAGGGTGGATTTCCGACTCTCGCCGTTGACCTTGCCGAGGACCTCGATGGTGTTGCCGTTGAACAAGACGGGGCCCTTGATGAAGCTGGGCTTGGTTTCGCCTTCAGCGGCTGGAGTTTCGAGGGCGCCGACGACCTGACGGGCTTCTTCATCGAGATTGGGCATGTCGCCCCATTTCCAGTCCAAGTCGCCACCATATTGCTTGGGGATGCTGGAGGGATCCATGAAATTCGTCAGGGTCGGCTTCACCTCTGCGGCCGAGAGGATGAAGATCTTGGACGTGGTGACCGGGTCAAACCAGCGCTTGATCCAGCCCCAGACAGTGGGGAAGAAAGAAGGGGCGCCGATGATCTACATTGACTTGATATTAGCAACGCCTTTCCATATGCTATGCAGAGAACAACTCACGAAGATCCGGTCTAGAGTCTCAGGATAATGAGCGGTCGCCAACACACTGGCATCTTGCATGTGACCCTTAAGATCCCAGAATTGCTTCAATCCTACTCCGCTGACATCGACGATGTTGTTGGACGAGGTGATGGGCGTCTCCGGGTTGGGGCGAGACAGCTGCGAGCACAAGGGCATGACAAAGCGAAGGAGGTTCTCGTAAAGGGCGAAGAGACGTAGCAACCGTTCGGGAACCTTCGAAGACTGTTGGGTCTCAGTGGAGAGGGTAGATTTGTACGCGGCCATATTCTTGTTGTTCAAATGTTGGATCTCGAACACATAGACAGGGATACCGCGACGGTCACGACGGCCGGTCCATTGAGGATACTATAGTGAGCAGACCACTCAGCTACCATATTCATCTTCAACACGTTTTCAATCATTGGAGGAATAACGAACCATCCGCCGAGCAGCTTCATATGCATCCACCTCGATGTTCTCATACAACGACTCAATGGCGTTCTCGCGGCGCCAATCCTCGGTATCCTTGAACTGTCCCCAAGCGCCATCGATGTCGAACTTGCGTGCGCGAAGGAAGCGCCTACAAGTCGAGGTCCCGATGTCAGTGTCTTTCTTGTCTACCGTTGTGGCAAAGGGTGCGTATAAGGGGGGGGGGGGGAAGAGGGCAGAAGACGAATACATACAGCATCGTCGCATCAGCGTGACTAGCCTTCTCGCCATCCCGCTCCGGCCTATAGTATCCATTTTGCTCGCACAGCTTCTTGAACCCTTCCAGTTTCTGCTCCTGCTCTTCCGTCAGGTGGTGGAGATGGCCCTCAAGCCAGGCCGTGCCCGCCGCCTGCGATGCCGCAGCGACCGGGTCGTTCTTAGTGTCGGTTGCGTCATTCGAACTGGCGTCGCTCTCCGCCTTGGTCGGCGTCGATTTGCTTCCCCAGAAAGGCATTTTGATATGTAAGTATTGGTTTCGTCAGGGGCGGATAGTTGGTAAAATAGAGAAAGAATGCTGAAATAATGAAACAAGGCTATTGGATCTAGAGTGGGTCGTCTTAACGAGAGCTGCGCTCGCGGATCGATCGGATCTTCGCGGGTTTGCCTTATACCCGGCGCGTAGAGAAATGATTGCGATACCAAGAGATATTGAACACGCTTGCAAGAATTATAGCCCAGCACACATAACTAAGTCGCCGACGAAGGAGCGAATTGGATAACCAGACCAGCGGGTTGGGCTGAACAACAGTTTTGTCGTGCTGTGCAGTGGACTCTCCATCACCGCAAAACAAAGTTTCGGATGCCCGAAAGACTCACAATTGCCGGGTTATGTCATCTATGCACCCAGGGTCCAATTTATGTAGACTGCAGAGAATAAATTTAGTTATCGCCCGTGAAACAAGAACGTCATCAGTTTTGATTTCTCCTTATTGGTATCCTTCAACCAGAGTTAAAAAAAAGTGAGGGAGTATCCTAGACTAGCCTAGTAGGTCACATCAAAATAGTTTTCGGGCGAATTAGACAGCCCGATCAGGACCTTACAGTTCCTCGCCCGTGGGAATCAAACGTAAAAGAAGCACCAGCTGCGCAATATTTGTACAGTCAATCCAAATAAAGAAGAGTCCCGCGAGCTTAGTCCTCAGTCAGGTCACCGTACTCCCACATACCGCGTCGCTCCTGCTTGGCTTCATCCTCCATCACACGAAGGTGAGCCAAGGTATCAGCAGCAGCGCGCTCCCAAGCCTTCAACTTCCGCGGGACCATTGCCAGACCCTCCCGAACAATGTCCGCGTTGATGCTGTGGTCCAGATTCTTCGACTCGGTGGGGTCCAGAAGGGTCACATGCAAGGTGCCTTCGGGAGAGACGTAGTCCACGTTGGCCACAAGCTCACGGTTGTAAACTTGCTCCTCGATGAAGCTCACGGTATCCTGCAGGTAGTCCTCGGAGCCGGGGAGCTGAACCAGAGAGAGGACCGCATCAGCAGCCTGAGGGCGAAGTTTCTGAACAGAGAACTGAGGCTGGCTCAGGGGTCGCAGACGAGACCAGGGAAGAACCTCGGAGTTACCGAAGTCGATATACAAGACCTCCGCCTGCTGCTTCTCACGGTCGTTGCGACGAACCTTAGCACGGTACCATTCCCCATCTTCGCTGAACTTGGCCGCCACGAAGTCGCCGGCCTTGGGAGGTCCAGGCAGGGGAGTATCGTTGGCCTTGTTAATGTGGAAAGAGCGGAAGGCACTCATCAACTCGGTGAGGGCCGAAGTACCGGTGCCAATCTGCTGAATCTTGAGGCGACCGTTGGTCGGGTCGACGTAAGTGACCATCACATCGCGGTAATCCTTACGGCGCTGAACATCCTCAACTTCAGCACCGTTGCTGCTGTTGACCGCCTCTTCCTCCTCCTCAACATCCTTGCTAGGATCCCAGTCGTGCCAGAGTCCCTTGCGAGCTTCCTTAGCCCTCTGCTCCGCAGCGAGATATTCGGTGGCGTGACCGGACTGCTCAGCGGAGTAAGCGTGAACAGTAGCGAAACCCTCCTCGAGCAGAATCTTGGTGAAGTTCTCCTTGTTCACATACAGGGTACCAATGAACCCACCGACCTTGTCGATGGTCTCGACGTCGATCTCAACGTCACGCTGCAAGCAGCGTCTGTTAGCCAGGTCATGTGCCTCCTGACCGAAGGGCTCACCGGCTTCGTTGGGGTTACGAGGAGAGCGCGGAGCACGGATACCGGACAGAACGAGGGTGAGCTTGGCGTTCTCGCGAGGCACAAGCACAGTGAAGCGCGAACCGGACTTGACGAAATCGACAATGGCCGGCACCCGCTTCTGCCTTTGAAGGATCGAGACTTCCATCTTGGCCTTCTGGAGGCTCTCGGAGTAATCTTGATACTGCTTGGCCTTGGGTGGCTTGGGCGACCACATGCCCTTGCCCTCGGACTGAGCCTCAGCCTCAGCGAGCATCAGGCTGTCGTATTCCGGCGAACGGTCGTCATCGTCCTGGCGGTGACGGATCACGGAAGCGTAACCCGCCTCGACCAGCGCAAGAGCAATATTGGTGTTTCCTTGTACAACGGTGGCGACGTCTCGCTCCTCATAACCCTCTGTTGCAGGCTTCTTGCCGTTGACAGTAACCTTAACGTGCTTGCCGATGAGCCTCTTGCGAACGAACTCCTTAGCATCGGCAGCGAAGGGCGCCTGCTTGGGATCGGAAGGCTTTGGCTGTCTAACACTGCTCAAGCTGATCTTCTTCTCCTGACCAGCCTTGTTCCTGATGAACAGAGTGTCGGCATTCAACACACGGCTGACGGTGTAGTCCTCAGCGGCCCCGCCTGCAGGACCCTTGGACGCGACGAGACCGGTAAATAAGCCGACTCTGGCATCCTTGGCAGCTTTCTCGGCGCGGCGGAAAGCAGCCATCTCAGTACCCAGGAGGGCTGAGTGGTGATCATGGCAGCGGGCCAAACCAGCCTCGAGCAAGAACTTGGCAACATTTCCGTTGGGATGGAGGACACTGGCGATCAGTTGACCCTGGGGGGTGACACCAAGCAGAGACACCTGAACCTTGCGCTGCAGAATACGGGATTCCACAAACTGGAACGCCTCGTCTCCGTACGGCTCGGCTGCCTGCTCCTTGCCGTCAGCAGTCACCCGCTTGGCCGCAGGCGCCCGGACACCAGCCATGGCAGCGACGACCTGCAGATGTTCCTCTGACGAAAGCAGCAAGCGAAGGACCAAGCGATCACCGTTCAGAACTCTCTCGACAATACCCTCGAGATGCTTGTCCTTCCATTCGTCAACCAGGGACTTGGCGTCTGACAGCTCATAGCTGGTTTCAGTGTGACCCTTGTCCGAGCCAGCCCAGGTTCCCTTGCCTTCCGACCTGGCGTGGTCTTCCAAAGCACGCAGCCGCTCGAGGTAGGCGAGGGTTTCCTCGGACTCATCGCTGCGCTTACCAGCCTCTTCACGAACACGAGTCCATCCCTCTTGCACGCTGATATCCGGCACAGAGACCTCGAAGGTGGGGAGTTGGATTGTGCCGTAGTCACGCTTGGCGCCGGTGGGGATGGTGTACAGGACTTGGAATTGCACTACTTTGCCGACGAGGAGTTCACGGAGGAATTCGCGGGACTGGAAAGCGTATGGCTGCAGGAATTCACCAATTCAGATTAGCAAATGATGCTGCATCATATCTTGGAATGATTTTTTGGCATCGCAACGTGTGGCAACGGGATAAGGGTAGAGGTTCGAATGAGACCGAGTTCACTGCCTCAATGCAAAGGACACATATGCGGGCAACCAGCGGAAGAGGAAAGGTGATCTGATCAACGATCGAGCACCGTGTTCTGAGACAATTCGACTTACCTCATCGCCTTCTCTGCGCAGCCTGGGCGCTGAGACATATGCCAAACTAAGGACGCGTTCCTGGCCGGGATTGGTGATATGCGACAGCACCACCGTGTCGCCGGATAGGACAGATTTCACACGAGCTTCCAGAGGCATTCTGGCGAGAGCTGGCGTAATGGGTGAAGAGGAGATGAAAGTTAAGGTAGAAGGATTTCACCCAGTCAGACTGGCAAGACCTAGGGTAAAACAAATCAAACAAGAGAAAAGGAAAGAAAATGGGATATTGGGGAAAGAGAAAGATCAGGAGAGGCGGAGGGAAAGAGGAGGGTGAACGGGAAGACCAAAGAGCATCGACGGCGGATGCTGCTGATCTGGCCAGGTACAGCACCGGCGGGAGAGCGAGACCAATCGCGTCAAGGCGGAACACCTGACTTTGTGGGGGAGTTTCCGCCTACTGCATTCTAGCCGTTCAACAATGCACTGCACTGTGTGTGCATTGATTGAAAAGATGGATTATACCTTTACAGTGATTGATGGTTATTGCACAACTCCTTGAACTACACAGTGCTGGCAATTGGCAATGTCAAAACAACTCTAGACACCACATCGCCGTGGCGAATTTTGTCTCTCAGAGACCACGTCCGATTGACAGATGCCTCTTGAAAGGCACAGGAACCAGCTTCATTGTATGCCCCCGGCTATTTCTAGTTCGGATACAGCTTAACGTGCTCATCCTAGCACTGCAATATGAGGCACTGGCATCGAGACAGCGCTGGAGTTATGACTCTGGCTACCATCTCCTAACACTACGACACATTGCAAGAAAAGTACTACATGATCGCCAAACACAGGGAATCGTCTGGATTACTCGCATCAAGTCATTCATGCATTCCAATCTGTTTCATGAAATCAATCGGACAATAGCAGACTATTTCCATTCTGGTTAAGCCTTTCGGGCCTAAACTGACAACATAACACAATTATGAATGCACTTAAGCGGCGATACCAATGACACCTATCAAAAAGAAGCAGAGACATGAGTAAAAGTCCACAACAAACCATTAGAGAGACGACTTACCGCAGGCAGGGCGGGGACCAGCGTTACCGGTCTTCTTGGACTCCTCGTTACCACCCTTGCCGAGGTCATCAGTGCCGGCGTGGACGACCAGGGTCCGCTGCATTGCGAATGTCAGTTTGACACTATCAATAGGTGAGTGGGGGTTTGAAAAAACGTACGCCCAGGACGCTCTCGGCACCAATGAGCTTCACAAGCTTGTCCTGCTTGGAGCCGACGGCGTTACCCTCAGCATCGGTCTTGAAGTTGCCCAAGTCACCGACGTGACGCTCAGAGTCCTCGGGGGCACCGTGGGTCTTGCCGAAGGGGTTGAAGTGAGGGCCAGCGGAGGTGCAGCCGTTGGTGTTGTCACCGAACTGGTGAACGTGGAAGCCACGCTCGGCGTTGGCGTCGTGGCCAGTGATGTTCCAGGAGATGGTGGTGGGGGTGTTCTCGTCGGCCTGCTCGAAGGTGACAGTGCCGGAGATCTTAGAGTCTCCACGGAGAACAGCGACTGGTGAGAGGAGGGGGAAGTTTGAGTTAGCCCATGATCTCATCAACTAGAAGCCTTCCAGAAACAGGATCACCCGATCCGAGCTGAGCCAGGACCAGCCGGCTAGCAGGGTTCAATGGGAGCAAAGTGGTGGTTTGTTTTGTCAAGCCAACAGGGGAGGACGAATCAAAGATCCCAGGGACTCAAGTTGGCAGCGCTTCTTCAGAGCTTGTCTGTCCATCGAGCAGGGTCCTCAATCGGTGATAGGTCGGGTGACGCAGGAGGAGAGATCGCAAGGTGCTCAAATCTGCTCACTCAAGGTCCCCTTTCCCCGGGCCGTCGGCCGATCGTGGATCCCATGGAAAGGCGAAGGACCAATAATACGAGGACTAGAAGAAAGAAGTGTATGAAAACTTACCAGCCTTGACCATTTTGACGGTTTGTGAAGGAATTTGATATCTGGGGATTCAGAAACTGGTGAGGAAAGCAAGAGATGGGACGGGAGAAGGGACAGGAGAAAGAGCAAGAGGGGAGAGAGAAGGATTGAGGGAAGAAGTGGAGGAAAGCGAACGAGGGGTAAGCTAAAATGAGCAAAGCACCGAGGAGGAGCACCAACTGCACCGGCAACCAAGCAGTAGCAACGGAGCAGCAGCGGCAGTGGGTTCGGTTTCGACGAGCTTCCAATCTGAGTCGGTTTTACCCCACCTGGCGGGGTTCTCGGGAATGACGTTTTGTTTGTGTCTTCCATCCTCACCTCCGATTCATAAGCAGGTCGGGTCCAGATGCACATCACATACGGTGCATTGAGCACGAGTGTTTCTGTTGACAATGGCTTGCTTTGCCTTCTATAGTGACAAGCCATACTTCATCTGCTCGAATTCTTTCATTTCTCACTTCCCAAGCTGCATTCCTATCAGCAAACCTATTCTCTCCAACCCGCCGCCAACTCTACCACCGAAGCAGTGCGATAAACCCCCAAGAAACATTCCAGCCGGATACAAGACATAAGTAGATGGCGACTTTAACTCTCGCTGAACTTAGGACTGTTTCTTTTGCATGTGAGCTGCCCGATTGCGCACAGCGCTGCTTTTGTATGTACTTCATAGCAGTTCCGGGACACTCACTCATAGCTTACTGAGCACGCACCTGCTCTACTGTACCGAACACAAGTCCTGCGATCATCTTGCCTGCTTGGTAAGCGACAGTCTTAGAGCAGTCTCTTCTTGTCCTGGTCTTCGGAACATGCCGTGATGATATCATATTCCTTCTCCCATCAATGAGGTGCCGTTGACAAGGTTGTGCTTGCGTCCCGGGGGGGTGGGGAAGGGGCGCCTGTCGATGCCGGGATGCCGCCTCAGCTCAACTCGTCCCAGATTGGCCGATCAAGCTGTATGGCGGCGATTCCAAGGTGATCATGTATCGATCACGAGGTTGTCAAGAAAGGAACCTGAGAAAATCATCAGATGTCTGTAGTTGACAGGTGCAGGGTACAGTGTTCAAGTCCGCCACATTGTACTGTATATCTGCATGGTCAAGCAAAGAAACGGGGACCGCGTAGCACATACAGGACACAAGTCATGGTTGTTGCTATGCAAGGGAAGAGTCTCAGCCTACCTAAGTGACTAGATACCAACCCATGATCTATGTAGATATCCTTCAGAACTCGCTCTTCCTCCTTCCTGCAAATCTATATCTCCGGCACAATCTTCCATAAGGTAGTTATAGTGAAGTAGACCCCAAGATCGTCCCGCTGGGAAATACACGCACCCAAAAGTTCACCGCCACGCTCCGCGCAGACCAGCAAAAGCGGCAGCACAGCAGCACCTAAAGGGAAAGACGTGGCTACATCCATCCATGATTTCCCCCCCTTCAGAAAGAGTTGAAGTTCACCCGTGCATGCCACTGACCGGCGATCTCGGAGTTCTTCCTGCCCCCAACGAACCTCCATGAACTCCATTCGCAAGATATACGGTGCATACATCGTATCTTCAATGTTACATCCAGGCGCCCTCTCGTATAATTGATACTCTGCGCAGTTTAGTTTTGTTTTGAAGCCGCCACATCACCATCCACCGTCGGCATGCGGCATGCAAGTCGTGCCCTTGCTGCAGCTGTCATATTGGAGTTCGGACTGACTCGTACCAGGACATTTACCCCACCAGCGGACCCCTTCTTGTACACTATATTCGCTATCAGAACCCTAGTACTTCTAAGAGGAACGTATTACTGAGTAAGAAGAGCAATGCAGTCAATTTACCAAAGCGCTCACTCTAAATGACAATCATCATTTTTGTATCTACCCAGCCCAAATCCAGCTGAACTGCTTCGAAACTCATCAAATTATCATGATCATCAGATTTTTCTTTACACAAGTGGGAATAATATATGGGTCATCACAAAGAAAAGTTTTGAAAATGCGCGCGCATGCATACTCACACACACAATTTAGATCAGCAAAACAGAACGCAGGGGGAAAACAGAATTATTCCATTTATGCCTGGATCTTGGACTTGAGGATGTCCTTGAGGGTGACGGCGTCGGCGGCGAACTTGGAGATACCCTCACGGAGCTTCTCGACGGCCATGGCCTCCTCGTTGAAGTCGAAGCGGAAGAGAGCCTCGTCCTTGATGTAAGAGCGCTGGGGGATATCGAGCTTGCTGGCGTCGGCAGCATCGAGCTTCTTGGGGACGGCCTCGGTGGAGTTGTAGAGGTCCTCAAGGAGGTTGGGCTGTAATCCATGTGGTTAGTGTCTGTGGCGGACTATGATAATGCAGCGCGTGGCGAACGATGGGAACTTACGGAGATGGTCAGGTAGTCGCAGCCAGCCAGCTCGGTGATCTCACCGGTATTACGGAAAGAGGCACCCATGACGATGGTCTTGTAGCCGTACTTCTTGTAGTAGTTGAAGATCTGCTGGACGGACTTGACACCGGGGTCCTCCTGGGCGGTGTAGTCGCGCTTGTGGGCGGCCTTGTACCAGTCGAGGATACGGCCAACGAAGGGAGAGATGAGGTAGGCACCGGCCTCGGCGGCGGCGATGGCCTGAACCTCGGAGAACATGAGGGTAAGGTTGCAGTTGATGCCGTGCTTGGACTGGAGCTCCTCAGCGGCCTTGATACCCTCCCAGGTGGAGGCGATCTTGATCAGGATACGGTCCTTGGAGATACCCTGCTGCTCGTAGAGCTTTACAAGATGTCAGTCTCACATTTTCTCGTCCCTCTCACGGCATGGAAGAGAATCATACCTTGATGAGGTGCAGAGCCTTGTCAATGGAGGCCTGCTTGTCGAAGGAGAAACGGGCATCGACCTCAGTGGAGACCTTGCCGGGGATGATCTTAAGGATCTCCTTGCCGAACTCGACGAGGAGGTTGTCGAGGGTGGCGTCGACCTGCTCGTCGACGGTCTTACCCTCCTTCTTACCCTGCTCGACGGCCTTGTCGATCAGGGAGGCGTACTCGGGCTTCTTGGAGGCAGCCAGGATGAGAGAGGGGTTGGTGGTGGCATCCTGGGGCTTGTACTTGCCAATGGTGGCGAAGTCACCGGAGTCGCAAACGACAACCTATTCAATGAACAAAGATGGTTAGTTGGCAGAATCGCGGGAGTTTGGGCGGGAAGGAATAACATACGGTGCCGGTGGCCTTGAGCTGTTCGAGAGCAGAAGACATTGTGAAAGATGAGTCTGGAAAGGTATGGGGTTGGAAGATTAGAAGTGAATAAGAACTTTTAGATAGATTGAAGAAAGAAGAAAAGGATTAGAGGCGGAATAGGGTAAGAATAAGTAGGGGGAGGGAAGTCAGCGGAGAGGGAAGTGGGAGGGGGAGGGGGGGGTGGGAGTGGTTGAATTGGGAAGGGAAACTGGATGAGCGAATGGTGGGGCAAACAGCTTCCCTCCCCGATGACGCTATGCCTTTCTGCTCGTTTCTGTTGTTGTTAATATTTCCTTCCACTTAACTTCCCTTCCTTCTCTTCTCTTCATCGACCTCTCCATCTACAATGCATACATGCCACCTACGGATTTACTATCACTATCGTTATAGCTCTTACTCAACACGAAGCGCACTAGTCCTACTCAGTGCCTGTATCACCTCTCATTCTCACATCCTACTCCCCCTCCCCATACATACTTCAATTCATGCATTGTTGGTTGGTGCAGACCGGAGCACACTGGGCCGGCAAGACAGCGCCGGGCGGTCCACTCACGCCCGGCTAATCACGACCCCATCCAGGCCCTTTTTGCTTCACCGGAGGTTTCTTCCCCAGCGTGTTTGAGCTGCCGCTGCAGCAACTGTGGGCTCACTGCATGGTCATAGGTACAGTACAGCAGTTATACGGAGCAGTACTCCCCTACCGTTCCCGTCTACCCCTCGGTTGCCCCTCTTTCGGCTTGTTCTGCGGTCTTTGTCTTGGCTCCCGTTGCCTTTGCCCGCTACATTCCAGCTCACTACGGAGTACTCGGATTAACGAGGCAAGATGGTTTTCCGGTTCCAGGATCCCCCTGATCCGCCATTAAAACCGAATTTAACCGTTCTCGAATGATTCTTTGGAGGTAATGCTTCCCATTCAGGACAATATACCCGCCCTTCCGCGACTCCTGGGCCCTCTGTCTAGTCTTGATGTAGTACAACTGCCCCCACACTTCCGTGGCTACCGCAACTTTTTTCTCCGCGTGTCCCCCCCACGGGATCATTTTGGCTATATACAGTGGAGTCTCCAATTTTTGGCATACCCAGAGGGAAAGAATTGCGCTGGAGACCAAAGTGCGCAATTGGAGATTGCATGCCGAAATACTGCCTGGGTGGATCGCAGAAGCTAGGCATCGGGATCCTTATTACCCAGATTCAAAGCACGTCTAGAAATTTCTTCAAGTCTTCTAGCAACGACCAAATGCGTATCGAGTTTCTTTCACAACCTCATCATCGGCGTTGAACACAGCTCCATTCATACTAATCATAAATCAGCATACGATCGACCTTTGCATCACATGCGTGTGTACTCACCACTCTACCAACCTCATCACCGGTATAGACAACATGCGGCAATGCAAGGATGCTGGTGATACCTGCCGAGATGTTGGCGCCGTTGTCACGGAGGTTGTCCACATGATGTAGCTGTCTAATGAGCTCCAACTCAAACCGTCCATGATGGACGATTTTGCTCCAGATCTAAAAGGCATCAGTGACTGTAGGGTTCGGTCGGCACTTGAAGTGAATCACTCACATTGACAACACCCCGTTTATGCCCCGTGAACAGTAGCTCCCGCTCTTGCCACATATTGTTGACTCCCTCGTAGAAGACGCAAGTCATGACTTGGTCATCTGCAGAGTCGCCTACCACCTGCTCAAGTAACAAGGCTCCATTGAGACTGTACAGACTGAGACGATCGCCCCGGCATATCATGATCTCGCCGGTAACGTCGTTGATCTTAGCACACTACTCAAAATGTTAGACATCAGCAAGTCCATCACGTATCCCGGGACAGCTTACATCAACAGGTCCGTTGGCCGGCAGCTCTCGGACAAAACACTGCCGATTGAGATCCCATAGCATGATCTGCCCATCAGTCGAGGCTGACAGGAGCGCACTGAATGACCAGGACACCGCAAGTACGGTGACCGGAGAACGATGCCCGAACAATGACCCGGAGGGCTGTAGGTCCACGCTTTTGCCCGACGAGGTGAAAGTCCAGATCGAGACGGTGCAGTCTGTTCCCGCTGTCACCAACGTCCTCGAGTCGGCGAATAATGCGCACGACAGCTGGCCCGCATGGATGTGCTCGAAATGGCCAAGAAGCTGCAATCGCGTTAGAGGCTACATCGCTCACAGAAACATATGAAATCATTGCCATACCTTGCGGTGATCGGCAGAGTAGAACCTGACGCTGCCATCGAAGAAGCCCCATTCCATGTATTTGTCGTAGCTGGGAGGGATATTCAACCGTAGAGCAGCCGCGCATAGCAGTCGGTCTTGCCTCATCGATAATGAAGAGACCTGCTCGCCGATATCTGCCACTGCTATTAGTACATAACTTGATACCCACCAAAATCCTCTAGATAGGACTCACCAAGAAGAGCAAGAGGGAGCTGAGTCAGCGACTCAGCCAGCCGGTCTAACCGTGACGTCTTCTGTCCTGGATCTTCTCTCTGTGGATGTAGCCGGCTGAAGATCTGGTGAGGCGTTTGGCCAAAATTATGAATGATCCCGATGGTAGCAAGTCGTTCGACAGGGTCTTCAATGGCATCGATGTCTTTGGCACCTTGATAGGAGAGATGGTGAAAGACATTCACTGCCTCAACTGCAGCCTCGCCCTTCTGCTTGCAGCCAAACACCAGGTCGATCCAATGGTGTAGGTTCTGCGTGACGTAGGGGCTTTCGAGAGCTTCTCGATGCTTTGCAATGAAGATCTTAGGGTCACCCTTCGCCCACGGGGGCAATTCCACCGAGTCAATGGCAGTTGTCATATTCTGAAGAAATCCAAAATCAAACTTGTTTGAGTTGGTGAGGAACTCCGGAAGGTAGAAGAACTCTGGAATGAGCTCTCGCACATCGGACATATTACCGCGTGAGGCAGACTCCCAAGCTTTTCCAATCGAATAGAATAAGCGGTCAGCATGATCAAATGTGCCCCCTTGGAGCAGCAGATACGACTTGACGAATGGCTGCAGTCGGATGAGGTAGGAGCTGACGATCATGGCGGAAGAGTAATGAGTGCCGTAGTGAAAAGGCGGCGAATTCTCGTCTGCCATCTCAGCAAAGGCCTTGTAACGCTCCCTAAAGTCCGCTTCGCGCTCCGATGTCTGACAACCCATGGGTTTGGAAAGGTCGCGGAATGTCAGGGGATTGGTTAAGTCCAGTTCCTCACTAGTGTAATCCGCGAGCACCCAGGGGAACACTGGATATTGCGTGAGATCGTTGAACGTTCTCCCAGCTAGTGTGTTGATTAGCATCAGGTAATGGAAGTTGGAAATTTCCCCCTTCGCCCACCTGCGCGTTGCTGGATAAACCGGGGAATGTCCGAAGACACTAGCGAACTTCGAACCCAGTGTTTGTGGTGCATCCTCTTGACTTCTGAGGGTTTCGAATCTCCAAGCATCCTCGGGGCGTGCGTGACCGACACTACCGGTAACCTGAGGAGCTTTGGCGGCGAGTTGACTGAAGAGACTGTCCCGAGCTCGCGACGAGATGAGTGTCAAAAGGTAGCTGGTGCCATCTGAGAAGAAAATCTCCAAGGCGACATCACGGAACAGGAATCTCCTCTTGGAAACGCTGATTAAATCAGACCATTTCCAGCTTCGCGTTTCATGATCTTGCGCTTTGCGTTCCATTGATTCTCGCCCGGCGATCATGCGGACGTAAGGGTCGCGCTCATCCGTTGGCGCTTGCCAGACGTTCACAATTTCACCGTCGGACCTCTGAAAGAAGTTGTCTAGAATGTAGATATGATCTTTACCTTGGATCAAAAGGCCCTCAAATGCCTCCAGACCGATGATCCGGGACATGTTACACACGCCTTCGACTTGATCCCCGCGATGTAAACTGCGCATGACCTTGCGATTCTTATCCTCGTAGTCTTCCAAGTCGGCTTTGGGGTCGTCGATCATCTCAAAGCTTTCTTCCAGCATGCTTCTACCATCAGGACCAATGCTTTGAACATTGGCATCCGCAGCTTCATTGTTCGCAGCCATGGGGGTGAGGTCGAGTGCCTCGGCGCCAGGAGACGGTTGAACCTGTGTGTCTAATTTGATAGCTGGCGGCTCCGATGCTTTCCGCTTGGGCTGATAGTCCTGTCTTTCACTCGAGTCATCTGGAATCAGGCGAAGTCGCATGCGGCTACGTCCTTCCGTCTGGTCGAGACGCCATCTCTTCTCCCGGTCCTCGCTTAAAAGGCCGCCATACCGCCGTAGATCCACAGTTAGCTTGGAGAAAGCTGACCACATGAATGCACTATCGTCTTGCTGATCCTGAAGTGCTCGTTGAGACTTCAGAAACTCGGACGCTGAGATGTTCGAAGCCCAATGAGGGAAGGTTGCCTCATGTTTGCGCGTAACATCATCGCCGAGAACTTCCGCTTGTTTCCACTGCTTCAACCGTTCTTGACGTCTGGCTACCCGCGTTCGCCAAGTAATGTCAATGCTTGTGTTCTCTTCTTGAGCAAATTCTTCCCATTGCTTTGATATGACACCAAAGAAAACCGACTGAAGATCCTCCTTCTGGTCATCGAACCATTGCAGAAATTCGAAATCGTCCATCCCCACCACGGTCTCAAAGCCTGCAGCAAGCCGCTTCTGCAGATTGGTCGAAGCGTGACTTAGAATCGTAGCCATATCAGTGGGCTTTTGGACAAGCAAGATCCTGAAGAGCCCAGCCGCAGCTTGGCGTACTCTTTCGTCTTGATCATCTAACTTGGTGTAAAGTAGATAGCATAGCAAATGCAAATAGTCTGAGCGAGCGTCGCCAGACAAGAGCACGACTTGCCAGTACGACAGGTGGTTCAAGAAGGTCAGTGCATCTGGGCCTTCGGCTTCGGATAGCCCAAGAATGACTAGGCGGAAAACAGTCGTGCGGATTGTCGTAACCGTCTGGCTACATAGCCTGATGGTTTTCATGCGAGAGACATCGGGCCTTTGGAGGTACTCTAAAATCGTCCCTGCGAATTCTAGTGTCGTGG